GCTCTACTTCCTGGTGGTTCTTTCCATTCTCCGATGAGATAGAGATAGTACTAGACTTGTCCTGGTGCTGTTTTTGTTGTCCAAGGTTTTTACCAGTACTCCTACCAAGAACATCGTCCTTTGATGTAAATGTGATTGATGCTGTGCATGAATCTTCTTCCGCAGCATACGCCTGTATCGCGGTATTCAGACTGAAGCACCTGATCCCGGTTCTCGCGATCGCTTTGTCATCATCTTTACAATTCTTGTTCCCGCCGCCAACCACCCTCGCCGCACCGGCCAGGACCAGCTTCCAAGCGTCGGCCTTCGCTCTTTTTCGCCTCAGAACCGCTGCCTGCAGAATCGTGAAGGGGGTCCAGGGAGAGGTGGTGGTGGTGGCCATACTTGCTCTTGAAAGTGTCGTGCTAGAAGTTGAAGTCGTTGTAGTGGCGTAGTGGTCCAGGAGAAGGTTTTCCTCTAAAAACTCCTCCAAATACCTTTCGTAGGCGACACAGTGTATTGATGTAGATGCCTCAACATCTCCTGCGGGGTTGCTTCGACTTGACACAATTCCAGCCAAGGCTTCTCTTTGTTCTCCTCCACCACGCCAAGAACTACATGCAGTGCTACTTCTATCACAAACAAGTAGTTCGGGGTACATGACGCGCGCGAAGGCTTTGAAACTGCAATTCCCCGGTTCTTCCAGCAAGCAACAGGACAGCAGGGCCTTCGCCATTGCGTGGTTCTGCAATTTCAGATTTGCGACCGCGAGGTAAAAACACTGCTTCGTCGGAGGTGGTGGTGGTGCTGGTGGTAGCTCTTGGATTGGTCCTCGTGCGCCATGTAGTGGCAAGGCCAACCCTGCTGCGTTATTCTTATTTCCCTGATGCTGCAGAAACAACGAGTGGTGCAATGCGTGCACCGCCTTGCCGTAATCCTCGATCCGGAGCAAGGTTAGCGCCAGGTTGGAATAGTAGCAGGACAACGCTTGCGCGTGGGCGGAGAGATGACCACGACCATGACCACTTTCTTCTTCTACTTCTTCTACATCACAAAAACTTCTACTACAACTTCCCACGATTTCACAAGCCTTTTCCGCGAGAAACACCGCGGCATTGTAGCACGCGATGGCTTCCACGTACTTGTTGTGCTCGTAGAGAAAATTCCGTATGAAATGCAAAAATGTCTTGGTCTGGAAGGTTGCAACTTGTAATGCTGTTTTTGAATTCCGAAAAAATCTGTATTGCATGTTGACCAGAAACAGGAATCCAGTTTGTGTTACGCGGAGAGGGTATTTCTCATGCGGAATAGGCATCAGGAGGGTCTCTAAAAGCCTACGATGCTACGGCATGCATCACAGACGTCATGGGTCATGGAGAATATGCATGACAAATCTAGAAATCTTCCAGACCCAGACACTTTTGCATTTGATATTCCCGATGCTGTTCACGTTTTCCGCGGTCAGAAATTTCCGGTCGCTATCCTGTGCAAAAGTATCGCACTCGTAGTAATTGCAGTCATGGTGCATTACAGATCTCGTTCCCAAGGCAAATCAGCATGACAAATTCCATTTGTCATGCTGAGCGAACTTGTATTGCAATTACTACTAGTAAGATATTTTTGCAGTTCATAGTCGCAGTACAGCATCAAATCGCCGTCCGCAAGCGACGGCTGCAGGTACTCCGCGAGCTCGCTAAATTTGATGAAGAGGAAAAGATTTTCTTCGTTTCCGTCGCGCTCTTGAACGTGGTTTTCCTCTTCGTTTTCCTCCGTGGCAAGAGGTCCCTCCGCAAAATCTCGCGCTTTGTCGGGCGGAGGCGCTGTGTCGTGAGAGTGACGAACAGCAGCAGGCGTTATTTCTTGTGTGGTGGTAGACGAGGGGGCAGTGGCTCCCACGCCGGACGAAGAAGAAGTTATCAAGCTTGTCCTCCTGTTGCTTTTCTTCTTATTTCCTTTGATTTTATTTTTCGACCCTTTTCGCTTCGATGACGTTGATGTACTACTGGGCAATGTGTCGGTCGTACAGGTGCTGATCTGCTCGCTGGGTTTATCCATGATGTGGTCGTCCACCTGCTCCGCGCCTCCACCGCGGTCCTTCATTCGGCAACAAGAATGAAGAGCAGAACACGCGCCCCGGGGCGCGCGGCGGTTTATTTTGTTCGCAACTCGTCCCTTATTGTTATTTCCCCCGTCCGCCGAAGCAAAACCTGTTTCTCCTCCCGGATCATCATTTCTTGTAGACAACTTCTCATCAAAGTTGAACTCGTGGTCTTGGTCCTCTCGGGTAGTATTTTTACACAAGTAGCTAAGTTGAGAGCGGTGCAGAAACAAAGTGAGCCACGAGGACGTCGGCGAGGATGAGAAGTGCGAGTGGGAGTGCTTGTCGTAATGTGGTGACAATAAACTTTCGCGCTCCTGTCGACGTCGTCCGCCACGAAGGTCATCTGACGGTGAAGTGGTAGAGGGGAGCAAATCATAACTGTTCCGTTTTAATATCTTGTCTTCCACCACATGCAGTGGTACAAAATCTTTCTCGCGGTCGCGGTGGTACAGCACACGAATCCGGTGCTGTGATGCGGTCGAACAACTTGTTGTACCACTTCTAGTAGAAGATGAACCTCCGCCGGCGCCCGTTGTTCCGTCCTTGTCTTGGTCGCAAGAAGATGAAGCATCCTGTTCCTGTATTTGTTCATCTTCGTCGTCATAAACGAGATCTCGGAACAAAGAAAAGGAGCCAGCACGACCTCCTCCTTTAGAGGGTCTTGTTGTCCCACCGCTTCCCGATGCTCTTACCCACCGCGCTCCCGGAGAAAAGGAAGAAGAACTGCTGGCGAACCAACTACATTTACGCCCAACCGCTGCAGCACAGCCTGAATCTTCCTGTTCATTGTTTACTCTATCTCTATGCGGATCTCGTATTCCAAACAGCTCTTCCTCTTCGGTACTACATTTGTTCTCGCCCCCAAACGCGACTGTGACCAGAAACGACTTCAGGCAGAACAGGACCGACTCCCCCAGCGCGGCGCCGAGCCAGACGACCCCGCCGCCCAGCATGTAGAAGAAGGCGATGAGTACCTGCCACAAGGCCTTCCTCCGCGCGGCCAGAATCTTTTCCTGGTTTTCCTTCGCCTGACTGCCGTTTTCCAAATCGAGATTCAGGTGCAACTCGCGGCAGAGGTTGTCGTCGTTGTTCTCGCTCAACAGCATGCCCAGGTGAGCCAAACTGGCGTAGAACAAAGCGCTGCCCCACACGCTGTGGCTGTCCCAGTCCTTGCGGCGGAGTTGCCAGAATTTCAACGCGATGGAAACGCAGGGCTCAATCGTGCTGATCAGAAGCACGAACAGGTTGGAGAGCCCGAACTTCGTCAACTTTTTAAAGTTCGGAAAAGAATAAAACCGAGACTTATTTTTGTTCATATTCTGGAAAGTAGAATACGAATTCTTCCCCGCAGAATCATCTGCGGTCCTCTTGGCGAAGTTTTTCTTGCTCGCTGGGATGGTGCTGTCTCCTGCAGGTGTAGCAGCAACTGGTCCGCCGGCCGTAGGTGAACAGGATCTACTTGTTCCTACGTTTCGTTCCTTCCCTTCGGTCGCCGAGAAGACGACATGACAGGAGAGTGGCATCTCCTTTCGCAAGAGCGTCCACAGATAGGGATACCTGGTTCCGCGGTGAGAGGACGTAGTAGTTTTTGAAGATGATGTCGTGCTTGATCCGTAATTTGATGATGTGTTGCGAGTTCTCTTGCTGTAGACGTGCTGTGATGGTGTTGTCGTAGTAGAAAATAATTGTTCCTCCTTCTCCAACCTCTCTTCCATTTCCACGAGCTCATCAATCCGCGCCGCATCACACCCATTATTCCGGTCCCACGTCGCGGCCGCCGTGGTGGCAAGCGTGTTTTTGTTTTCCCGGTCCTGTCCATCGTCCACCGCATCGTTGCTGTAGGCCACGGCGGAGGGGTTGGGACAGAAAATAATCCGGCCAGTCACTAAGTGCTGCAAGCAACACCTGCCTCCGGTTATTCGATCGAGCGGCTTAGCCTGAATCCGCCCGATGTCCACCGCGTACTTGAAGGCGTTGAAGTTGTTCAAGTACACAAACTGCTCGATCCGCTTCTGCGTCCGGTCGAAAAGGTAATTTGACTCCGGTAAAACCACGGCGAAAAAGAAGGAGACAAATAGCCAGGCGGCAATGCAGCTGTAATTCGCGCAGTACCAGGAGTCGCCCCACGTGAAGAGACACAGAAAAAACCACTCCAGGTAAGAGGCCAGGTAGGCAAGCAACATCGTATGGTACTATTTGGCCGTCGTGTTCTTGATCAACTCAGCAGTCTTTTCTTATGTTGAAATTCAGTTTCGACACAGGGGTTGTCGTTGTGGTCACAATCAATATCGTGCGTAGAAGATATCGCCATTGCGTTTGCGATCATATGTACATGTCAGTCCAGTAGTAGAAGTCCTCGTAATACTAATATTCTGCTTCAAGGCAAAGTCAATGAGTCAGAATGAGCTATAGCAAAAGTACGGGTCTTCGTCTCTCCTCCGTGTAGTTCTGCTGTACAGGTGCTTTTGATTTCCAACGTGGCAATCTTCAGCGTACTATACTTTTCGTATTTCGGGTTTTGGGTTTGTACCATCCTCGCATGAAGAACAACTTGCAGCTCTTGGTCTTGTACACACACAACCCATCTTCACTTACACAACTGCAGAAGAGCAGACACAGTCACCATTCACGAGCCACACATGATCAAAAACGCAAGGTGGAATCGCAGCAGCTGCAGCACGACATTACACTTTTTTTTTCGCTGCCGCTGCAGGCACAACAACTCTTCTCCAGCAGTGGTCAATCCTAATCTTCGTATTATTGAGGAAGAACAAGTACGTCATGCTGCCTTACTGATCAGCATCAGCGAGGATCAACAGCACCATGTATACAACAACGCTGAAGATCTACTGGCATAGGGGAAACGAGGAACACCAGAATCGATGGCAAAGCCTTAGTTTTCTCTTCCTGCTTTCTCTTTCTTCTCCAGGGTAGATTGCATTTGCATTCGATAGCGTCAATGAAAAAGCCCGGTCTTGATGTCAGGAAAAAAGCACTGCGCCTTTGCTCCTCACAAAAAAATTCGGTAATCCAGAAACAGGATCAGAAACCAGCAGAAACGGAGCTGTCGATGACCGAGCTCTAGAAACAAATGTAGTACAAGAAACTCCTGAAAAGCCAATGACTTGCCTGAAGCTGCGATCAAACTCAGATAAATCTAAATTTCGAATAATCGTACACATCACGGTGTTAAAATTAAAAACCGTGGGAATAACCTTAACCTAGCAAAAAATCATACTAGTTCATCTTTTTCGCAGCCTTCACGACATTCTGTTCATTTTTCATTTCCCCCAACTCGCTTGGCGTTGTTCTCGTCCCCGACGTTGCAAAATTGTCGTAATTCCCGCCAATTTTCTCCACGATAAACTGCGACCACTTCGTCGGTAGCATCAGCTTCAATACCGGCCCACACTTCACCATGAAGGGTATCCGCAGGTCTTCCGTGTCACCGAAAATGGACTCTTCGATGATTTTCCCCACCAGGTATTCCGGCGTCAAACTTGGAAGCAAAAAGTTATTCGTCGCCACCGCCCCGTGGAACATGCTGGTACTCGTCAAAGATGGATTCACCACAACTGTGTCCGTGTGGATCAAGTCGTTACTCCTCTCCTTATGCAATGCAAAATTATCGCCATCGCGGTACTTTACTTCAAAATTGCCCTTTAGACAAAAGAATTTGCAAATGTTGAAGCTGCAGAACGAAGGAACAATGAATCTTGCAATCGTGATTTGGAAGATCCTAGGAGACCACCTCGGTCGGGACACTGCAATTTGCAATTTCGATTCCACGCACGAATATCGGATACGGATACTTTTGCATTGCCATACCTTTTCCGAAACAGCAGCTCCGCCGTCAGAGACTCGTGGAACCCCTGCGCCGCGAACTTGCTCGCACAGTAATCCGTCAACCGGGGGACGCCGACGGAGCCGGACGCGGAGGCCACGGTCACGATTCGGTTCCAGTGCCTCTTCTGCATCATCTTCGGTAGAAACGCTTGCACACACCAGAAGAGGTGAAAAACGTTCACGTCGAACAGCTGGTATGAACTGCAAAAGTATCGTACTAGTAGTAATTGCAACACAAATTCGCTCAGCATGACAAATGGAATTTGACATGCTGATTTGCGTTGGGAACGAGATTTGTAATGCGTGACTGCAATTACTACGAGTACGATACTTTTGCACAGGATACCTGCCGGATGTTTTGCTCCGACTTGAACTCGACAAACTCGTTCCCTTTCACGACGCCCGCGTTCAAAATTAGCAAATCCGGGACCATATCCTGTGCAAAAGTATCGCACTCGTAGTAATCGCAATCATGCATTACAAATCGCCATCCCAAGGTTAAACAGCATGACAAATTCCGTTTCTCATGCTGAGCAAATTTGTCGTGCAATTACTACTAGTACGATGCTTTTGCAATTCATAAACCAAGGGGTAGGATTTGTTCTTTTCCACTAAATTTTCCGCCGCTTGGAACACTTGCGCGCGGTTGGACACGTCCACGAGTTGCGTTGTGGCGAAGAGTTTATTGTTATTCTGGTCGACGTCCAGTTGGCTTGTTGTAGAAGGTTGCTCGGCTTTACCAGGCGCATGATCATCAGCACCAATATCCCGATCTTGATTGTGGAGATGATTATCAATTTTTTCAACAATCTGCCGTTCTTTCCCCGTGCTGTTGCGAATGAGCTGCATGGTCTTCTTCAACCCCGTTTCGTTGATGTCCCACAGAATCAAACCTTTCAAACCGCTGCACCGCTCGACTAGCCGAACCGCGAGCAATTGGCCAATGCCACTGCCGGCCCCGGTGATCAGAATGACCTTGTCGTCCAACCGGGTTGCAGCTATTCGGTTCTTCCTCCTTCGCCTACATTGGAATAGGAAGAGGAGGGAAATGATAAGCAGAAAAACCGTCGCGAGGAGCCTGTCCTGGCGGGAAAGCAGGGACTCCACGACGGGAGAATCCCGCGCGCTCTCAGCGATTGACACAACGATGGAGGGCAGCATTTTTTAATTACACGAAGGACGAGGGGGGTTTCATTCCTAAACCTAAACTTACTTGAGCTTGCACGTAAATGCACCCTGCAAAATCAAGGCAGGAGTTTTGCGATTAGGACCGTTTAGATACACAACTACACGACCTGAACAGAGTGAGAACTGGGTCAGAAGATTGTCTACCGCGACAGCGCAGTGCGGTTTGTTTGTTTTCCCTGCCTCTCGTCGTCGATGAATGATCCTGCAACAAGCTAGAAGCAAACAGCAAAAACGAACCGAGGCATTTTTGCGTTAAGGTTAACTCACTCTGCAGGTGTTCCTGTACTAGATGTTTTGCTTTTTGACAGCTTTCTCACGACAAGGACAACGTAATTCCCCTCACGTTTTCCCTTTTGATTTTTCGACATCTCAATCTCTTCGTTTTGTTTTCTTATTGCAGCGTCCTCCTGCAGCAACCAGATAAAAACCTCTGTTCGGCGACGCCACCAGTGAAACTACGCGGTGGTCGTCTTTGTTTGGAAGATGAACACGATCGTGAGGTTCGGCCGCCGGGACAAAGCCAAAGCTTTAGCACCCGGCTTCGTGCTAGAGAAAAAAAAGTGACAGCAAAAATGGGGGGGTGGAGGAAAACTTGTTCACAAGGGGCTGAGTCTCGTTCTTTTGTGCGTGCTTTTCAGAATTCAATCAACAGACAAGCGGCAGTGGCAGCACCACAATTAATTTCGCCGTGTATACTTAACGCACTTTCAATTGCTTCCAATCAAAACTCGAAAATGATGAAGCGACAAAGGACGATCAAGATCATCTTCAAAAGGAAAACATATGCTCCTTTCTTCAAGGTTGCTTTCTCCTCTTACTTTTAGCACGGCATCGGTACGCCACAGAAGAGGCATGTCGGCTCGTCGCCTTCGTCTTCCGCGGCTTTCGCTTTGCCTTCCGCAGCAACGGCAGCTTCCGCGCTGGTTACCATGGGGGCCGCGAAAGGCTCGGTCGTGCCAAGTTGACCTCCTGCACCGGCATAATCCGGATCACTCGCTTCTTCATCCTGTGCATTTTTCGCGGCCTGCTCATCTTCCGCCTGTTCTTTCGCGGCTTCGGCCGCGTTTTTGGCTGCTTCCGCGGCTGCAGCTTTTGCGCCGTCCACCTCCACCTCCGCCTGAGGCGGAGGTGCCGCCGCTTTCGCGTCTTCAACAGCGCCTTCTGCATCAGCGGCCAGGTCTGCGCTCGCGCCCCCTGCACCACCGGCGTGGCCGGTGCTAGCGCCAGCGCCAGCGCCAGCCCCCGCCCCAAGCTCAACCGGGCCGCTTGTTCCCACCTGTGGCTCCTCGCTGCTTACAGGAGGAGTACCCTCCGACCCACCATGATTTTCAACCACATCCGGTCGACCGCACAAGAACCCGCCAAATGATGCCACCGTTTGATCGCACGCGGGAGAGGGCACCAGCTGTGCCTTCTGTTGAGCGCTGCAAGTATCCTCGTTGGTGACCATGTCGCAACATTCCACCCGATACGGCGTCACTCGGCTCATGCACGCGCCAACCGCCGAGTCGGTCTCGGTCTCGGCCTCGGCCCGTCCGTCGTCGTCGGCAGCTCTTTGGGGGCAGGAGAGAAACGGCAAACCGTGGACAACGTGGTCCGCCGCTTCCGATGCGCAGTTGTTCGCCTCTACTTTTTGCTCCCCCTCGCTCATCTGCTGGTCGTTACAACGACTGTCCTGACGAACGCCATTTTCACAACAGGACATCTGGAACGAGCGAAGGAAACGAACGCAACCGTTCCGCTTGCTATCCCAATAGTTAGGATGAAACCTAATCGAGGGCCACTGGGCTGCAAATTCTTGAGAAGGGGGTGAAAGCACCGGAGGTGGTTCCGACTTTTCTTCCAGTTCCCCCTGCAAGTTGATGTTGTGTATGAGATCATTTAAGGCGTTCGTCCCGGAAGTAACAGGATGAGTGCCGTGAGTCGGAGGTTGACTTAGCGAGGGAAATACCCCTGCCAGGGGTACTGTAGCCGACTTCGTCGTTTCGGAGAGAAAACTCATCTTCCTTGCAGCATTTTTTCTCTCCCTCCGCGCGTTTTTCTTCTTTCCGTTTTTCGTCAAAAAACTCGATGCGGCTCCTAACGAAGTCGTTTTTACACGACCAGCTCCGGCGGGCTTGTTCCTGCCATGATGCTGCACTCGGGTTGCGCCCGCGGTCGTCTGTTCATCCGGCAAGTTCGGTGGGTGGTTCGGCGTTTTGACGCCGTTGACTAGCAGCAAAGAGGAAGCGATGATGATGAATGATGCTGTCATCTTCGCGAAGTAGCCGAGATTCATGTAGTAGATTTTCGTCATCTTGAAGAACATTTACTGAGTTTCAGAACGGATAAAATCAAAGTTACGAAGAGTTTGGATAAGGATATTCTTGTTTCCCTTACAATCCTTTCATAGAAGGTACTACGAGATAGTAGACACTGTGGGAGGTCGAGGCGGTATCTATTATCAAGCGATATACTAGTAGATGGGACAGGCAAAGGTCCACCAGGTTGTAGCCTCGTCGTTTCGCAAAAGAAGCTGTTGCATTTGTTCTGGAATCAACGTGTTAATCTTGTTCGAACGACTTAGTCTTCAACGAATGCTCTGAAACGACACGACCATGACGCTGTGGGCCGCTCATGTTGCTTGATGCACGAAGAAAGAAACGGTGGCTCAACGGTGTTGATTTTTTTGCGCACGAAATTTGTATACAGACGCAGCACCAGAAGCAGCAGCAACACTGGCACTAAAAATAATATGTTCGACCGATGAAGTGCAACTTCTACGCACGATTGCAAAAGCACGACCAGCTCGCACGATTTTATTTTTGTGCCACGACAACATAGAACGGAAACGAACGATCGGGACCGAGGTCAGACTCTTGCTAAGAACAGACGACAAACCACTTACCACTACGTAACAAAGTCAGAAATTTTTGCTCGACTAGAATCAATCCAAATGTAGCACAGTACCGAACAAAAGGTTCTTGCCTGGAACACTGCTTGCCCTTACGGGAAACTGAAACGTATAGAAGGAACCATTCACGGTTTCCTGTTCGAGCCTCTAGAACCTTGGGAGCTGCTTATGAATCAACGAAAAGAAATGAAGCATGTAGACGAGTTTAGGAAATTCTAATTCATTCCGGCGCGCAGTTCTTGTAAGTGAGTCTAGTGATGTCATTGCATCAGCTATGAGCTCGCATACAAAGCTGTGCTCCTGCCGCAAGAAGTGTAGTTATCGATTCTTTCGGCTTTCCTTCTCTTCTTTCTCGGTTGTCATGTTTGATGTGTTTTCAGACCAGCGGTCTTTCTCCAATCGTGACACGCCACTAGAGCCGGCGTTTGTTACCCAACCTGGTTTTGATTTTCGGGAAGAGATTGGGAATCGTCAAGATGACATTTGATTTTCGCATGTCAAGATGAAAAAACAAATCATACGGACGAGTGTTTGTATGCGCACAAAAAACAAGAAGCAAAGAAAGTGAAGTGGCACGAAGTATACCTTTGCGTCGTCCCCGCCTCCGTTGCAGTGTATGGCGCCATCTTTCTCGCAGGGCCTTCATTACGTTGTTCTAGGAACCCAACACCATTCGGAGGACTTCCCGAGCTCTGCGTGACGTGACCGCGTTGTGTAACTTCATCTACTACATTCCTCATCTCATAAATCCGTTGAAAAACAGGGGTTTTCAATTTTTTTTGTTTTTTTCGTTTTTTTGTAAAAAAAGTAGTACAGCTTTCGTTAAGTGTGTTCGTTTGCGCGTAAAATGATTCTCCGAAGTAAATGTGTTCAAAAACAAGAAGCGGTGATAAAAATCGGTTTGTTCGATCACGACCTTGGCCTTCTCACCATGGCAATCAGACGCAAGGCCATGATACGGGTACAAACACAATCTCAACATACAACTTCCGTTTTGTGCTTTGAAAAAATCCATCGTAAAAATAGTTGCATCGTGAAGATTTTCACGTTTAGAATGATCCTTAGTTGTAACTGTAAGAAATCCTTTCTATAGGCAGCCAATCCAGCTGTTCTCCTCTAGAAGCGAGTCGTGCATGATGTGTTTCGTAAAAAGTTTTGCTGTTCGTAGTAGTTTTTTTTTGGTTTTTTCAATTTTTGGCTTTATGCATGGTAGTAGCTTGTTGTCGTCGCGTCATCTTTCCTGTGTCCGGTACTACAAGAAAAAAATCGATGATGTTCAACTCCAATCAAACTCGTATTCACTTCTCGTCCTTCTTCTTCTTATCTCCCCGGTAAACCCCGACGACGACCGCGTGGTCGCGGTGGTACGGCTATGCTGTGCAAAAGTATCGCACTCGTAGTAATTGCAAACATGCACTACAAGTCATCTTGTTCTTAAGCTAAATCCGCATTACAAATTTTATTTCTCACGCTGAGGAAATTTGTGATGCATTTATACGAGTACGATACTTTTGCAATGCATAACGGCTCCAGCGTCAAATACTCCTTCGGCTTCATCATGTCCTTCTTCATCTTGTCGATTTCGGACGCGTACACCGCCTCTGCGGACGCGGTGGAATCGATACAGTTGGCCTTGATGGAGATGATGAACCACCCGTTGTTCTTCAAGAAGTAGCTCGCATATCAACTGTAAAAGTGTCTGGGTCTGGAAGAATCCAACTTGTCATGCTGATTTTGGATTCTAAGAAAATCTGTATTGCATGAGCAGCAAAGAGAGTCCAAATTTTGCATCATGGAAAGAGCATTTGTCATGCGGAATAGGCTTCAGGAAGCCCTCTAAAAATCTGTGATGCTAGGGCATGCATCACAGACTTGAGGAGTCATGCAAATACGCATGACAAAGATGGCAATCTTCCAGACCCAGACATTTTTACATTTGATATCGCGTTCAGCGCGCAAATTCGGGCCTGATCCGGCTGGGCCACGTCGGCGAATATGCTGTGGAAAAGTATCGCACTCGTAGTAATCGCAGTCATGCATTACAAATCTCCTTGTTAACCTAAATCCGCATTACAAATTCCATTTTTCATGCTGAGGGAATTATTTGTCATGCGATTTCTACTAGTACGATGCTTTTGCATTTCATAACGAACAGCACGTCGCAACTGCCGATCAGCATTCGGTACTTCTGCGGCTGCCTCGCGTCCTCCACGATCGGGACCACGTTGGGTCGCTTCTTGGCCATGTTGGTGAGTTCCCGCCCGCATCGGTGGGAAAACTCCACGGCGTAGACGACACCCGTCGGGCCCACCATATCGGACACGTGGGAAACGGTCGTTCCGGAGGCGCCGCCGAGGTAGATCACCTTGCTGCCCTCCTTGATCGGCATGTTCTTCACTCCCCCGACGATGGACGCGCCGAGCTTGGACCGGAACGGGTTCCACACACGGTACTCCACCTTCTCCGGCTTGTCGGTGCCGGCCACCAGCTTCTCGGAGTCGACGGAAATCCGCTTCTCGCCGTACACGGACTCCCCGGGAACCATGTTCTTGGTCACCATGGAGTCATCCTTTGCGGACGCAATGTACACCCGCTCGAACCGCTCGTGCGGCTTCACCACCACGGCGGCGGGCTTCTTGCCGCCGCCCTTCTTGCCGTCGCCCTTCTTACCCTTTCCTCCCTTGCCGCCCTTCTTGCCGCCGCCCTTGCCCTTTCCCTTGCCGTATCAAATGCAAAAATGTCTGGGTCTGGAAGAATGCAAGATTTGTCATGCTCGGCTAGCATGACTCTCAAGTCTGTCATGCGCGTTACCTAAGAGCCTCACTTTTCTGTCATGCGGAAGCGCAGTGTGTCATGCAGAATAGACTATACCGACCACACCAGAAACTTGTCATGCTGAAACGGCAATTGCGGCACCCTAATCATTCGCCAAGCAGCATCACAAGTTTCCAGACCCAGACATTTTTACAATCCATATGCCGTCACCGCCCTTCTTTCCGCCCTTGGCCACGCCGCCCTTTCCTTTGCCGCCTTTGCCCATTTTGAGTGATTGTAGTCTCGGGAAGAACAAATCAAATGAAAGAGAAAAGGTTAAAGAAGTCTTGTAATCAAATACGAACACTGATGGTTTCAAAGCAAAATATGTTGTCGAGAATCAACGCAAACTTTCAATCGAATAAATCGAGGTGCGATTTTCTACAAAGCTAAGCACTTCGTAAAGAAATCTGGCTGTGGTTTGGTTTTTCGAGAAAAGAATGAGCAATGGTTTCGTGGGACTAGTGGATTTTCTTTTTCGGGGGTTGTCTAAGACCAAAGAGATCTGGCACATTTTCATTTGAACAGGTCGTGCAGGAATAGTTTGTATTCTTCGCATCAACATCCTCGGATCTTCCAGTTATGGACAGCGGGAGCAGGACTACCTCGCACAGAGATCATCTTCTTGATTTTTTCATTTTCAATGTCGTGATCTTCTTCTTCAGTCAAGGTGTATTTGATCTGATCAAGGTCTTTCTCTTCTTTGTCGTTCGACTTGAAAATACAAGCGTAGAATCCTGTTTTGTTCAAATCAACGTGAATGTAAGTACTTAATTCTAGCTCGCCTTGATACCGTCACGTCCTCTGCAGATCATGCAACATTGCATTTTCACAGTAAATTTGTGACCGACAGCACCGAGACCGACCTTCTACTGCTCTCGAGCTGACTACATGGATCGTGCCACAATACCAAGCTGCTGAAGAGATTTTTGCATTTCCATGCCGCATGGCGATGGCCTCTGAGTACAATTGCGCAAAATGACCTCACGATCCCACGGCAACATATTAGGTCGAGCCTTCTTTGCGTTAAATTTAGCTTGTCTTCTCGCTCAGAAAAATGCGTGATCGACTTCAAGCTCGCGGGGCTCAGTCAATTGGTGCGCAACCACCTCTTCGTACGAAACTTCCGCTTCTTGTATGTCAACATCTGGCTGAAGAGGAAGACCTCCATCCGGTTCTTCCATCACCGCTTCGCCTTGCAAAAAATTTCGCATTCCCCCACCTGGCTTCCTCCTGACCGCACCGCGAGCACCTCCACCGCGACGCAGGTTTTTCCTCGTCCCGACCGGCAGCAACTCCGCGTTCTTCAAAAAGCACACCCGCTTGTCAAACCCGCCGGTGGTCAGAGTCCCAGTTACCGGGTGGAAATCAACCACAGAACACGGCTGCGCGGAGGTGTGGGTGTGCGGGTAGGTGACACTAGCGTCTGTTTGTTGTAGTGCTGCATTCTCTTGGTTTGATATTGCGTCTGAGAACGAATAGAACGACCCCGTCACCGCTCGCCGCACGTCGTAGAGAACGACGCTGCCATCCTCGCTGCCGCAAGCCAAGTAGCGCATGCAGCCGGACATTTTAATCTTCAGATGGGGAAGGAAGGAGTGCTTGTGGCACCCAGAGAAACTGGCGACAGAGGATCTCTTCCCACTTTTGCACCGGATGTCAAACAGATCACAGAACCCGTCCGTTGAGGCGGTGTAAAACAGCGACAAATTCCCAATGCTCGAATATGCGTTACTCGGAGTACAGAATTCCATACAAGTCAACCGTCCCGCGTTGCTGTAGGTCTCGTTCGTTGTCGAGCTTTTTGTGGAGGAGAAATTATCCGCACCGCCGGTGGAGAAAGTGGCGACGATCCTTTCGTGACTCAAGTCCCAGAGGTGAATCCCGTTATTCGCGCCCGACGTGGCGGAAGCGAGGAGCAAGGCGGAGAGAACGTTGCTGGGGGAAGCGATTTTCGAATATTTTCTCGGGATGGTACAACTTTGCAGCTGCTCGGGCTGCTGGTGACCATTGACAGGTCGCTGCCGTAAAACCCCAACGCAAACTGCACTGCCCCCCTGCTGCTGGAATCGATTGACGTCGTCCTCGTAGTCGCGTTTTTGCAGACTGTACTTGAAAATCCCAATTCCCGAGGTTCCACGGCTTTGTGCCCCGGCGTTGAAGTGGTCATCCTCGACCACAGCGGCAATCGCACTGCTGTTCGCCACGAAGCACGCGTCGCGGATCTTCGCCGCGCGTCGAGAAGTTGATGTAGGCTTCATTTTATTCGAATTTGATGCTGTCCCTGTGGAGGTTGCAGCTGCGCCGGATATTACTGTTGATGATGAACTACTCGTCGTCAACTCACACACGATTTTCCCGAAGCTTTCGGAGTTCAGACTGTACAACCCGGCTCTGCAATTGTCTTCCGTCACGGCGAGTAATAGTTGATCAGAAAATCCGTTGGCTGAAATTTGCGCACTGGCAGACCCGGGGCATGACGTTCGGATCTTCTGGCAGACGCGTCCTAACGAATTGTCGAGGGAGAAAGCGGATTTCACAGCAAAATCTGGTAGTTGATGGTGGCCCGAATGTAAAATCTCTTTGGAAGTAGAGCTAGACAGCACGGGTGAGGTAGTTTTTTGGACGAGCGAGACGACGTTATCGGATGTCAGCACGAGCAATTTGCTCTGCGAGCTGCCGCCAAAGTAACACAGATCCATCACAGCTTCCTTAATCTCCAAGTCCGCCGCCACGACAAGATTATCCAGGTAGTCACAGTCGGCAATTTTTTCACAGCCGTGATTTAATGCACCTCGTCCGCCGCCAGAAGATGTCGTGCCCTGTGGCGCTGCAGCCGAGCGTTTCGCAGCTCCTGTGATAGGAGGACAATTTCCTCGCTGCCCAACATCAACCTGCCTTGTTCCCCATTCGCTTTTCGCCTCCAGCGCGCTTTTCGGCACTCCAAAATCTGGCCGCTGAAAACGCTTTTTCGGCGGCGCCGCCTTCGCCTGCCCATAGCCCGCCGAGCGCACTTTGCGATGAAATGTTGTCGGTAGATTTCCGGTGTTCTGATTACTCTTTTTCGCGGTCGACAGCGGCGCGGTGCGGGTCGCGTAGCCAAGTTGCTGCGAAATGTGGGTCGACGAGATATTATGTTTTGGTCCTTTATTCGCGGCTTTCGCCGCTTTTCCCTTTCCCTTGTCAACGCCGGGTGCCGATGGACGGTGCGCGTTCAGCGCGCGAGCGAGCAAGGTGTTTTTGGGTAGTGGCGCGCTGATGACCACCGAAGGACAGTCAACATCAGACGCCGCGGCGGTCGCATCATCACCGTCGATTGCGCTTTTATTTCTCTCGGCATGCACACAAGCATCGGTAACATTGCTTTGATCTGGATTGCTCGCCAAAACCGAAACAGCCGAATATTGACCGACGACTTCGCCATCGGAGTGCCCGGGCTCGACGTCGTACTGCTCATCATACACCATCTGGCCTTCTTCATCTTCGTAGGGCTCATCGTAATTGTACAACTTACCTCCACTATGGATCACGCAGAGTTCCTCCTGCTCGCCCTCTGCTGAAGCTTCAACCGGAACTTGGACCAGTTGAAACGACGCGCCAGTCGTTGGCTCGTCGAAAATTTTCTTCACAATGAGCACCGTTTTATTGTTTCCCTGCACTTCCTCGCCACGATCTGCGACCACAGCAAAGGGTGCTTCCGCTGAGCTGTAGTACAACTCACCGAGGTCATTTTCTATCGGCAGTATTTCCACTGGATCGTAGCTGCACGTTCGTGTGTGAGCTCCGGAAAGCTCGTCGAAAAAGACTCCGTAAATGCTGACGAATGATCCCTCTGCTGAACTTTCAGCTTCACTCGCAATGAAGAAGCAAAGTTCCTGAGCACCCGTAGAGCGACATCCATTTTCCATGAGGAAAAGACTTGCTCGTGATGTTGATGTTCCGTCTCGGATTATACTCTTCGCTTTTTCATCCCCGCGCCTAATATCGTCGTCCGCAGCGGTCTGCTGTGCTAGGTCTTGGGCGTGCTGTAACACTGTCGAGAGCGACCACCGGTAGATGACCACGCCATCAACATGATCTTCCGTACTACCAGCATCCGAAGAAGAAAATGATGTCGCAGACAGAAGCGAGAGACTCTTATCCTTATCGTCGTACACCACCGTGCGGTTTGGCAGCACACGACCGCCCTCGCCGTGCTGCAGACGAATCGTCCAGGACGGTGGTTGCATCGTTTTCTTTGCACCTGTTCACGTTGCCATACCGAACAAAGACTTTGTCAGGAAAAAAAACAGCTTGTTCACCAATCACAATCTAAGAAAACAGTTTCCTGGAGCAGATGCCGAAGCCGAACGTTTAAACGTAACAGAGCCGCATAAGATCAATCGATCCAACGAGCAAGAACTTTATCAATCAGGGGTCCAACTTTTCCGGTTCTCTCTCGAAGTCCATTTTGCTGTAGCTGTTTTCAACTCTTGTTGCACCACCATGGTCAAAAGTTCCGAAGTAGACCTTTGGCGAACATTCACGCTTCTTGACAACCATGAAAGCACACCGCTCTGGAAAATCAAGGCTTACACTACTACGTCGCACCAACGCGAAGATCCGTTCCCGCAATTGCATTGTTGCTTCTCAGTAGATCACGACCTCGCTCCGAGCCGTGCTGGATTTTTCTTGTACGAGGTGACCGATATCTTTCGCTCAGCAGCTGGGAGTTTCAACTTCCTGTTGTACCATAGAGCCTTCGCTTCCTTCGGAAAGTACCCCGCTTTCCTCTCATGGTCTACCTCCACCTCCGGGTGACTTTCCGGTTTCCCCCGCTTCCTAGCCTCCGCTTCCTTCCTCCGGACAAACAGTTTTTGCGTGTGTGCCGCATCTTCCTCTGCGGAGGGTTTCTTCCCGAAGAATTTTTGAAACGCGAGACGGTAGTTCTGGGGGCGCCAAAAAGACTCGCCGACGCGGATCATGCGCCACGGGTTGCCCTTGGAGCTGTGCGTCTTCTTGTACGTGCGATTCAGGAGGAGTGGCAGGGAGGGGCGGAACATGGTCTTTGTGGACTGTCTGTTCGGTATTAGACGAGGGCACAGAGGCTGTATGAAATGTCCTTTAGGTCTACTCAGATGTGACTCTGGGATTCACCACCGAACAACGCATCATTCCCCTTTACGAACGAAATTTGCAAACAAGCGAAATTGCACTCCCAGCCGTGATGAACAAGCTAATCGTGCGAAACCGCAGGTGGAGGAAGGAGCTCGCTGGAGAGCAAATGCAAAGATAGACACCTTTGGATGAACACCGCATGACCAAACCGCAGCATGCTCCTTCTGAGAGATCGCATGTAGCGACTCATCACCACCACATTCAAAACATCGGTTCTCCTGATGTGTAGACAATCATATCTCTGCGTCATCTTCCGACAAGTTGGATTTTACAAAACATTGCCAAGAACCGTCTACGTACGGAAAGCAAGAGACCACTCTATCGCAATCGCCTATCGCCGCGTCCTCCAATCATGATACACGTATTTGCGCTATGCATTTGCTTAGCACATCTGACAACTCTGGTAAATTACAAGATGGCTGCTGCCATAGATTCTGGAAGAGAATCGTTGAAAGTGTTAATTCTCTCTGCAATTTCCAATTTCTCGAACGAATGCGGTAACAATGTCAAAACCGATAAATTTGCAAATATGATACGAGCATTTTACAACAACAAGCGCGACATTTCTGGGTGAAAAGGAGCCTACGATCTCCTTAAAAATTCACTTCACCGGCGATCTACTCTCGCCTTGCGCGATAACGTGCTCCGCAGTTCCAGAAGCCGCCATCCCACCCTCTTTCTCCCCGTCGTAGAGGTGTTCCGCGGAAAATTCAAGCCACTTACTGGCGTGCGCAACCGCGACGGAGTAAATCTCCCGGGCCTTGTCGTGGCAAGCCCTGGAATTTCATTTTTCTCACATTTCTCGTTTGGATTGTAACTACCTCGACCACGCACTCTCTAGCTAGCTTCACCTCTTGCTCTTCTCAACTACGAGAATAGAATTCCCTTGAAATCTCTCGCGTCCACGGGATGTAACGGTGACTGAAGTGCAACATCAACAGACATTTATCACATCAAGAGCACAGATGAGTGGAACCGAAGTAAATTTAAATTGTGAAGTGCGAAAATACTGTCCGTGCATCTCGGCTGTGATGGGCAGCAAATGCATGAAATTCGCCGTGGCGTAGAAATTCACAAAATTCTCCGTCAAAAGTCCCGAGTGCGAGTGGTCCCTGTTTCGCCGGCCCCGGGTGCCGCTTCGGGGGGCATTTTGCAGTCTGGCGTTGTCAGAGGTGACATCCTCGCACTCCGTCCAGTCCGTCTCGCTGTCCTCGCCGGAGAGGAGCCTACCCCCGGGCGCCAACCTGAATGTAGAGTGTGATTTTTTTTGCGGTGCAGTTGATATTGGTTTTAGTTCTTTCTCCAGCACAGTACACTTATTCCGTACGTGCTTTAGCTCCTGCACCCATGTGCTGTCGAAAAAGGAACTGCACTGCTTTAAACTTTACGACTGCTGATCGCCTCTGGCGGGCACGCCAAGACCCAGAACAATGCGACAACAACCAAGAAGCATGGTTGCATCGCATGTCCAATCGGAAGCACTTTGCGTTTTGGTTCAATCGTGCCTGGAAAATGTAAATGATCACGTCCTTGTATCAGACATAAAGTATCGAATTAGTTATCCACACCGGCAAGCCTCGAGCAAGCCATGCATGAACTAAGATTGGTCATCATGATAGAGCGATCTTTTACGAGATGAAATGCGGTCGACTATTAGATTCCGTTGCGCCTTAAGGAGCAAAGCGCCTAGTAAAATGCGCAAAAATGAGTAACATGTACGCACAACACCTTGCGACGTCGACGTCCTAAGATCAGACCGAGCTCCATTATTTTCTGCACTGGGGTCAGCAAGGAACCCTGCTTCCCTCAGAGCATCAGGTCAAGAAAGGAGATCATCCGATGATTTTAATGTCGTTTTCTACCACTGCACCTTCGCGACCTCCTCGAAGGAGAACCACAAAAACGTATCAGTGATCGTTTTATTTGTCTCAGAAAGAACTTTGGAAATATTTGTTTGATCCTCACCGGCCACAACTAAGGGCCTGCAGAGCATCAGGTCAAATGCTTCGCATCATTTTTGTGAGGGATGCACAACCAGTACCAGGGGATGGTTGTGCAGCGTATCGCGCTCGCGCAGCACTAGTTGATGTCATCTATAATGCCAACGCAGAAAAAAACAAATTTTGGAATTTCCGCTACATAAAATTTCAATATACCCGTGCATCTTCGCCAAACTCGATCTTTTCCGCTTTTTCTTGTCCTTCTCCCGCATTTTCGTGTACTCCGCCTCGGATTCGTCGCGCAGCAACCCGGGCGCCCAATGATCCACTTGGTCTTCCGGATCCGCATCCACCGCGCCGATGAGTTCGAAAATCTGCGCGACTAATTTTCCCTTGATGACCCGGTCCACGTAGGTGAGCACGGAGAGCGATGGGTCGTGGTTCACCTCCAGGAGCCAGCACTTCGACAAATCGTTGTGAAACCTTTTTTGGTAGGAGAAAGTAGGGGAAGAGAGCGATAGATACGCGCCCGAAGATCTATGATGTCTACCAGACAGACACTAAATCTTCGAAACAGAATGAAAAACTTCTGGTATGTTGAACAACGGCGCAGGATCTTGAAAAAGCTCTCAACTAGTTAATATCACCCTCTCGCAAGAACCAAACCATCAAGTATCAAGGACGTGTCCAATGGGTGTATATTAGAGCCGTTTCGGACGCTTCGTGTTCTATGGCAACTTCTGGGCTAGGAGTAGGATCAAAAACAGAAAACAATGCAGCGGACAAGAACGAGGATCACATCTAGTCTTCATTGTTGCGTTAGCAGGTTCGGGTTCTGTACGTGCTTGTATCAGATGTATGAACAATTCCCGCCTTGATCTCGTTCACCTAAGGGCTGTATCGACTTCTACTACTGGAGAACAATTCAACAGACTACAGTAGTACCTGTCCCGGTAGCACTACCAGACATGATCAACAAGGAAGTAATAAAGCGAACCTATTTAACAAACGGAAACGGAAATCTTGAAAAAAAATCAGTACATGACATCGAAGCCCAGCAACTGGAACGGTCGGACGTTTCTCGGGAACATCCTTCGGTTTGCCACGTCTAGTTTCGGCGTATGCAGTGCAAAAGCACTGCTACTAATTGCATTCATGCATTACAAATCCAGTTCCTAAGGCAAATCCAATTTGTAATGCTGAGCCAATTTGTATTGCAATTCTTACTAGTACGATGCTTTTGCATTTCATACGGCGCTACAGCCAGCAACGTCTTCGCCACCACGTCCGCGATGGGGAGCCAGAGCTGCTCCACCCGCATGCCGTATTGCTTGCTGATCTGCTGCAGCACACATTTCAGACTCCTTTTCGACCCTGTGTGCGGCTCTCCGCTGTCGTGAAACGCGTCTTCCTTCCAGTTGATACTGAAATTCGTCAGGTGCCGTCCGAACTCCTTGACATTATGCGGTCTGGGGCGCTGGTAGCTGTTCGTGCAAAGGCGCGCTAGCCCCTCGTCGAAGAGGTAGGCCTTGAGCTCGGGTCGCGTGCCGGTGACCAGCACGTAGACCCTCGCGTCCCACTTCAAATCGTGCTCCAACGTAGCGGGCGCGGTCACGTAACGTTGCAGGAGAAACCTTCGCTCGTTCTGCAGGGCGCTCGTCATGTCGCCTGGATAGAAGACGAGGATGAAGGGGATTTTTATTCTGATAAATGAGTCTGGCTGCTGGTTATACTCGTATAACATCTCCACAGATGCTGCAACCGAACAAATTATACGAAGACATTTCTTACTTGCATAGATTTGAAAACTACAACTCTACCTTCCCCCACAACCTCCTGTATCTGCTTCGTTATCTGGTCGCCCCAAGTTCCCGCCCGAAACGCGTCCTATGCAATGTAAATTTTCCGTACATGTACAAAATGCATGACAAATTTCGCTAGCTTGCAGTGTCCAACTTGTCATGCTAGGCTAGGACTGAAGGCAAGTTTTGTCATGCACAGACTGCGTTTGTACGTGTACGCGAAATTTACTGTGGATACGTCCGCCGTGATCTGCACTAACCGAATTCCGTTCCCCTTCGAACCGTCCGCGGGCTTGAGAATGAAAGTGCACCGCTTCCCCCGTGGCCGCATAGACGTGTCTTCGTTGTCGTCACTCGCATTTTGATTTTCGTCGTCGTGGCCATTTTGATTTTCTCCTTTCGCTTTTCCCCCGTTAGAACCAGCAGATTCCCTCGCACCATTCCGTCCATTCGGCGACCCCGCCGGCTGGCCTTCCTTCACCACTTCCAGAGCTGCTGCAACAGAAGTAGCTCCTCGATGCCCGCCCGGCGACTTCCCCGGGCTGGTGGGAAAGATCGGGGGTTCGTGCAAAGGTGTCAACGGCGACTGAATTGCCGCGAGCAACGGGGACTCCGGCTCCCGTCGTATCAATCGCAACCTCGCCCGTTCCTGTGCGTGCCGCCCACCTAGCAACCCCGTGAACCACAAGCCCTGGCACTGGAGCTGACCCAAGGAGTCGTACGCCCCGCCGTTGTACTCCGCTCCGTCCTTATTGCTATCCGCACCCGACGACGCATTCTGCCCGCCGCGACCACCATTCGCTCCGCTTGATGTTCCGTTGTCCTCCAGATTTTTCTCACCCGGCGGAAGCAACAGCCTGTTCGCGGCGGAGCTGAAGCGAAAACCGAGGTACCGCGTCAACTGTCTCCGGTCGGTGGATAGGCAATAGGTAGGCGGGTAGAAGTTAAAGTCATCCGGGAGCATGCGGTGCAGGCCCTGGAGGTTCCGGGCAAGCAAATCTTTCCGCGTGATGTGGAACATCTGTGGGAAGCGGTTTACGTAGATCACGTCGCGCTCCAGGATGGTCGGGTTGTAGAAATTTCGGTAAGCGTTCGAACCCATCCAGGGCTTGCGTTCTTTTGTATTAGGAGATGACGCATCTTTATTTTCAGCTGCATCGTCACCGCCGGCTTCATGTTGATCCGCGCTTTTTTTCTCACCTGTCTTGTTCCCTTCCTCATTCCTGGGCGGAAAAACCTCCTCTTCAACATCCGCTATTTTTCTAATTTCCTCCTCCGGCACTACAGTGGCCGTGCCGCCTTTGTTGACAATGTTTATGCCCTCTTGGAAGAGCAGGCTCACACTCTTGTCGTCTGGAGGTAGGGAAACCGAGTTGATGCTGGCGTTATTAATACCGTCTTTGTTCGAGGGAGTGCTGGGATTTGTCGCGCTAGCAGCTCCAGGGGGTTCCTGGTAGAAGCAGAAGGGGTTCTTACTGTTGGTTTCTGATCCTGGACCGCCACCTGCTTTACCCCCGCTTGTCAAGATTTCACTCTGCAAGGAAGGCTTTCGATTCGATGGTGATCTAGAGGACACAGCTTTAATATTTTTGTTCGTGGTCTTCAGTCCAAGCTTTGCTCGGAGATGGTCTAGTCGATCGGGGGATACATCGCGCACGACGAAGTCACCGTCTGGGGAGCTGCTGCCTTTCGAGGAAGAAGAAGATGAGGAGGAGTTACTGCTTTTGGACAAAACATCGTCCTTGTTACCGTTATCTGCATCTTCCTTCGGCGCAGGAGCTGCAGGCCCCGGCTCCGCATTGCTCTTGCCATAATTGGACAACTGTGCTACATCGTCGATCGTGGCTTTGTTTCTGATGTTTGAATCCGTAACTACAGAGAGAGATTGTGGTCGTTGCGACAGGAGCCCGAGGCCTGTTGGCGTTGCCTTGCTGTGCCTATCACTTGATCCTGCTGCCTTGGAAGAAGAGCTTCCTCCCGCGGCCCCTCCCCGCTGGATGGTGTTCGTGGCGACTGTAGTCCCAGTGGCAGAAGTCGGTTTCGATGGCGACGCTGGGGTCGATACTCTTGAGGGCGAACGCATAAGATGATTACCAGAATTACTTCCATTCAACCCCGCCGCTCCTGCCCGTGCGCCGGAGTTGGGGCGGAGCATGCGCGTCGGGGAGCCACAAGCCGCGGTAGCTCCTAATGGCGTGGTGGCCGCACCACTGTGGAAGTTGTCTATCCCACTACTCGTCAGATACGGCACCGAACCGCCGCGAGAGCGTGGTCGCGCGGGACTAGAGGTCGTACTGTGAACAACGTCAGGCGCACCTGCTCCAGACGCACCGACATTATCCCCCGCAGCCGCGCCCACGTAGAAGTTTTTACGCAACTTATTGCCCCCCTGCGACGTCCCGGGCCTCGACGAAGAAGCACTATTCTGAGCAGCGTTCGAGGCCGTTGTCGCGCTCGCGTAGAACGGCGGCGGGCACCGTAATGTTGCTGCGCTGCTCCCTAAAATCACCGCCGCGTGCGCGTGCCCAACGACGGAAGCTAATCTGTCGACCATCTGTGACGCCTGCTGCCTCTCCCGCTCTTGTTTTGCCGCGCGCGCGTTCACGACCCTGGCCTGCTGTAAGAACTTATCCAAGTCTTCCCTATCCTGACACCACACAATCCGCGCTTGCTCCGGATTTTCCACTTTTGTCAGGTTCAACTTCTCCACCACTTTCGGGACAATGTGCTTGTCGCACTGCTTCAACTTCTCCGGCATCCAGACTCCGTCCTCGACCAAAGTCCCGGTGCCTGGCTGGGTGGAAAACGGCGCTGCCTGGTGCGCGGCGGAAGCGAAGAGCGGGGACAGTGCCTGTTCCACTTGCTGCAGGGGACTGTTTGGGTAGTAGAGTAGGGGGGAGGCGCGGTTGGAGGAACTGGGGCGGTGGTTTGAGTTTGTCGCTCCGTCGCCTCGTCCAGGAGAATGGTGTTCTGGCGATTTATTTTGTGCCGCGCCGTCTAGATTGTTCATGTTCATCTCATTCGACAACGAATTCGCACAGTACATGCTCGGCCACGCGGAAAACAGTTCCGGTCCCCGCTTGTTGCGCGGCACGGTTCCAAACAAAAACGCGTCCCAATAGTCGTCCTCATCCTGCTGGACCAAGCTCCGCACCTGCTGCTTTTCGTTATGGCGTCGGAGCCGCCACCGAGGTAGCGTTTCTCCGTTCGCTCCCACGCGCGTGCGGACGTTGGACACGTAGGGGGCGTGGGTTGCCGTGAACGAGCTGGACTTATTTTGGTTCTGCTGTGAAGGCGACTTGTTCTTCTTCTTCGGAGATCTATTCGCCGTCTTGGTCGAATGGTCTTTGCTTGTTTCATCTCCATCATTGTCAATGCTCCGCACACTATCGTCCTGCTGTTTGTCCACCTCGGGTGGCAGCCGAAATCGCCGAGGGCCACCAGGCGAAACAGACTTCACCTGCTCGGACGAGTTGTGTTTCTGCATTTGATGGTGCAGTTCCTTCTCAGCGAGGACTCCGTTAGTGCTCATGGCGCCTTGATGCCGCCGACTGTAGTAGTTCTTCTGTTCTACTTGTTCCTGCAGGTGCAGCTGCTCCGCGAAGGCTGCGCCAGCAACAGCTCCGGTGCTAGTGTGCAACGATCGCGTTCCCCCAACGTCAGCGTCTTTATTCAAAGGAGCGAGCGCGTGGTCCAGCCGTTGCCTTGGCCGGTTGGGACTCGAGGATGTTGCACTAGAACCGCCCTGCTTTCGCGTGCTGCGTGGGCTCGCGTTGAGATTCGGAGGCGCTTTGACTGTGTTTGGTTTACCGTTCCTTTCCATCTGCTTTTCCAGTAATCTCTTCCTCTGATGTCCTGCTTTTGCGGTATTTTCGTGCGAGGACACTGTTGACGTGGTCACTGCTCCGCTGTGATTAGTATTCTGCTGCAGCATCGACAAGAGCTTTTTTCGGTCAGCCGCCTCGCTGTGCGACAGTAGTACCTGGTCGCGGCCGAAAGGCTTCCGGAATGACGGACTGGTGTCCACCTCTGGAGCTGCTCCTGCTGCGCGTGCGCCAGGAGCGAGGTTATAACTCCTATCGCTGAGCGGTGTGAGTTAAAACTTTGCGACGGGGAGGAAAATCGTCCACGCCGAAAGTTTTTTTACAATTTTCAAACTTTCCAAAGCTGTCGCGATTTGGGAAGTCGCCCAACGCCCAACGGCCAAATCGCAAACGGCCAGCGGCCAAATGGCAAACGGCCAAATCGTAAAAGGCCAACGGCCAACGGCCAAATCGCAAACGACCAGCGGCCAACGGCCAGCGGCCAAATCGCAAACGGCCAACGGCCAACGGCCAAACCGCAAACGGCCAACAGCCAAATCGCAAACGGCCAACGGCCAACGGCCAAATCGCAAACGGCCAACGGCCAAGTCGCAAACGGCCAGCGGCCAAATGTTTTGCGGCTTCAAATATTTTGCGGCTTCAAATATTTTGCGGCTTCAAATATTTTGCGGCTTCAAATATTTTGCGGCTTCAAATATTTTGCGGCTTCAAATATTTTGCGGCTTCAAATATTTTGCGGCTTCAAATATTTTGCGGCTTCAAATATTTTGCGGCTTCAAATATTTTGCGGCTTCAAATATTTTGCGGCTTCAAATATTTTGCGGCTTCAAATATTTTGCAGCTTCAAATATTTTGCGGCTTCAAATATTTTGCGGCTTCAAATATTTTGCAGCTCGAAATATTTTCCAGCTCGAAATATTTTCCAGCTCGAAAAAATATTTTCCAGCTTAAAATATTTTCCAGCTCGAAATGTTTTCCGACTCGAAATATTTCCCCGCTAGAAATATTTCCCACATCGAAATATTTTCCAGCTCGAAATATTTTGCAGCTCGAAATATTTCCCAGCTCGAAATATTTTCCAGCTCGAAATATTTCCCAGCTCGAAATATTTTCCAGCTCGAAATATTTTGCCACGCAAAATATTTCGCGGGCCCCGTCGAAAATATTTCGCAACAAACTCCCAACCAGACTTTTCTCCCCGCTTCACTTCCTTACTGAAATCCCTAGGGGAAAAAAACTCCAGCTGGTCGCGCGTCCGAGGAGAACAACGCGATCAGGCAGCCGAAGACCGGAGGCGGCGATCGCATCCCTGCGAGCTGTACATGGAGTGCCGCCTATCCTATTGCGAAATCTTTCCCCTGGGTAGCCAGAATTGCTGTGCTAAACGCAGCAACTCGGGGAAAACAAACAATATTCTCCCTCCCCTTACCCGCACCATCATCCCACTACGCCACTATCCCCTCATTATCCTGATACCCTCCCGGTATTCTATTGGGAAATGTTTCCCCTGGGTAGCCAGAATTGCTGTGCTAAGCGCAGCAATTCGGGTAAAAAAGCAAACTTCTTCCATCCGTTGCCAATATCCTCCAACTATCCTGAAGACACCCTCCCGCCATCCTATTGGGAATCTTTCTCCTGGGTAGCCAGAATTGCTGTGCTAAACGCAGCAACTCTGGAAAAAAAACCGAAAAGCCCCGAAATCCCCCCTGGGAATGCCCTTGGGCATCTCCGCCCGAAATTCCGCCTGCATATGCCTTGAGGGGTCTTGCTTCGCCTGAAATTGCAGCAGAGCCCGCGCTGCAAGTGCCTTCTCAAAGTGTTTCCAGCTGGATTTCCAGATAGAAATGGAGCAGGCCTCTTCAGCTGGAAATCCAGCTGGAAACACTTTGAACAGGCCAGGTGGGAAATGCATTGAAAAGGCGTCTGCGGCTGCATTTCCAGGTGGAAATGCGCTGCAGATGGCTTTTCCAAATGTTTCCAGCTGGAAATGCACTGAGAAGGCGTCTGCCGCCGTCTGGGGAACGCCACCGACGGCCAAACACCAGGCGAGCAGCTGCCCACCACCCTCCCCCGGCGCCCTCCCTCTGTTCGCGAAGGGAAAGTCGCGCCCTAGCGCCAGGCTTGCAGGCGAGCAGCTGCCCACCACCCTTCCCCGGCGCCCTCCCTCTGTTCACGAAGAGGCCGGCAGAGGGCGCCACCATTTGTCGTCTCTGTCTTGGGGGGTGCGCGCGAGGGAAGCAGGCAGGGGCGCAACAGATTGCATGTGGGCCAACACGGGGGGCGCCGTTGTTGTCCGGGGGTGCTGGGGGAGGGTGGTGGGCCCCTGCGCCTGGAGGGCAATGAATGCCCCGCCCCGGCGCCCGTCCTCCATCCACGCGCGCGGAAAAGGCCCCCGCGCGCCCCCGTTCTGCAAGGCTGCGCGCGGGAGAAGGGCGGGGGGGGGGGGGGGGGGGCGCCAAGGCGCACAGGGGCGGGGCACACAAGCAGGCGGCACGAAAGGGCCACACCGCAAACGCGCGGGCGAGGCGTCACGCGCCAGCACCTCGCATGGCGCGGCCTCTTCCCCCGTCCACTGGCGGCCGCCCGCTGCCGCGCTTTGCGGTGTTGCTTGGGTCTAAGGCCTGCCGCCACGCAAACTAACGCGCGCCCAGTGCGGCCGGGGCCCTCGCGCTCGCACAACGACGGGAACCACGGGCGCCATGGCGCTCCGCCTTCGTTCTTTCAGCAAGAAGCGGCGCAGATGCCTGGCCCCGCCCTGCATCAAAATTTTTTTCCCTTGCCCCTCTGGCGTTTTTCTTTCCCCTCCGTCCACTCGCTCACCCTCCCACTGAGCGACATAAGTTGCGGCCTTGTAATTTTCGTGCGGTGAAAGTGTCATGTTTGTGCCGTCCGCCGCCAGTGGTGATGGCGAGGTGGAGGTAGAAGTGTTTTCGTGGTATCCCTCGCTGGTTATATGCTCCATCACGAGGTTCTTGCTGGGAGAACCTCCGCCCGAATGCGTTTTTGTCGCGATCACCCTGCTACTACCACCAACTCTCTTGATGTTGCTTGTGCTACTGCTACTCCCTCCATAGGAGTAAAAAGCGCTTGCCCCCGCACCTGTCCCATTGCTCTTTATCGGCCCGTATCCTGTGCAAAAGTATCGCACTCGTACTAATTGCAGATATGCATGACAAATCCAACCCTCTACCTGAAATAGCATGACAAATTGAATATTTTTCTCGGGCAAATTATTTGTAATGCATTTTAGACTAGTACGATACTTTTGCCATGCATAGCCCGTACTGAATCATCTTCGATACCGCCGCAGGGGTCTGGATCTCGTCGTAGTTGCGACGTCGGCGATCGAGAGAGGAGACCGGGTATCCTGTGGAAAAATATCGCATTCGTATAAATGCAAGTCTTGCATGACAAATCATTTTCTTGATGCAACTCCGCATTACAAATTTTATTTCTCGTGCTGAGGAAATTTGTAATGCATTTATTCGAGTACGATACTTTTGAAATTCATACCGGGTAATTGAGCGGGTTGCTCGAAGATGCGGGCGAGTTTTGATTCATTTGCAGCTGTTGCTGCTCCAGAACGACCGGAGACGAGGCTAATAGCGGCAAACTCCGATAGCTCCCGACTAAGCCAACCTGATGCTGTCCAGATTTGGTCGCATCGGGCGAAGCAAACCGCTGTGGAAGCTGCTGCTGCTGCTGGGTCGCCATCGTTCCTCCGCGGCTACCTCGGTTATTTTGCGGAGAGGTCACCGGTGAAAGGGCCGGCGGTGCTGCGCTGGATTGGAACATACTGGTGGCTCGTGCTACAGGTTTCTTCGGAGATGATGTTAGTTTGATGCTCCTGTGACTACGAACAAACTATGCTAATGCTCTCAGCATCTCCGGAAGCAACTAGCAAGATTTTTCGACACACCTTTTTAGGAGTTCTAGCGCGATCAAATATTAGACGATGTTGTTGGTCTATCTCGTTTACGATCGAAAGCGACAAGCTCATCGAGTCGGAAACGAGGACGACAGACGATGAAAAAAAAACGAAAGAAGCGCGATGCTACTTCTTCTCCAAATCTGCAGCAGATTCGAAAACAAACAAGGATAAAGAACGCGATTCTACTTGCAGCAGATTCGAAAACAAACCAAAGAACAAGATGAAGTGTAGTTGCGGACGATTCGCAGCACCAACGAAAAGGCCGCACGATGAAAGCTACAGGAACTACATACACGGAGCCATAATAAATACCGTGTAATAATTGCCGTTACAACGAGCGGACGGGCTGGCAGACCCTGCGATTACCAAAATGCCAAGAACTACCGGTGGAGGCTCTTTTGCGGCGAGACACACCTATCGCGACGACATGATGCACAAGACAGATACGTATTTCAATGTTTTTTTTTGTTTGTTTGTTCTGAATGGAAGTCGTGGCGTTCCGATTGACAATTGTTCTTTCTGCTCACGGGGCTAGTGCTCCCTCCTACTTCAGTTAATATATCTTTCTTTTTGTACTTCTGAAACGTTCAATCTAGTTGTATCCTTTGGCCCTTTACCCTTTGGTCGAGGCCTATACATCAAACTCAAAGTACTCATTGCGCCCTTTTTTGTTCTTTCATGATTTTGTCCGCTCAGGGACGAGAAGTGCGAGTGCCAACACACTGATTACATACCACAGCAAGTCACGACGATTTGTAGTACAAGGAGACAACCAAACTTTTACTTTGCGGCGAAGAAAGAAGAAGAAGTACGACCGTGTGTACAATGAAATCATACGCCGTGAAAGTATCGCTCCCGTTGTGTTGCCGTTTCGCAAACTTCTCGCGAAGATGTGAAGATTTTTAATATTGCAAAAATCACGTACATACATGAATTCGACAGTTGTCACAGTTCCTGTTCATTATCATTTCCTTGCCTTCTCATAGTTTTCCACGAACCAGTCGCAGGCTTTTTGTATGCCATCCTCAATGGGGGTAAATTTGAACTCGGGCTTGAAACTCCGCAGCTTGGTATGCATTGCAAATATGTCTGGGTCTGGAAGAGTGCGAGATTTCTCATGCTAGTTTGGCATGACTCAGAACTCTGTATTGCGTGGCCACGAAGACCTCCTCTTGTCTGTCATGCAAAAACGAGGATGTTTCTCATGCGGAGTACGCAACACAGAGCCACGAGAAAATCTGTCATGCTTGGCGGTGCATTGCAGTGCGCTTTCTGTTCACTGATATGCATCACAAGTTTCCAGACATCCAGGGATATTTGCACTTCCTACTTGGCGTTCGACGCGGTTTTGCGGAACTGCCCGCCCTATGAACTGCAAAAGTACCGCACTCGTAGAAATGCATTACAAATTTCCTCAGCATGAGAAATAAAATTTCTAATGCTGATTTACCTTAGGGAAAAGATTTGTGATGCATGATTGCAATACGACGAGTATCAGATGCTTTTGCACAGGATACGTCCGATTTGCTTGAGTCCAGGACGACCTCCTCCTTGTACCCCATCGCGTTCGCGATCATCTGCGCAACGTCTTTTATTGACACCTCGTCCTTTTCGTCGACAGAGAGAATGATAGGCTCGGGGGAGTGATACCTGCAGATGTGGTCGATGTGGTGGTGCGTGTATTTTTTGATAATTTACAGCACTCGCGGTTTGTTGTCGTGTCGGTCCACCTCGTCCTCGCGCACTGTCTTTATATGAAAAAAAAGCTTGAAAGTTTGCACCAAAGCGTACAGTTGTGATCAGCAGAAAAACCCTAAATAATACTCGTTCATCGTCCACACAATGAGCTCCGCCAAATCTTCTGAGTAGATGAACTGCCGCAGGGGAGTACCGCTACCCATGATCGTGAAAGGCTTGCCCTCCTTCTTCGCTATCAGGCACTTGTGCATCAATCCCGGAATTACGTGGCTATCTGTGAAGATTGAATGCACGTGGGTTGAAGCAGAATTCGGTTTGATAAGTGTCGTGCCGTCCAGAGAACTCTAGCTTGAGAGTCGTTTCGCAATTATATCCTCCAGAGATATAGATATTGAAACAGCTGCTCATTGTCACTACCACTACGCACAACGCACTAATACCTTCGAGATTGTAATTGTCATTTGGCCCGTAGATGTTGGTTGGCACTATGCTGGTGAAGTTGCACCCAAATTCTTCGTTGTAACACCTGCTGAGAACGTCGATCATACGCTTGGCGTAGGAATACCTGGACAAGATTAGTTTTGCTAAAATTCATTGTCATGCTGGTCGTGTTGTTTGTGGACAGTATCTTTTCCGCAGCTACTTACCACGGTTAGCGATACGTGTTCATCTGCCCCCTTATTGTAAAGCTGACAACTCTGAATTCGAAAAACCGTATACCCGACGTTGGAGTTGTGCGGTGCGCCCGAATGGATCATGGTCTCGTCTATTGGGTAGGAGGTTTTGTCGGGAAATATGCAGGTCGACAGGCAGCTGACGAGCTTCTTCACGCCGTGTATTCTGCAGCACTCCATCACGTTATCGTTCAGCAGAACCTGGGAATGATGAAATAACGGTCGCAGTACTTAGAAAGGCAACACCTTCAACAAAAACAAACCCATGAACAGATTATTATTTCACATCAAAAACATCACTGACATCGACATCTTTTGCATCCGTAGTACGTTTTCCCGGTAGAACTCGACTTTGTATTTCATGTTCGCGAAGAGGCCCCCGACCCGCGCGGCCAGGTGTATGCAGTGGGTGGGTTTGTGTTTCTCGAAGATGGCCTCGCACGCGGTTCGGTCCACGAGATTTCCGTCTTTGGAAGAGAGGAAGACCCATTTCTGCCGGGCCTTCTATCAAATGCAAAAATGTCTGGGTCTGGAAGAGTGCAAGATTTGTCATGCATATTTCTCATGACCCATGATGCCTGTAATGCTTGAACTAGCATCGCAGATTTTCAGTGGGCTTCCTGATGCACCTTCCGCATGAGAAATGGCCTGTCAGTGTAGCAAAAACTGCAGCCATCTTGCTGGTCATGCAATACAAATTCTTTTAGAGTCCAGAAACAGCATGACAAGTTGCAATCTTCCAGACCTAGACATTTTTGCAGCTGATACCTTCGTGTCCGCGTCAAATCGCTCCACGACCCGCTGCAGAGCGTAGCCAATCAAACCAGTACCGCCGGTGACGAGCACCGTTTCCGTGGGAGCGGCTCCCGTCATGTTCGTCAAGTGCTGCTCGGGTGCCGCGGCGGGAGCCATGGATAGTATAGTATCAAATGTAAAAGTGTCTGGGTCTGGAAGAATGCAACTTGTCATGCTGAATCTGAAGCATGCAAAAATTTGTGTTGCATGATTACCAAATGATGTCCACTTTTGAACAGTTTGACAAGGAGGCTCTCATGCAGAATAGGCATGATAGACACCTCCCAGCGTTTGTCATGCTAGATGCTGCATTCCAGGCCTCATGGGTCATGGAAAAACTGCATCACAAATCTTGCATTCTTCCAGACCCAGACATTTTTACAGTTGATATATAGTGATCCCGATTTATTTTCGGTACTACAACAAATGCCACAAGTCTACCGCGCTGCTGCAACTACAACTACTCCACTGTCCGTTGTTTGATGTCGTTCCTGCACCGGCGTCTGTCTGCAGCTAAGTACACGCTTCGTGCTCCAGTACAGCTTGCTTGTGGTAGCGAGGTGCGGCTGCGGGGAGGTGCCGGTTTCAATCGATGGCTCCAAGCAGAGAATGTCAAACGACCTTCGATGCGCTACATCATTGTTTGTGGGCGTCGAGGAAGTAGTCCTTCTAAGAGCAGTATGAGAAATTCTAGAAAAAAGAATACTCAACAGATAAAACTGCCGTAGGAGGAGGTTGGTTCTGGTGCTTTGGGGTTTCAAAAGCTTCACATCAACAACAAGTATTGAAATTTTATTCCGGCAACAATTATACACAGAAAAAGGGTCGTGTGGGTGACACTCCAGGAGTTGCATCGTGTTCTTGCGGAAGGTGACCTGACCTGTCATGCTCCCAGTACAGTGCTTGTTTTTCGGGAAAGAATGCTAGGTGCAGGCTATCTTGCTGGCTCGACTTCTACACGGAGTGTGCATCTGTCGAAAGGGTGAATGGACATGGGAGTTGTAGTTGTGCCTCATTAGAACTTAAAACCTCTTCAGCTTCACTCAACTTCAACTCAATTCCACTGACTTCAAAAGAACTTGAACATCACCATACTGTCCTCCATATAGAAGCAGCAAACCCGCAGGAACGAATGTTTTTGGTTTCCTTTTGTTGCAGCCAGGAATTATTGCTTTTTTTCCTTTACGAAAAAACTTCAAAGAACAAAACATGTGCTTCGCAGTTAGTGAAGGACAAAAAGTCCGTGCAGGAGGATGAAGTTTCCACGTCCTTGCATAGCGTTTTTACTTGAAAAAGAAGACTATGCGAAGATTATTGCTGCTCTCCTTTTTGCGAAGCAGTTGCACGATTTCTACGGATGTTTTACTAAAAAGAAATGCAATCTTCAATATCCGGTGCCGCTGCTGCTGCTGTTGATAGAAAGGGAATTTATTTTTTTGACGGGTAGCAAAGAAATCATAAAAGTATTTCGGAAAATTTTTGAAGATCAACTTCAAGTTTATTTCTGTTTACAGCAACGGCAGCGTTTTAGAAGTCCCTGTTAAAAATCCCACGCCCGAACAAGAGCCAATAAAGATATGCTTTTTATATTACATAGCGGAAGTAGCGGTCGCACGGTCCTACAGCCCAGACTTCGAAGAGCACGACCTCGTTCTTGCCGCGTGCATGATAGAGAAGATTTTCATCTTCCATATCGTACTGTTTTTATCATTTTTGCTAGTACACCTACACGAGGACAATCACAATCTTCGCTCCATGGAGCAGTAGGCCATTGTACTTTCAGTCACATTCTCCTCTACTACTTGCCTCAAATCCACCCGTTATTTCTCCTTTTTACGCTGCCGCTTTCACTTCAAAGTCGGTTTCCTGAAGGAAGGTCTGGATGGCCGCGTGCACCTTATCCGAGGTTTCCTTGGAAAACTGCCCGGTCTTTTTGATGTCTTCCACGATGTCGGCGTGTGTTATACACGAGGTTAATTAATAACTGCAGCACACGTAAAAGAAATGCAGCTGGTGACCATGCATCTTCACATGCGCCGTCTCCTACCCTAGTTGTACTATCCGTACCCCATACCCATTCAACATATACTACAAGTTTATCATTTACATTTTCCAGCTAGGCAGAGCTTCTTGTGCTGCATTTCGTGTGTGTGCGGTGCGGCAGTTTTATTTTTGTTTTGCATATGCGTGGACCGCATGTATTGCGTCCACTCCTTCTCGAAGCGCTGGATGTCCTTCAGCGGGACTTTGTCGAGGTACCCCTGGGAACCGGAGAACAGGGACAGGGTCTGCAAGGGTTTGGTGGAATTTGTGTTTTACTCGCTCAAGGTAGGCTCGGAAGATCAAACGCATTTCATCTTTTTCTGTCAACATCCATGCTCCACCGCGGTTGCTCATGCAAATGCAAGAAGCAAACGAGAAAAATGTAAGCTGTACCATATCCGGCAGCTCCATAGGAACGAAGAGCTTCTGCTTCAGCAGTTCCATCAACACGCTTCCTCGCAAGAGCTGCTGCTGCGTGGCGGCATCCAAATCACTACCGAACTGCGCGAAGGCGGCGACTTCACGGAATTGGGCCAACTCCAGCTTCATAGAACCTGACACACGATAGGTATTTGTAGTTCTTGATGTCGTACGTGGTGGAAAGAACCAATCAAGAAGAAAGTAGGTTTATCTATTGACTCAGACTCCATCGCATTTTCATCAGGTTGCAAACTCGTCGATGACGACGATCAGGTCGCACCGGTGCAGGTCTACCAAAAAGTACTACTTATACCTGTGACTTCCTTCATGGCCTTGGTTTGCGCGGCCTTTCCTACCCGCGACACGGAGAGACCGACATCCACGGCTGGTCGCTGCCCCTTGTGGAACAGCTCGGTTTGCAGGAAGATCTGTCCGTCCGTGATCGAAATCACGTTGGTCGGGATGTTATGCATTGCAAATATGCCTGGGTCTGGAAGGTTGGAACCTGTCATGCTAAATCTGAATCATGTAAAAATCTGTGTTGCGTGATTGCCAAAAGCTGTCCACTTGTGACCTAATCGAGACGCAGTCTCTCATGCAGAATAGGCATCATAGAACTATCACAGAATCTGTCATGCTATGTCCTAGATGCCAGACCTTATGGATCATGGAAAACCTGCATGACAAGTCTGGCATTCTTCCAGCGCCAGACATATTTGCTGTTGATAGATGTAGGCGGACACATCCCCGGCCTGGGTCTCGATCACCGGGAGTGCGGTCAGGGTGCCGCCACCGTGGGTCTTCTCGTTCATCTTCGCCGCGCGCTCCAGCAAGCGGGAATGCAGGTAAAACACGTCACCCGGATACGCCTCACGACCTGGAAATTGTTTATTTCGACAGCAAATACTCGCCAGTGAACAACATGCAAGTTTTGTGGCGGGCTGTCATGAGATCATCGGAAGCTCCTGCAAGCACCAAGATCCTCTTTATCCTCCTCTCAAATATTTTTTCCTGGGGAGAAAGCATTGGGTTTATATCTTTTTTCTATTCATTCGGTTCTTACTTCAGGAGTTTCTGGAACAATAAAACCAACGCCCAGTGTATATGTAATGTCTTATACCCGGCGGCCTGCGCAGCAGCAGACTCATTTGACGGTAGGCCACGGCCTGCTTTGACAAATCATCGTAGATGATGACTGAGTGCTCCCCGTTGTCGCGAAAGTACTCCCCGATCGCGCAGCCAGAAAAAGGCGCGAGGTACTGCAGCGGAGCGGCGTCGGAGGCGGTGGCCGCGACGATGCAGGTGTAGTGGAGGCAGCCATATTTCTCCAGAGTTTTGTACAGCTGCGCGACGGTGGATCTGATGTTATCCATTGCAAAAGTAACGTACTCGCCTCGAAATAATGGTAGTCATGCAATACAAATATCGATATCCTTCCATCTCAAGGTAAAACAGCATGACAAAGTCATTAAGTTGTTCTACCGCTTCTGTCCCACGGCCACGTAGATGCACTTCAAATGCTTCTTCGGGTCCGGTCCGGCGTTGATTTCCTTCTGGTTGATAATTGTGTCCTGCGCAATAGACGTTTTGCCGGTTTGCCGATCGCCAATAATCAACTCACGCTGGCCTCGCCCGATTGGGATTAGCGCGTCCACGGATTTGATACCTTTTTTAGGAGATTGATAGTGCCCGTGTTGCGATGCCGTTGCCGATGCAAGGTAACTGAAATATATGACGAAACTACGCTGACAGTTGTACTGTTTCATGCAACATCAAGTGCGTCGAGACATGCCCAACAAGCGCCAGTAATTCATTGTAGTCATCCACCAGAACCATCAGAAATTGAACCTGTGCTCATGGGCTCGTAGACGGATTGTCGTGGCAAAATCCCCGGTGCCTTGATTTCGACTCGTCTTCTCTGCTTTGCTGCAATCGGACCCTTGCCGTCGATGGGGTTACCTATTGAAATTTATTTCATATTCCAATTGATCAAGTCGCTGCGAGTAACATCATCCGGACGAGGGGTAGAAAGAATATTTTTAGGTGTAAATATACGTCGGAATTCGTAAATCTAAACCCGCGTTCTGCGCTCGCAAAACAACCACGAGAAAATAAACATACGTAGTACCCAAAGCATCCACAACCCTTCCGAGCAATTCGGGCCCTATCGGCACATCCACGATCTCTTTTGTTCGCGCACAGGAGTCGCCCTCTGAAATGCCGCGATCGTCGCCGAAGATCACGACACCAACGTTGTCAGTTTCCAGGTTCAACGCCATGCCCTTCACACCCGAGGCAAACTGAACCATCTCACCTGGGAGTACACGGGTTTGGATTTCTTTTGGAACTGTAGATACACACATACAATCCGCATCCGGTTTATTATTGCAGATGATCCAGAGACGACAACGAGATGGAGATAGAGTCGAGAATGGAAAAATAAAACGAAAACAAGGAGTCTGTCTACCACTTCTAAACGCTGGTAGTAATAAAAATTCCTCGCAGGAGGAGGCACAGGCACGGCCGGGTTCCTAATTTTCCATTTTTTTATACCTGCCTTGACATTCTTCAAGCCGTACACCCGGGCAATTCCGTCCCCTACGTTCAGCACCCTTCCAACTTCTTCGACGTTGGCCGCATCCGAGAATTTTTCGATCCTCTCCGACAAAATTTTGGTCAGTTCCGCCGGTGAGACCTTTGCCGCCTGGTACCGGACGGCGGACGCGCTGTGCACGCTGCGCGAGGCAGTGGTCAGAAGACTGGCGGCGCGGGCGTTAGTGGAGCCGCCCCTGCTCCGCAGACCGCGGAACGCCGCACGAGTAGTGAACGCCATCGCTCTGAGATGGCGCTTTGTGGTTGGTTCTTGTTTTCGTGCCAGTTCTTTAGCTCAAACAACGCACGTGCTAGTAGATCAACAAAATCAAAAAGTATATCGTAGATACGACACCACGTGCGCAGCAGTTTTTATGTACAAGACAGGACTGTATACAGAACCGAAACATCCGAGGACCTTCGACGGGAACAGTGGAAGCGACGCCAACGACGACACTGTGGAACAGCAGGAGTAGACACAATGGAGCAAGAAGCGTCGTCCGTTTGGAAAAGCAAAAAAAAACAACCGAAACCGATGTTGATACACTTTCAAAACAAGAAACAAGCAAAAATCTGTGCGGCTCTAAGAACAAAACGGCAGCGCGCCGCAAAGGCAATGTAAATTATCTTGCGGAGCACCGCCCACAAGCAGCAGCCTTTCATTTTTTCACCAGGTCCTTCTTTAATTTTAAGGCGGTCCTTGTTTAGATTTCCATTTGTTCTCCTGTTCTTTCCAGTGCAACAGCGTAGTTTAGTACAACTCCCAGCGAGCGCGATACCACAACGGCGCTGCGCCAGCCTTTTTTTACGAATACGAAACTGACAGCATATAGACATTGCGGGCAAAAAAAATCTTACATAAAGGCGGTGTCCTATGTATGTTTGACCTCCTCGGCTTGTCACCAGTGCAGCTGTCGACATTGTTGTTTACATATTTTCTACAACCTCCCCTGCTGCAACCCGGCGAGCAGCGGCAACTGCACGGTTTGGGCAAAGGTCGCGCCTGGTGGGCTGGGCTCGGCGAGAAGAAGCGACAGGTCGTCCTGGGTAGGAGCACCATCGCTGCTTCTTGGAAGGCGAAACAGCGGCACAACGCCACCAAGAAGGCGCTCCTGGAAACTGGGTTGCGACTGTTGTGCTAGATCTGCTGAAGATTGATGTTCGGCCAGACTGAAAGGATTAGGTCTATTGCTGCTCGTCCCATAGAACGGGGCATCGGCATCATCATCTTCTGCAGCACGTTGATTTTCACCTGCAGTTTTCCTTTTATTCCGTGGCCTCCTTGGCACTACCTTACCGCTGCTTGCTTGCTGGAGCAGGAGTTTTTGCGCGCACAAAATGACGTCCGTAAGCGTGTACACCGGCTCCCCGGTGTGCGAAAGATCGCGATCGTAATGATCCGCAAATTGATTACTCGCGGCTGCAGTGGACGAGGACGATGTCGCAAGAAGGCTGCGTCCTAGTATTCCCGAAGACAAGCGCCTTCGCGTCGGAGAACAAGTAGACAACGTTCCTGCAGCAGTTTGGTCATCATAATTATCATCCGCCTGCTTCTCACAAAGTCCCGCAACCGCACCCGCACAGCAGTCGTACAGAAAGTTGCAAAGTCGCCGGAGTTCTTGCTTCGTGTAGTCTTCCAGGACAGAAATGAAATCCGCCAGGGATGGGGGCTGGTCTTCAGTGAAGCTGCTTCGACTTCCACGCTGGTCGTGCCCGTAGTGGGCAGCAAAGTCCTCCGGTGAAGACACAGTCGTCCCCGAGTCCTGTTCTCGCCCCGTGGAGTTTGAGAACGCAAAGGAAACATTCCCCTGTTCGGGGGGACTGTTGACAAACGAATCTCCTCCTGCTCCTCCGGGGAAATTATAACTACTGCTTCCAGGAGGAGGGTAGAGCCCGCCCCCGGGAGCGGTGTTTTTCGAGGTTTTCGCGGACAGAATGTCGAACAGCGTGCTGCTCGACGAGGTATTCAGCTATGGGGTTCTCAAACGTTACATTCTCAACTGTTACATGATTTGTCATGCAAAATGACCATGACCACCCGCCAGACGATCAAGCTGCTTCGCATGACAGATTCTCGGAAGTCTAAATAGCACTGCAATCCGGATCAAACCTGTAATGCAAGACGCGCAAGGTTCTCCCTCTCACCTGTGCTAGTCTTGCATTACAAATTCATGTAACAGTTGAGAATGTAACGTTTGAGAACGCCATATCAACAACGCGTCGCTTTGGGCCGGGTTCTGGCTCACATTGTCCTCGTCTAAGACTTCGCCCTCGTTCAGCGTGGGGAGGAGCAGCTCCTGCGCGGGATTCCACCCCGTCCGGGTGTCGAACCGGGAGGCCGGGCCTCGAATGCTGCGTGCACGAACGGAAGTGGTGGCTCCTGCTTGCTGCGTGGTCGAGGAGGCGGAGGAGGACGATGAGCCGGTGCCGGTGCCTTGTTGCGGCGCCGGCGCTGGTTGAACTTGACCTACACGGTAGTTGTTGACCACCACGTTCTCCTGCTGCTCCGGAACCGCACGTTCCTCCACTTCCGCAGGTGGTCCTTCTACTGGTAAAAACTCGCCAACGATCTCGTAGCGCGGAGGCAAAGCAGCTTGTCCACCCGGAAATAGATTCGCGTTTGCCGCCGGTGGTCCTTGTTGCATGGCCTGCTGTTGTTCAACACCAGGAAGGATTACCGCACCGTCCCGCTGCGCTTGCAGAAACTCTTCCCGCGCGAGATTGAGCTGGCCCGGACCTCGCCGGCGATGTTGACGAACCAAAGTAGTCTCATGGTCTACTAGTACTTCCTGTTCTTGCATGCGCTGGTCTTGATTCACCACTTGTTGACCACCTCGCGGACGCTGGATCACCACCTGATCGAGGTCTTCTGGTCGTTGGTGGGCGACCTCCCGATCATCTCGACGGCGCTGTTGTGGTGGCTGAAATGCTCCTGCTACCTCTCGTGGTCGTGGTCCACCCGGATGGAATTCTTGCAATAACGCCTGCTGCAGGTCGTTTTCTCGTCCCTCCGGATGTATCATCTGTCCGCGCACGTCAACAACTGCAGGATGTAGTAGTTGACCGGCTCTAGTCGTGCCGCCAATGCCGCCGCCGGCGATGTTGAAATACCGTGTTCTCCCTGCTTGGGAGACAACGGGCTGCGGGTGCAAATGCTGCGCGTCGCCCCCGGCCGTGTGGTTTTCGTCCATTTCTTGAAGCTATCAAATGCAAAAGTGTCTGGGTCCGGAACATTAGACCTTGTCATGCGAAATCCGAATGATGCAAAAATCTGTGTTGCGTGAGTGCCAAAAGCTGTCCGCTTTTGACCAAATTGAGAGGGAGCTTCTCATGCAGGAAAGGCATGATAGAGGCCTCAAATAATCTGTCATGCTAGGTCTCGCATTCCAGACCTCATGGCTCATGCAAAACGTGCAGGACAAGTCTCAGAATCTTCCAGACCCAGACACTTTTGCACTTGGTAGAAGCGTCGCGCCTGGAGGTGGATGTTGTTGTAAAAACGGAGCTGCTCCTGCTGCACCAGGTCCAGGCCCCCCTCGCAGCACGACGTGCTCCTCAAATGGCTCCCCGCGCGGCGTGTGGTTTTGGTCCGTGAGGACCTCCGAAGGGCTGCCGCCCTGGCCGCCACCCGCGGAAAAGTTGCCTGCAGAGTCTTTGGATTTGTAGGTCCAGTGGGGCGGGCCGGTCTGGCGTAGGATGTCCAGCAGGTCGGGCGGGGCGAGCTGCACTGCGTCTTGGTGAAGCAGGTGAGGGTGCGGTGGCACTACTTGGGGATGAACCATCGCGGCGGCTCCGGGCAGCTGCTGCTGCTCGAGTAACGGTTGGGCTCCTGAACAATTTCAGTTTAGTTCATCAGTTTATTCGTGGTCCGATACACTATACCCAGCGCCTTTCATGAACATACTCAGAAAGTTTTCTTGCTAGTACTAGTACCTCGTGCAAAACATTACCCACGACGGTATGATCAGCTGCAAAAAAGAAAACTCAGCATACCATGCAGCGTAATGTTATTCAGCAGCTAAATAGGAAGATAAAGACTCAGATTAGCAACCACCACCACTCTACCATTCTGGTCAACCGCGAGATGATCCTGCAAAACGTGGAACGGCGGCGGGCCGAGTTGTAGCTGCTCGGCGGAGATGAACGGAGTAGGTCCCAAATTATCCCCAAAAATGCTGTATCCTCCATAGTACGGGTCCGCCGCAGCGGCCAGAGTGGAAGCTGCCTCCAGTTGCCTATTCTTCTCCGCCATCTCCGCATTGACGGCCTCGCCATACAACCGGAACACCGCAAACCCGCAGAGAACCAGAACCAAACTCGGAATCAGCACAAAGCAGGTGGCGAAGTCAAAACTCTGTTTCGTGATCGCGGGGGCGAACGGGGTGAAATAGAAAAGCGTCGTGATCGGGAGCAGAATGCTGTAGGCCAAGCTGTTCAACACCGCGGACCCGTGCTTGGTGAGGTACAGTCCGAGCGTGTTGAAAAGTACGTTGACCAACGTGTAGAGGCAGAGGGCAAGTCCGAGGGAGTGCTGGGCACCTTGGGTTAGTAGTTTTTGGAGATACAAGACCTATCAGTAGAAGCTTCAGAGTTAGATATAGAATTGGATCAACATATGTTTACGGGTACTAGTTGATCTAGGGAATAGTATATGTTCGTAAAGTATTAACATTGCCATTCTCTAAACAAGTACAGTCAAGGAAACATCAGTACAGAAAGCGAGTTCCCCGTCGAAGCATTGCAACCCGAGCGACAGAGACCCCCACTCGGTGCTGGTGCTGGCGGAGGGGAGATTATCAACCCCCTCTGGAGTTGTACTACTAGAGGCACCACCAGCACTCGGAGTGGAAAGAAGTCCATTTTTGTCTAGTCCGGCGGAGTCGTGGCCCACTAACGTAGAAGAAGTACTGGGCGAGCTCATCATCGCGTAGTAGTTTGTGAGAGGGAGAAACAGAAAAGTCAGAAAGAATTGGTAAATCGAGACCCACTGCGTCAGATACCACACGTTGATCTTCTGCTGCCGAAAAGAGCGCTCCTTATAAACGGAGCTGCACGCCATCGGCAGGGTGGACAACGCGTAAGCCAAGATGGCGGGTGTGACTGCGCCGCTGTTGCCCGCTGAAGTAGATCCTTGCTCGAGGAGTGCAGGAGGAGCCGGGGAATCTGCTTCTTCGCCTCTGAAGTTGATGCCGTATCTGCTATCACTTTCACTTGCCGGTGTTGTGGTGCTGTGCGCAAAAGAAACGGAGAAGACGGCACCGATGACGATCATTCCAGCACCGACTATCTCACCGCGGGTGTACCTGGTGTTTTGAAATTTTTCTCTTCCATGTACTTATCCCATCCTGCAAACCGTTACGCACCATGGCACTATGGACGGCTGGCTTATCATCTGTAGCACCACCCGGAGTGACGTTATGCGCGACGCGAATCTACAGTCTTTGTTTTCAAAGAGCTTACTTTGAAAAAACGATAACGAATCAAATTATACCACGACCCCAGCGCCACGTACGAGATCAGCATGGTGCAGGGTATCAGCGTTTGGTTTAGCAAAGGCTGCAAGCTTCCGGGCGTGCCCCCCGCTCCCAGACTGGTGAGGAAAGTGCCACACGCGTCCAGAAATCCCATCACTAGAAACTTCCACTGCAGGGATCGGTAGCTGGTGTTCTTCTTGTTGGGCACGGCGGCTGTACTACCAAGGTTCTGTAGAAGCTGAAGTGGCTTGAGATCAACATCTGTAGTGGCACCAGTGTTTATCTGGATGCTTTCTGGTCGGAGGATCATTTGTGGGTACAGAATGCAGCCCCCGAACACGATGTACAGAAAATTTATCCCCTGGTTCGCGAAGAAGCTCAAATCCACGGTTGTGGCGGGAACCGGAACTCCATTTTGTGACGTCGTCCCTACCGCAACGTTGGCGTACTCGGTGTAGACGACCTTCAGCAAGACGAAATTGACCGTCCCGAGGCAAATCAAACCGCAAAGGATCACCCAAATCTTCGCCGTCGACAAAAACGGCTTCGACGAGGATGCGTTATTCGCACTCGTCGTCCCAGAGCGCCTGTTTTTCTGCTTGGAGGTGGTACTCGTGGCTGTGGTGCCTGGCGCACCAGCAGCTAGCTCTGCCATCTTCTTGCCACCGACGGCCACACTAGAAGCTGTACATTCGCGAGCAGTCGCTCTCTGCGATGGGGTAGTTGCTTCGGGCAGTTTTTCGTTCTCGTTTTTTTCGTCCACCCGGGTCGTCACTGACATCTTGATTTATGATTTCCTTGAAACGACAAACGGGAAACAGAGGAGCAGGAACTATCTTACACAGAAACTCGGACAGGAACACATCTATCGCTCTTCTTCTGACCCGTCTGACAAGACGGCTCACTCTGTTGTGGACTACGAATATTTCGCACGAGAGACTGACAGCAGAGGAGCGCTCGGGCCCATTTTCTTCCACGCTGGAAGCAACACACCGGCCACCGCCTGACGCGTGCGCCATAATATTGGGCCCCCTTTCGCGAGCAGAGACAGAACACGGCCCGGCTCTCTTACTTGGGGGGACCCGACACCCGGGCGCCCCAGCTCGGAGACGCCGCACCACAGACACCCAGGCCGTCGCCTGTTGTGGGAAGGAAGGCCAAGGCGCGCGCCACCCCACCCTCAGGCGCCGGACCTTCCACGGGCCTCCCCGCCAGCCATCACCAAGCCCCGGCGCCCTCCCACTCTCTCAGGAATCCGGCGCGGCCTGCTTTGATTGATTCTCCCCGGGCCCCCTCGGCCCATGCCGGCCCACAAGCCGGGTGGCTTGCTGGGATCGGCGAAAAAGGCCAGCCCGCTCCCGAGTCAAACCGGGGCCCATCGATCCCAGCCGCCGCGCGCTTTTCCCGGGCCCCGCCCCAACCATCCCTCCCGCCCGGCCGACCGCCCATCCGTCCGACCGTGCGTCCGAACCTGGGCGGCCGGCCAATCTGTTCCCGAGCCAAAGAAACCGGGGCCCATCCGCCTCATCAGTCGGGCGCCTTTCCCGGGCTTCCGAATCACGCGAATCAGGGCGGCAGGCCAATCTCTCCCGAGTCAAAACGGGGCCCCTCGGCCTCATCAGTTGGGCGCCTTTTCCGGGCTTCCGAATCACGCGAATCAGGGCCGGCGGCAGGCCAATCTGCTCCCGAATCAAAACGGGGCCCCTCGATCTCATCGGTCGGGCGCCTTTCCCGGGGCCCCAAATCACGCGAATCAGGGCGGCAGGCCAATCTGTTCCCGAGTCAATCAAACCGGGGCCCTTCGGTCTCATCCATCGCGCGCCTTTCCCGGGCCCCCAAATCACGCGAATCAGGGCGGCAGGCCAATCTGCTCCCGAGTCAAACCGGGGCCCTTCGGTTTCATCCGTCGGGCGCCTTTCCCGGGCCCCCAAGTCACGCGATCGAATCAGGGCGGCAGGCCAATCCGTTCCCGAGTCAAACCGGGGCCCTTCGGCCTCATCAATCGGGCGCCTTTCCCGGGTCCCCAAATCACGCGAACCAGGGCGGCAGGCCAATCTGTTCCCGAGTCAAACAATCAAACCGGGGCCCTTCGGCCTCGTCAGTCGGGCGCCTCTCCCGGGCCCCCGAATCACGCGAACCAGGGCGGCAGGCCAATCTGTTCCCGAGTCAAACCGGGGCCCTTGCTTCGGTCTAATCCGGCCGGCGTCTTGCCCGGGCCCCCAAATCACGCGAACCAGGGCGGCAGGCCAAACTGTTCCCGAGTCAAACCGGGGCCCTTCGGCCTCATCAATCGGGCGCCCATCCCGGGCTTCCGAATCACGCGAACCAGGGCGACAGGCCAATCTGTTCCCGAGTCAAAGCGGGGCCCCTCGGTCTCATCGGTCGGGCGCCTTCCCCGGGGCCCCAAATCACGCGAATCAGGGCGGCAGGGCAATCCCTCCGCTCGCGAGCCAGGCCGGGGCTCTTCGGTCTCATCCATCGGGCGCCCTTCCCGGGCCCACAAATCACGCGAATCAGGGCGGCAGGCCAATCTGTCCCCGAGTGAGTCAGACCGGGGCCCTTCGGTCTCATCCATCGGGCGCCTTTCCCGGACCCCCAAATCACGCGAACCAGGGCGGCAGGCCAATCTGTTCCCGAGTCAAACCGGGGCCCTCCGGTCTCATCCATCGCGCGCCTTTCCCGGGCCCCAAAATCACGCGAATCAGGGCGACAGGCCAATCTGTTCCCGAGTCAAACCAAAGCCCTTCGGCCTCATCCCCCGGGCGCCTTTCCCGGGCCCCAAAATCACGCGAATCAGGGCGGCGGGCCAATCTGTTCCAGAGTCAAACCAAAGCCCTTCGGTCTCATCCCCCGGGCGCCTTTCTCGGGCCCCCAAATCACGCGAATCAGGGCAGCGGGCCAATCTGGTCCCGGATGGGCCAAACCGGGGCCAAGCGGTCTCATCAATCGGGCGCCTTTCCCGGGCCCCCAAATCACGCGAATCAGGGCGGCGCGCCAATCTGTTCCCGAGTCAAACCGAGGCCCTTCGGTCTCATCCAGGCAGCGGGCACATTGCCCGGAAGAGGAAATCTATCCGACACGCGAATCAGGGCGGCGGGCCAATCTGTTCCCGATTGAATCAACCAAACCGGGGCCCTTCGGTCTCATCCATCGGGCGCCTTTCCCGGGCCCCCGAATCACGCGAACCAGGGCGGCAGGCCAACCTGTTCCCGAGTCAAACCGGGGCCCTTCGGTCTAATCCAGCCGGCGCCTTTCCCGGGCCCCCAAATCACGCGGGCGAACCAGGGCGGCAGGCCAATCCGTTCCCGAGTCAATCAAACCGGGGCCCTTCGGCCTCATCAGTCGGGCGCCTTTCCCGGGTCCCCAAATCACGCGAACCAGGGCGGCAGGCCAATCTGTTCCCGAATCAAACCGGGGCCCTTCGGCCTCATCACTCGGGCGCCTTTCCCGGGTCCCCAAATCACGCGAACCAGGGCGGCAGGCCAATCTGTTCCCGAGTCAAACCGGGGCCGTTCGGTCTCATCCGCCGGCCGCCTTTCCCGGGCCCACAAGTCACGCGCGCGAATCAGGGCGGCCGGCCAATCTGTTCCCGAGTCAAACCGTGGCCCTTCGGTCGGGCCCCCAAATCACGCGAACAAGGGTGGGCGGCAGGCCAATCTGTTCCCGAGTCAAACCGGGGCCCGTCGGTCTCATCCGCCGGGCGCCTTTCCCGGGCCCACAAATCACCAAGCAACGCGAAGCAGGTTGGCAGGCCAGTCTGTTCCCTCCCGGGCCAACCCGGGGCCCCTCGGTCTCATTCATCGGGCGCCTTACCCGGGCCCGCCAATCACGCGAGTCAGGGCGGCGGGCCAATCTGTTCCCGAGTCAAACCGGGGCCCTTCGGCGTCATTCATCGGGCGCCTTTCCCGGGCCCCCAAATCACGCGAATCAGGGCGGCAGGCCAATCCGTTCCCGAGCCAAACCGGGGTCCTTCGGCCTCCTCCATCGGGCGCCTTTCCCGGGCCCACAAATCACGCGAATCAGGGCGGCAGGCCAATCTGTTCCCGAGTCAAACCGGGGCCCATCGGCCCGGGCGGCCGGGCACCTAACCCGGGCCGGCCGGCCGCCAAGCCCCGCCGGCGAACCAGGGCGGCAGGCCAATCGGATCCCGAGTCAAGCCGGGGCCCATCGCACGGCCCGGCCGGCGGGGCGCCCCCCCCCTCCTTAAAGCGTCCGGGGGACTCACGTTCCTGCTTCCACATCAACGCTGGCATTAACCCATCGCTCTTGAACAACTACATGAACTTGAACAACAAATGGGTGTACTGTACTAGCACACATGATAGAGGGTCGTGCGCAGCTGGCTCGTCATTCTGCCACCAGCCTTGAAGTAACAACCAGCAAAGGCAATGCTTGTTGTCGCTTTTTCAATACTCAAACTCATTGCGCTGTTGAGGAGAGTTCTTGTCCCAATCGTTTGTGGAGAGGATAAGAAGTTCTGCGAAGGAGGGGGAAAGCAACTTCAAATAGAGTTCGAGGGATTATACTAGAAATCAAAAGGACCACTGGGCGAGCGGCTAAGTACGATTGGAGTTCAGCTGCAGGTCAGGAACCACGACCAGCGCAGATTCTTGCTCGCGAAACCTAAACCGCACGCCAGGAGGAGTTTATGACTCCTCCCGTAAAGTATATGGTCTCAGTTGTCCTTGAACAGACCACTGGGTAGCGCGTTACTGCTCCCCGCGCCGGCGTTTTCCTTGTTTTCGCCCGCCGCCTCAAGCTTGTCTGCGGTGAGCGCGCCTTTCCTCTTCTTTGCGGGATTCGCCCCGGCGGCCTTCCCGAGCGCGCCGAGGTGGTTCGCGCGCTTCTTCCCGTCCTTCTTTTTGAAGGGGTCAAACTTGTCCTTGGCCGCGATGGCGGGCGCCTGGAAGGTGAAGAAGCTCTCAAACGCCAGCTGCGTGCCCTGACCGAGCAGCTTTTGCAGCCTCTCGATGGACTTCGTTATTCTCTCGTCGGCGAATTGGTTTTCCTCGATCATCAGCTTCTTTAAACCTGATTTTTATATCAGAAGTTAGCCGCACTTCAAGATGTGTGTATGCTTTGAGTTGCAAGTACTTACACAGCTTGATGGACTTATTTTCTGTTGCGGCAAATTCCGAGAAGATTGCAGGAGGAGCATCCCTTGTCCACCATCTTTACATTTACCTTCCACCATCTTTCTCAGAAATCTGTACCTTCCGTGTCCGGTTTTGGTTTTGCGGCGTAGTAGGCCGTGAAGTCGCATTTTTTCTTTCCTGTCGCAGGGTCTATCTCGTTCACGTCCGTGACCTCGTGCTTGAAAAACAGGTCCCGTGCCTCTTGGAACGGAAAGTTTTCCGGCACCCGGCTCTTGTCGATGCCCGAGGCCAAGGCCGTCTCGATGCTGCCGTGTTGCTTGATCAGTTGGAACGCCGTTATGCTGCCCACCTTCTGAATCGTGTCCGTGTAGTCGCAACCTGGGATCACGATATGAATAATGAAGTTCAAACTCCCTAGTTGTCTGTGGAACATTAAGCGTAGCGCGGTGGTGCTACTGCTTGCTAGTAGTCGAGACCGGTATCAATATCGGGCTGTATCAATGCGATTTATTCCAGTGGAGTACAGACCACGAACCAAAAGCACGACTTCGACGAGAAGTAGAAACAATACGTAGAAATAGTACCGCTCAATATGCAGAAGTCCACGAATTTGTTCATGTCGATGTCGAGCTGTTCCAACACACGCTGCAGATCCACTTCCAGGGTCGGCCGCTTCTTCGCGTCCGTTGTGAAGAGGTTTCTTATCAGCTTTTTCGCGCCGAAACAGAGTGCATCTGCATCCTCCGTCGCGGCAGCGTAAGCGGCACCTGTGATATTAATTGATTTGGTGGTCTCGGGCGGAATATATATCAGGATGTTTTGAAAATGAAGATTTTGACAACTTTCATCTCGGCCGTCCTTCTAGGATGGAGGTGCGCATGCGTGCATCGATCGTGCGTTTATTCGGTACATGCATAATAAACACCCACAAGTTGTTTTGATATTAACACTTCATGATGTTGCTGAAAATAGTACCTGTCTTGCTGAAATGCGCGCACGTCGCTTCCGCCTCGCAGGGTGCTTCTATGACTGGAATTGCCATGAGCCGCAGAAGCTTCTTCGTCTGTTCCTGCATTTCTCTTGTCACGGTAACGCTTCGGTCCGCCATTTTCTGCATTTTGTCCGCGTCACCCTCGTCCTTGGCCTTTTCATAGTCCTCCAGTGCCTGCTGCTTGCGCGCTTTTCGGTTCGCCAGCTCGCCGGACTTCAAGCCTGGATAGTGTAAAAAAAGTTCAAGTTTTAATATTTTCGCGGGGGGCTTTTCATCTTCTATACGATGCGAAATAAACTATGTTATGTAACTACAGAACAAAATCGCTGGTAGAACAACTAGTACTTGGCGCTTTCCCGTCGAACACGTACACGGGCTTCGCGCCGGCCTCGAGGAGCTTCAAGGTACGGTTCAGAAATCCCGATAAGTGGGACGTCGTTTCCCCGCGGTCATTCGTTAAGTTGGAGTAGTTTTCTCCCGTGCCCGTCCGAATGGCCACCATAAACTGGTACAGGCAGGTGGACGCGTCGATGGCAATTATTGAAGCGCCGAGGCCTGATTATGACTGCCTTGGAAAAAAGACCGAAATATTTACAAGGCCGCCACCCAATAGGAGAGCGGCCAAAAAAACAACTTGGAAGAAAGCGCATGGCAAAGCGAAAAGGAAACGTCCCGCCCAGGTGTGGTCTTGTGTCATTGCAGAAACATTGCAAAAACCCACAAGAAAACTTTACTAGGCTAGAAAGAAACGAGAAGCCCACGCGGTTTTGAAGCCGCCTACTTCGAACACGCATGCTATGACGCGTTCGATGGAGCAAAAAGACCCAAATTCAAAAAATGACAAAAATCGATTTTCGCGAAAAAAAAAATGAAAAGAGAAAAAAAAGAGAACGAAAACTCTCGGAAACATTCGCAAAATCTTTCCGACTCCGCTCGTGTTTACGGAAACTTTTTGAAAGGGTATGAAGTTGGGAACTTTTTTTGGTAAATTTAAAAGGAGCAACAAGGCAAACCGGAAAAACCGGAAAGCGCCTTGTATATGATCACAGGGTCGATGGTGTTGTCGATCCGGCAAACGGAATAGAAAACTAACTGCGCCCACCACACAACCTCCAATCGGGATGAGAGGAAGCCCGCGAACTTCAGCAAAGCGCTTAAAATATGAAGTGAATCGCGAAGCAAACTGGAAAAATAGCCCACGCATGACTTGAAGCCAGGGAGCACAACGCGCCACGGTGTGTGGCGTTCCTCGCCATGGGAAAAAAAGAAGTTTGCAAATTTTTGTAGTCTTTTTTCCGACATTTGGCCCTCATGATCCGGAGCCTCAACAATTACCCGGCCGTTGTAGTTTGCTTGCTTCACATCCACTGTCACCGCCTTCGGCGCATTCTCGCGAATGAACGGAATCAGCCCCTTAATTCCCATTCTGTTGATTGTTGTTGATCAAATCCAAATACTTATGATGGTAAAGGCTATGTTGCCTACTTCGACTAGCAAATAAAAGCAAAAACAAAACTCGACGTACCTATTAGTAACTCGCCCGCTATTTGTATTTACCTATATACGCGAAGGCGTACAAAATAAACTGCTTCTTGCTATCAGACGGCAACCACGTCGTCCATCCTGGTCGTCTATACCATACTTTCTAATCTTGCAAAACAAACTTCTTTTTGTTTTGACTTTTCTGCATCTTGCGATTCCTAAGTGACTCAAAAGGAAAAAAAAAATGTGTGTGATGGTGGTCCTTGTTGGCAAACAAGAAATCAAGTCAAAACCATCAACATTCATCCGGCTTGAATATCTAATATTGTGTCACTTCAAGTTACTACTTTGCGCAAAATCGTGCGACTCATTTTTGTACGACTTGGTTCTACTACTTCTACTCATTTTCTCATCTTCCGGTTTGTCAACACACGTTTTGCTTTTTTGCAATCTCGTTGCTGAGTCATCTCTCTTCGTCTTCTTTCGTACAAGGAGGTTCAAATTTTCTATCTCGAATTTTTATGCGCAAGGAACGTAAAAAAGTAGTAAGCAAAAGCGAGACCGAATCTGAATACTTCGAAATCAGCGCCGCGAAGAATGAACACAGGCCGTGGCTCGGACATGATCTCCAGGCATCGAAGTGCCACACCACAAACCGGGAACCGCCGTGGTGGCATCTTCTCGGCCACACGAAGATTTGAAGATGTGACTCTTCCGCAGACTAAGCTTGTTTGACAATTTTTGGCAGCTTGGCTTAAAAATACATGTGATACTCATGATATTCAGCTCCAATTTGATGATACGCGTACAAAACACACCATGATCCCTCTAATGAAAATGAAGCTCCTGCGGCGCTTGTTGAAAACAAATACTCAAAAGCGAAGGCCAAAGGCTTAGTGTCTTGTTCTAGCTGTCGCTCGTCCACCACCTTGCGGACGACAAACAGAAACGTCCGGTTGCGAAGCCAATGCCAGTGATCGATGTCGTGGTGATGGTGATACAAATTATCGGCTCACGACCCTCCAGTCGCGTGATGAAACATCGTTATTCTATTCTCTACCTCATCACGGATGTTGTAGTTGATTATAGCACGAGCTGTTTCGACCTTTAGCTTTACGTACAGAGTCGCTATCGTCCGACTTGCTTCTTATCGATACTCTGAGAACCCCGTCGGTAGAAGTAGCAGATCTTCTTGACAGCATCCACGAGACCCAGTATTTCTTATCGCCGACGGGAGCCGTTTCCAAAAAAAAGGCCACCACTGCTGATGTTCGCTCAAAATTATTGAGCTTGGCTTTGCTGGGGTCGCGGCAAAGGTACTAGTGTAGGAGGTCACTAGCACGTATTGCTTTACAACTAGTAAGTCGTAGTTTGTTCCTACGATGATCGTAGCTTTAGCTCCTTCTAGTAGCGATGGTCAAAATAAAAGAGGCTACTAGAAGAAAAAAAAAATGAATTACATTTTGCGTGAGAATGAGCTATCGAGACATGTACACGAGTCGTCGTGTACACGCCGATTACTACTGTGTGATGTGTTAAGTGTTATACTTGAAAAGGAGGAGATTCTGGATAAAATCGACACTTCTTCCACCTACGAGGCCTTCTTGGAAGGTGCGGCCTCTCCTTTGATGTTTTTCAACGAGTCATTCGCTGCTGCCTGGTGCTGCCCCTCCGCTGCCGCTGGCGCGGCTCCAGCTGCGGCAGACGTTCCATTCGCGGTCGCGGGTTGCGTCGCTCCTGTCGCTGGTTGCTGCTTTTTCTTTTCCTTGTCGGCAGCGGACAGGGCGGGGATCATGATCAGGATAAACCCGTCTTTCACCTCGTCACCCCGTGAAACCTCGTTCAGGAAGGGTAACTCGTCGAGAAAACCCTCCTTTTTCCCGGCTATAAAATGCAAAAATGTCTGGGTCTGGAAGAGTTCATGTTTGTCATGCTTGTCTGGCATGACTCTTAAATCTGTCATGCACGTTACCCAAGAGCTCCGTTTTTCTGTGGTGCAGAAGCGCAGTTTGTCATGCAGAATAGGCAACACCTAGGAGCTCAGAAACTTGTCATGCTGAGCCAGCATTTGTAGCCTCATCATGAAACGCCACCCAGCATCACAAGTTCCCAGACCCAGACATTTTTACTTTTGATACCGGGCACCAGGTAACAACTGTTCTTCGCCGCTTGGACCAGACCGACCTGAAGGAGCGTGTTTAATAATTTTTAACGCTGAAGTTGTAGTTGCAGCTTCCGCACGTAAAGACGCCGCAAGCACACGCGCACACGTTTTCATCGGGTAGGAGTTGCGTAGCATGGTGGTCCGTGGTAGCCTTATGCAGCACGGTGATGGGCACTTTGCGTACTTAGGCATAGTTATACGAAAAAAGAACAAGAAAAACTACACTCTCAAGAAAAATTATATCAAAAGTATACCCTTTTCCTGTCGCTGAAGTAGGTGACCAATTCGTTAAAGTTGGGGATGTCGCCCCGTTCCTTGGGGCGGATGTTGTAGACCGCAAATCGCTATGCAATGCAAAAGCATCGTACTAGTATAAATTGCATTACAAATTAGCCCAGCATTACAAATTAAATTTGTAATGCTGATTTACTTTGAGAAAGAGATTTGTAATGCATAAACGCAATTACTACGAGTACGATACTTTTGCACAGGATAAACGCTCGTTCTTGTTGTAGTGGCCCATCAAGTGCTCCAACTTTGTTCGCTGGTCGATCTCGAGCTTTTTCGACTCAAACGGGAGCTTCCCCGTGCCCTGGATGTAGTTCGCTTTCACCTTGCAACAGAACTCGCCCATTTTGTGCAGGCTCAGAGTGGGATATGGGATTGCACAACTCTCCCTCCCCCTCATTTGTATGGTATGAGCAGCAATACAGACACCAGCTCAAATGGAGCCTGCGCATGACAAATCTACACACGGATTGTAGTGCTGTTTGTGGTTCCAAAATTTGTCATGCTCACTGTGCTTACAGACAAGATGTGGATTTGGGTTTTTGCATCACAAATGAGGGGGAGGGGGGGAGGGGGAGTTGTGCACTCTCATATGGGATCCTTCTCGGTCTCTTTCCCGGATTTGTTGTTCTCTTTCTGTTATCCGCGGCAAAAGTATCACACACGTAGTCGTACTATTTGTATACAATCATGCATGACACAGTTTGCTAGCCAAGCCCCAGTCAGCATATACAAATTGAAATTGCATTTTTGTATTTCAGAAATGCAAAATGTCATGCAATCTATACTAGTGACCGATAGTTTTGCCCATTGCATATCTCCTTCGCCTCCTTGTCTTTCTCCTTGTCCTTCTTTTTGTCCTTCGCATGTCGCTCTTTCTCGGCGTCCTCCTTCCGGTCGCGGTGTTTGCGATCCTTCTTGTCGCGATGCTCTTCCTTGTTGCGCTCGTGTCTGTGGCGAGTTGGAGTTTCAATATCAAACGGTAACGGAGATAAAAGATTATAGCTCTTCTACTTCCTCTGCCCAACAAAAACTTTTCAACTATCATCTTTCAACATAAGTCGGAAATAAAGCACGGAACATTTGATCACAAGAACATCTTCCAAGGAACTACTAGCACAACTCCTTTATCTTCACTTTATAAATGAAAATTATATACCTTCTCGCACTTCTGCTCCTGCCTCGGTGACCCCCACGTGCGGGTAGTTCCTCCGCCCGACTGCTGGGCGCCACGTTGTGGCCGGGGCGGAGGGACACGCTGTGCCCGCCCGTGGTGCTGCCGGGGCCTCGTTGAAGGTAGATAATGCTGTCGCCCGCGACAGACGTAGTCGCGCCCACGGTGCTGCCCACACCATCCCCGTCGTCTTCATCGTCGTCCTCCTCCACAAAGTCAATGTTCAGGAAATCGTATGCATTTTTGCAAAAGTGGTCATCTCGCAACATTACGTCGTATAAACCCGCTGGTACAACCGCATGACGTTGACAAATTTGAATTTCTCCAAAAGGAAAAATGCAAAAATTTCTCCAAGTTTATTAATATTTTTTTTTTTTATACTAGAACGACTATAAACCGTAATAAAAGAGTAGTAGATCAGCTCCTGTTTATTGGAATTTGAGAAAGTCAAGATGCTGCTCCGCTTCTCCTCCACTGCAGTTTAACGATTCCAACATGCGCTTCCAGACTTACACCACAGCACCGGGAGACCTATCCAGTGTAGATTTAGCAAGCCGAGGCTCCTCTTCCTCGTAGTCCGCTTTCACGTCCTCCTTCCACGCTCGGGACGACATAGCCAGAGCGCCCCCCTTCCTGCTGCGCAAGGAAAGCGAACACTCAAGAGGCGAATGAAGTACCTTGGTGGAATCCCCACTGCCTCTGCATGTCGTTGCGGCTATGCCTCTGTACCTTTTTCTCTCCTGTGCTCTGAGGTCCAAGCTGACTAGCCGAAAAGGGAAAGACAAGGCAGGCATCCAAGTTTATTAATATTATACGACTAGTGCGATATTAGTTGTACTTTTGCGATGCATAAAGAGTCGCCGACGTGGGTGGGAAGCGGGAGTGCGTACAAGTGGTTGCGCGCTTGGATAGCCTGCTGCACGGTCTCGAAGGTCACTGGAAGTGTTTTAAGTATTTGTTTCTAATTATGTGTTTCTTTGCATGAAGAACTCCACCGAGAAGTGGCGCTTTAGCTTTTCAGAGTGAAACATAGCCTCACCACCACTACGAGCACTATTTATGTACAAAAATTATCGATTCTGTAATTTTCACGTGAAGAGCTACAAGCCAATTAAACAATGGTGCAAAGAACGTCGGTAAACAGCACTCTTATAATTTTCAAAAAATAACATACCGAATGCGCAGTGTTTTTTCGGGATGTAATGAATATAAAGTGGCGGCTTTTTCGGCTGTTCGTCCTTTGATTCGCCTGCCCCCGCCCCCTGCGTGCTTTCCTTCGCTTTGTCACCTTCTACTTTATTTGCTGGACTAGTTCCAGCCTTTTCGGCCTTATTTTCGTCGCCGGCGTCATCTTTCTTCGCGCCCTCACCCTCTGCAGCCGTAGTGTTGTCCTTGCTAGTTTCTTTATTTCCACCGTCTGCTTTCTGCTCGTCGCTTTTCTTCTCGGTATTTGTTTCTGTTGCTGTCGCTGAATCTTTGTTCTTGTTTTCCGCTGACTCGTCTCCTGCTGCTTTTTGCTCAACAGCAGTTGTTCCGTCAGTGTTCTTCTTCTCAACATCGCCACCGTCTTGTCTAGCTTGTCCGGTAGGAGAAGTACCAGGTTTATTTGCATTTTTCGCGTCTGTCGTGTCGTTTTTGTTAGTCTCCTCTTGTTCCTTTGCTTTTTCTGGAGACGGGGGGTTCTCGTTTTTCTTTGGACTGTCGATTTCCCACCATGCCGGCTTCAGCTCCGGCTCCGGCTGGGGCACTAATTTTCCGTACTGCTCTATCGCAAGAAAAAACTGCTTCACTGTGAACTTGTGATGCAGAAAATGAAGCACCAAAGTGTCTGTCTTGCTACACCTGGAAGACATTGGATGCCCAAGCGTGTTTTCCCTTGAAAAGCGCGCATGGCAAATATTCTGTGTCATGTGTAACAAACTTGTAATGCAGATCTTGCAAAACCGTCACAGTGACACAATTTTTTCGTGGGATACGTTCCAGCCGCATCTTTAACGGCTTCAGAAACCACGGCTCCGGCTCGAAATCCGCCGGGAGACCGCCGATCCAGAGCGTTCCTGTATATATCGTTTTCATAATTTATTGTTGCATGCTACGTCCACACTTCTCTCCTGCTCGAGTTGAAGTGGAGGACATTGGATAGCTCCTGCCATGACAAGAACTTGATCACAAATTCATAAAATAAAACAAAGGTAGTGCTGTAGTAGTTTTGATGCAATTTCTTATTACCTCATCCATTGAAGATGGTGGTGGATATTATTGGTTCACCTCCTGCAGCTTCTAGCGATCAAGATGGATTTATTGCTTCTAGGTATGACTTTCATCATGATCATCAACTAAAGAAATCATTTCGCTGCGTTCCTTCCGAGTGTTATTCAGACAGAGTGAGCCAACACCCAAGCGGCCCGTTGGATCGAGCCTGAACCTGAAGGGGCTGGGCGAAGCAGGCCGGGCCTAGCTTCCGTAGCGGAGAACGGCCCACTCCACCACCACCTGGCCCCCTGGGCAAGACCCCCCAGAACCCCACCTCCGGTGGCTGAATGGGGGGAACAGCGCCAGCCCCAGCCCCACTTACCCCCAAGGGAAGACAGGCAACCGACCGAATCCAACCCGCACAGCATACCCAGTGGCAGAACAAACTCGCTTCCAAAAGCGCCTACTCCTCGTTATCTCCGGGCCCCTGAAACGCCGCGCCGAGCGCACGTAGCCCACACCTCGCCGACCAATGCTTGAAGCGCGAACATCTGCTACTCGAGCAGGAGCAGTGTATGTGAGTACCCGAGCAAACAACCAGGCGAGCAGCCCTTGCTCCCAAACGGTGGGCATCAGCGGCAAACGACGTAAACAAAACCAGGGCTCCCCCATGGAGAACCCTATAATACCCACTCCCGGAATGCGGCAACCAAACTGAACGGAGCGCGCGCCATAGGCAAAATCCCGCCAGCCGCTTGGCTGGCTCTGGGGGTTCAGCCGTGGTCTATCCACATTAACGGAGCCACCCTCCACAAGAGGATACCGCGAAACCCCACATCCAACCTAGTCGCATCATGTCGCACACTTCCATTTGGACGGGCGCCGCCCACCAAACCTAAGTAAAGGACGGCGGAAGAAGTCGCGGGAACCCAGCCCGTGATCAATAGCGGAAGAAAATCTCCTGTCCGGCTAGCAAACTACAATCACCCCGGCCATGCATCATGCCCCCACGACCCGGTGCCTGGGGTATACAATACGCAACAGACAAGCGACACATCGCTCACAGCCGAGAAAAGATACGGCATAGCAACCTCCCACACCGAACGAGCAGACCGCCACTGCGCGTGAACTGGCCCAATTCATTGCTAGGTATGACTTTCATCATGATCAACCAAATAAATGTATCCTGAGTAAAAACGTACCCACACCAGAGTTGTAATGCAGATGTGCAAAGACAGGAAGACTTGTAATGCGCATCACCATGAGAGCCATTTCCAATCGTGTTTTGGAATTTGTGATGCTGTGAACAGGATGAGCCGATGAATCTGTGATGCGGCTGCACTTGCTAACCTGCACTACACTGCAGAACGCAACTTGTCATGCGTGACTCACAAAACTCCTAGGTTTGTGTTGCAAAATCCCCATCCTGACTCTGGTGTGGGTACGTTTTTACTCAGGATAAAATGAAATGAATAAGTACGTCCGGCCTTTCGTGGTGCGGCGTGCGCGACGCGGGTGGTACCATACCGACTTTTATACATTGCAAAAGTATCGTATTCGTATAAACGCAATACAAATTTCTGCAGCATGAGAAATAAAATTTGTAATGCAGATTTAGCTTAAGAAAGGGATTTGTAATGCATGATTGCAATACGAGTACGATACGTTTGCACAGGATAACTTTGATTCTCTTCGACGTATTTTTTCAGCTGGACCGCACTCTTCACGTCCTTCATGGCCAGGTGCGCCACGTCCTTGCCCATCATGGTGTGCAGCTCGATGCTATCCATTGCAAATCAGATGTCCGGGTCTGGAATCATGCACGTTTTGCATGAGCCATGAGCCATCATGTCAGTGATGCATACCCTAGCATCATCGTTTCTTTGATGATGGCTTCTTCTCCTTCTTGATGCCTATTACGGATGACAAATGCCCTCTCCGTATACCAAAAATTACTTTGCTGCTGATGCAATACAGTTTTTTTTTGTATTTCAAATCCAAATGCAGCATCACAAGGAAGTTGCATTCTTCCAGACTCAGACAAAGTAAACATATTTGCAATGCATAAATGCTCAAGATCGCGGTGGATCCGTCCAGCAGCGGCCAGTCAAACTCCCTGCGCAGTTGCGCACAGTTCATGGTGTGGTCGTTCAGCCCTGAGAGGAACATTATCAAATGCAAATATGTCTGGGTCTGAAAGATTCCAAGATTTGTCATGCAGTTTTTTCAAGCTCCGCCAAGTCTGCAATGCAGGGAATAGCATCACAGGTGCTGCAGCCCCTTGGTGATGCCTATTCTGCATGAGAAATGCTCTCTCAGCATTGCCAGAAATGGACAGCTTTTGCAAGTCATGCAACACAGATTTTTGTATGATTCGCAACACGCATCACAAGGTTGCATCCTTCCAGACCCAGACATATTTGCATTTGATAACCAGGTACCGATTCAAATTTCCGTGTCGCTTCATGTTCAAATAATCCACTAACTGGCGGTCCAGAGACATCTCTATGGAATTCTCAATTGTTACATTCTCAACTGTTTACATGAATTTGTGATGCAAGAGGGGCAAAAGTGAAAGGAAGGACCTTGCGCGTATTGCATGACAGACTTGGCACAGATTCTCGGCCTGGTTGGCCTCCTGGGAATTTGTCATGCGAAGCAGCTTGATGGTGTCGATAGTCGAGGCACTTTTGCATGACAAATCATGTATCAGTATGAGAATGTAACGTTTGAGAATGCCATAATCTCCGGCTTCCACTTCGAAACCGGTTCATCCGGGAGCGCGTATGCGTTGCCCTTATGCACTGCAAAATTGTCGTGCTCGTACTAATTGCAGTTATGCATTACAAATCTTTTTCCTAAGGTCAATCAGCATCACAAATTGCAATATTCATGCTCCTGCGGAAATTTGTAATGCAATTCCTACTAGTACGATACTTTTGCAAATCATAGCCTTTCTTCCCGGACAACTGGGGTGGCCCTTCGCCGCCCTTGCCGAGGCCGGGCCCGTCCCCCTGGAACGCTGCTTTGCTGTCAAGAAACCCCTTGCGCCCCTTCTGGTTCGCGGCCCGCTTGCCCTTCGTCAGGTCAATCTGCGTGCCGTAACTGGTCGTGATGTTTTTAGCACTATAGTATAGATGTATGAGGAGCAACCGGGCGGGTTTGGAGGTATGGGGTTCAAGAACAACTGCAGGTGCAATTCCGTCGTTTACTTTGAATTGCGCCCACGGTACAACGCGCAAGCACGAAAAAATAGAAATCATAGAGTAGTAGCTTAATCATAGTCTTCGATGAGGAAGTGTGGCTATCGGTGATCCTCGCGTGAAATACTTAAACTGTAGAGCAGTACTATTCTTTGAAAAAATCGATACTTTTTGTTTGCAAGCCAGGACGGCAGGTTGGGGTCGAGGTACTGGTAAGCTTTTCCGTCCGCCCCCTTCTTCATGCCCTTGTTCCCCTTTTTTGACGCGCCCTTGCCGTAGATGTCGTAGCCGAAGGGAAAGGGGTCCATGTGTTGGGGTTCTGGGATGGATTGTTTTATTTGTTGCGCGTGTCGTTACGGCCAATTATATAGCAATTCGATTATGTTTCATAGAAGACATCAACATGTGGTTTTGTTTGACATTGATGTTCTTGTGGACGATGACATCCTTTCCACGAAGATCTGATTGTGATGATGAGCCAAGAAAATTTACTAAAGTGCGTCAGAAAACTATTGTACGGAGTCACCACTTAATATACTTTAAGGAGTCAAAACTTTTTTTCTGTTGAGTAGTAGAAATCGATCGTGCAGCGTGTAGACTGTAGAAGCTGCACTACTACGACTTACCGTAAGGCTCGTAGAAGCCATATTGTTCCCTGGAAGCTTGTTTCCAGCCCTTGCCCTTTTGATGTTCTCCTGGTTGTATTATGCACTGCAAAAATGTCTGGGTCTGGAAGGATGCAAGTTTGTCATGCTTGTTTCATATACCCTTTGAATCTGTAATGGAGGAGCAAGAAAGCAACATACTGCCTGTCATGAAAAAATGCAGTTTCAGTTAGCCATGCGGAAAGCGAAATACATTCATAGGAGCGCAAAAAATTGTTATGCGTAGCTGCGTATTGCAGCGCGCCCACCATTCACAAAGCAGCAGCACAAGTTTCCGGACCCAGGCATAATGCTTGCATTTGATATGTATTGGTTTATCGTCCACGACCTTTCGTCTCTTGTTGTGGTCCACCAGGCTGTCGAGCGGCTCGTCCAGAAAATTGCGTTTGTTGGACGTGACCGTGACGCCGCCATTCGCGAGTCGGTCTTTCGGCTGCTCGGCCACAGTGCCAAAGCTGAAGATGTTTTTTAGTTGGTATAAGGGTTCTATCAGATATTGGTATCGTAGTAGCCGTTGTAGTAGTTGTAGTCTTCGGATTCATTCTTGCATAAAGATTTGCGTTTTCCATTTTGATAGCATGATGATGATCATGCTGTTCATGAATTATGTTGAAGTTCATCTATTTCTGACATGCGGACGGGCATCGGGAGGCGCGTCCCCAACGCGTTCTGCCGACGAGGGAAAAAAAAGTTCTTGCAAATAAAAAACAAATTCATGTTCGAACCGCAACGTGAGTCCCTTCTCCTCCAGGGCTGCTCTGCATTTCGCCGCAGCCTCCGTCGTTTTGAAAGTGAGTATCCAAGAAAAAAACTGTGTTAGTGTAAGTCTTTTGGGAAAACAGCATCACAAGTTTGTCTGCCATGACAAGAAAAACTTGTTATGCGCAGACAGGAAGGGAAAACACATAGGAAGCGAGCCGATCATGCATGTCGAGCATGACAAGTGTAACTGTTTTGCATTTTCTGCATCACAGATTTACACTTACACAGTTTTTTTCTTGCATAGTGAGACTGCACTCGTCACTAATGGATTTCGGGAAATTCAGAAGTCGGACGTCATCAGAAGAGACACCCGCGTACCTGGAGTGATAAGGATAGACTTTGGACGAGTATTTGATGGTGCGATCATTGATTTATTATTTGTCTCATACAGTCTTTCAAGTTAACAAAATACTGTAAGTATTCATTTTGCGGCCCGACCACGACACCACACTTATTTCACGATTCGTCTGGAAGTAGATGATGAACGCGGTCAGTGGACGAAACTTCTACCGGGGACTACTAGTATCGTCCTGACGTGTGACATTTTTTAGCCCAAATGGAAATAATGACCAAACTAAAAAGGAAAATCTCTTCATGTTTCCGACGTAGATGAACTCGTACCCGCTGACCTTCCCCTTCCAGATATCCTCATCGGCTTCGTCAGGGTCGATGCCCTTCACGAATAAGGTGGTATAAAGAACCTCTGCATTTTTATTCGCATGATCGCCTTTATGGAAGCGTCAGGTTTGAAATCGTCAAAGTTGAAATAATTTGTAATGCATAAAATGGATGCCATTTAGAACCCAGTTTTCAAGTGGCGCATGACAAATCTTGACGGTGCCTAAATCCAGTTTGTGATGCTGTTTGGGTAAGGAAGACGCCTTCTGTCATGCTACTTGAGCAGCTCTATTTCTACCCCTCAACAGGCTTACAATCTGCCTCCCTTGCGTACTCTGCAAGACAGGCACTTTGTGGGTTGCATTTTATGCATCACAAACTATTTCAACTTTGACGATTTCAATCCTGACGCTTCCATAGCCTTCAGCCGCTCCACCGGAAGGTGCCGCGGTAGTACCACCAGCCGCGGTGTTGGTTTGTGCAGCGGGGTTATCCTGTGCAAAAGTATCGTACTCGTATATTAAATGCAAGTCTTGCATTACAAATCTTTTTCCCAAGGCAAATCTGCATGACAAATCTTATTTCTCATGCTGAGGAAATTTGTAATGCATTTATACGAGTACGATACTTCTGCACTTCATAGTGGTCCTTGTTTGGGGCTAGTTCACCGGTCGTAGCTGCGGTGTCGTCACCGGTCGCGGCATTACTAATACCGGCATCCGTTGTTCCCGGCACAGGCGCTACGTCATCGCCCTCGAACTCTAAACCTTCGTCCGCCATAGTCTCGGAGGGGGTCCTCGTCGTGTGTCGACGAGGGTTGGCGGGGGGGGTAGCGGACAAGCAATCAAGTTCTAGAGTGAAATGATTTGATGCTTGTTTTTGTAGATGTACCGCGTCGAATAAAATGATGGCGCAGCTTTTTTTTACGTTCTCGTCATTTTTTTATGCTGGAAAATAAACTGGTCATCGATAACTAAGGGAGCTTTTTGCCATCAAATGCTGATACTTTCATCAATTTCAGCTGAATTTTAGTCAGTTACTTCTTTAGTATTCTATTTTTTTGGACGAGGGAATTACTCAAATAAAACAAGATCGAGATCGCGGGTCGTGGGGCAATATTAGAGATCGTCGAGAGAAATTATGAGAACATTTTTATTACGCCTTCAAAAAAAGGTGCCGGCAAGGAGAAAATACACATGAGTTTGTCTCCGGTGTGGTCCACGGGAGACATACGACGCGCACGCACTCTGCTAGTGCTAGGTGTGCGATAAAGCTTTTCGAATTATTGTCGCGGTCCTAGTCGCTAGTCTATCTTCGAGTTCAAAGAAACATATACAAGTTGCTGAAAAGGTTGTTGAACTCAAAATTGCCTGGTCGGGGGGGAGGTACTAGTAGAGACGAAATGAATAAGTTGGAGGTACTCATTATTGGCGCGCAGAAGATGATCCAGATCATTGTTAATCACAACCAAATTCATGGAAGTAAACAAATCAAACAGGAACAACTATTTTATGGAAGACAACTTGTTTTCATCAACGTGCTGTAGTGAATTTTTCTGTGCAAAAGAGGAGCCAAGGATCTACAGGGTTTATTCGCCAATTCTTTCACTTTCTCTATTTTTCATGCTATGGATACAGATCACCTCCGCTACAAAAGTCAACAATGAATCACCGGCTCATGGTGATAAAAGCGATCGCTTTAATAAATATTTGGGAGGCTTCCAATATTCTTCTCGACAACAGGTTGTAAAGTATGCTGGTTCAGGATCAGGTGGTTGTGAATCGTCCACAAAAAGAAATAAAAATGCGTTTGTAGTTTCGGATCTTCAGCTTTCGTCTGCTCCTGCTTTGGCGTCTCATTTTTTTCTTTCATCCACTTAGTATCTTCTGTTCTTGATGGATTATGTCATGTACAAGACAAGAAGAACGTGCTGGCCTGGTCTGATCTTGAATGTGATAGACCAACCCGCGGTTGTCGTACTTAAGCGTAACAACAAGAGCAAGACAGAATAATGCGGGGCCATCATATCTACATGTGATCCTGATCTGGGCCTGAAGAAACCCGATGCAACCACAGCAGCACGCAAACGCCAACAGGCTAGCTGCAGTTGTATGGAGCACTCGTGAAGATAGCGGTTGAAAGAAGAGGTATCCCTTTTTCTTCAAGAACAATGTCGATTCCTGTGCTCAAGCTCTTAGAGGAGCTTCAAAGAAAGATCACATCAAGCGCTCAGCGGACGAACATAACAGTAACTCAATCCTTTTTATATCTTTTTGACAGTGCGGCCGCTAGCACGACGATGACGCTGCGTGGCAGCTGCGACCTCGATGATCCGTAAATAAAAATATCAATAATTTCACAAAGAAGTTGCACTTGACAGCCCCTTAACCTGCTCTGCAAAAATGTCGCGCGACGTGTACAAATGGCAGTATCTTGTGACGGATCAGGTTTTCTCGTCCCTGCACCTGGAGGACCTGCTGCTAAGCCAACACTACAAATTTATGTTTTCGTTCATCTGAGCGAATAGTCTGTGTGTAATTTTGACTAGCTCTAGCTCGATAATTTATTTGCTTCGATATGCTACTTGAAGCGGCGTGTTGTCGCGTCTTACTTACGAACATGCTTCTGCTTGGTCATCGGATCCGGTCGCGAAAGAAAACTTTGTAATGACATACTTATTTTGATGTTCTTGATATATTTATGTGAGAGTGCAGATGCTCCCCAGGCAATCGCTGTCGCTCTTCGCTAAGAAGGTCAATAAAAATCATGTATCACGACATAGAAACAGAAAGATTAGCAAAAGACGTTGCGGCCCGTGTACTGTACCTGTAAAGTTAACGCTAAGTATTAATTTTGATCTATCTTGATGGAAAATCATGACAAGGTGATACTGATCTTCGATGACACGCCAAGATCCAGAAGAATGTTGCGTGCCGTTGGTGTAAAGAGGTCCACCTCGTTTCTTCACCACCCCAGGTGACCCGTTCCGAGCCGGAGCCCCGCCGGAACAAGCTTCATACCGTTGTTGCCCGTGCTGGCTCTCCATTGCACAGGATCGGTCTGCTTCAATTCCCTTTGTTCTTTTTCCGCCTGTTGCCGTTCCTTCCGTGTCTGTTGCTCCTGTATCAGTTCCTCCTGTCTCTTTTCCTCCTGCCTCCGTTCTTTCTCTCTCCGTTCCTTCTCGAGCGCAGCAAACCGCTCGCAAACGCCGTCGAAAATGGGGATTGCTTTTTTGACGAGGTCTCTTTTCCTCAAGTAGTGCACGAAGTCGAAGCCAAACAAGGTTTTCCATGAAAATGAAAATGGTTTAGTGCTGTATGCATTGCAAACCTGCAACTACTCATGTGGGAATAGGCCTTCGCGGTTAACCTTAATATTAAGATGGTCATCGTGATCGTAATTATTACACCTGTGCTCGTGGTTAATACTCCTGGATCTTCGGAAGACGAAGATCAATTTTAGTACTGTACACCCAGCTTATAGGACGAACATCTTCCACCTGTAGGCGGGGGGGGTGTGCAGTACCCCCCTGAAATTCCGCAACCGCCATCTACCACAACATCAGAGGGCTTGCTTCTCATGCAAACGTCCTGGGGTTTGCAGCACGGCTAGTGGACGAGCTCTTGTAAAAAGCTCCAGATCTTGTTGAACCAGACGAACCCGTGAAATATTCATTAATGACCTACGAACAAAATAAATAAGTTTCGGACGTCCTCGATTCCACATCCACATTTACATCTTGTACAACCTACGAAAACCTCTTCCAGATGCAGCTGCAGGCGCAATGCATACTTCGGAGATCTGGCGGAAAACTTCGTACGCCTTCGCAACCAGTTCTTCCTCGGCAAAAGTAGACGACGAGGCTTCTTTGACGAAAACGGTATTGGAAGGGGGAGGCTCCAACAAAGAAAGATATTCGAGTTGTTCCGGCAGTTGTTCCTGCCCATTACGTATTCTGGCGGCAAATGCGTCGAGGTCGTTTTTAAAATCTCGAAGCTCTTTCTCCTTCTTCTGATCTTCAGAGCGCGTGTCGATTGAAGATCCATCACTGTGCTTATCTTCTTCGTGCTGTTCGCGTAGTTTTTGCGTTGTTTCCCATTCGTGTCCCAACCAGTCTGCGCCCGCCAGCGAAGTCTCCTCCTTAGGCTTCTCCAATCGCAATCTCTTCCCGAGTAGCGCAAGCGCCGATGTTTTTTCTGCTACCCGTTCGGCGGATAATCGACTCTCCCACCATAGGCGAATCTGGGCCAAAAACGGCTCGACGCTTTTCGGTAAGATGCGGCTGAGCTTGTTCAACATCCCAGCGGCCCGCGGATTGCCTTGCTCCTCGACCTCGTAGTTTCGCTTGATAGTGGCATAGGAGGAGGGCGGAAGCTCCTCTCCACCATTGAGGTGTGGCTGCCGCGGCTCTGTCTCTGCAGCCCCGCCATCTGCAGAGTGGAAACCAGTACAAAAGTCCGGCAACAGAGCGTTGTTCGGCTGAGTGCCCGAGTACGAATTGAAAAAAAGCTCGCCGACTGCTTGAAGGAAGCCTTTCCAGAGAGTGAGAGTGTGAGGCTGAAGCTTTCTAGCCTGTAAGGCTGCGGCTTCGGAGGTAAGCGCGGGCGCGGTTTCAGTGAGGAGCGGGTACCGGTCTGCACTGCCACTGGACAAAAACGTGGACGTCGACTCATCCCCAAGAGAGTGTTCGTCCTCTTGAACGACAACATTCTGACCGGACACTTCTTCTACGGCGGGAACCACCTCCAGCCCCGGACCTTCTTCCTCAGACACAGCTCCACCGTCCTCTATGAGAGTGCACAACTCTTGCTCCCCCTCATTTGTATGTAGTTGGCACAAACAGCAATACACGCGTCGGCAGGACCAGAAGTGCCGGTTTTGCATGACAAAAAAATCATCCAGGATTGTGATACGGGTTGAGCTGCCAGAACTTGTCATGCAAAAAGTGTCAAGAGGCTGCAAGGGGCTGATTTGGTACTACTCATTTCGCATGACAAACGAGGGAGAGGGAGAGCTGTGCACCCTCATACCATGAGGACCACTACGGTTCGGAAAGCCGAGGAAATCTCCATCCCCGGAAAAACCCAGAAGGCCCCCGGTCTGCACGGCGGTGACGGGCTGTAAAATGTGGAGTGGAATAAACAGTAACTTTTTGCCCGCTTTGGTGACTTTGGGAGCATCAACCGAGAATAATGAAAGTAGGATCATGAAAACAGTTCCTTTGTTCTTGTTGCCGGTAAGCAAATACTTAGACTGCACGAGAACCAAAGCTACATCATCCCGCCAGCAGGGTCCTGTTCTTACAAAATCAATAGAAGCGTCTTCGAATTCTCTTCGTCAGCAGACCCACGAGCAAGACTTGCAAGAGAAAAATCCACTCTCGTATATTATACCTGAAGCTCCTGAATCACGCCGACGCCGGCCGCGGTCGCGCCCAAACGGAATATGGCTTTGGAGAGTGCGGCACCCATGTTTGATTGATGAAGCGTTGACGTGGTTTCCGTCTCAATGACTTCTTTACGTTCGTCAGGTCGGGCGGCCACGCGGACTTTTCTTCAACTAGAGCCTTGCGTTGGCTCGTTCTTGTAAAAAAGAAAAAAGCGCAGAGCGGATCTTGACAGTCTGGAGATCGCTAGTTGGCTACAGGCGAAAGCAAGGCGGTCGATAGCAACGATATAAATTTGCTGTGCAACGTTTTCAATAAACAACGAGGATTAGAAAAGAGAAATAAAACTTGCGTTTGTGTCACCAAATACAATGTGCCAAGAAAGAATGTAGAAAAATCAATATCAAGCGGAAGATATAAGGGAACTGGTCCTCCGAGACGGAAGATTGTTTGCTCCTGCTTTGAGGAATAAATGCTACACATACGAAATGGTTGAATCGCATCAGCAGCTATGCTATTGCAGTGAAATCACACAGAGGACGTTAGTCTAACCATCAAAACCGAGGGAAAACGGACACAACGCACATGATGAGCATGACCGATGAAAAGTGTGCAGCAGCAGCAGTTTCAAACCGAGGCAACTGTGGACTTTCGAGAGGCGAACGACTGGACCTCAACTTGAAACCGAAAGTTTCGAGATTTTTACTGCTGAAGCTCGTATTTCTTTTGGCGCAGCGACTTATTTTTTGAGCGTCGTAAGTCTGAGTTTTGATTTGTATTTGTTGCATCCATCGACTAAACTCGCAATACAACCGTAAACCCTAATCACATGTGAATTTTGTTTAACGATACGATCGACAAGCTCGGCCTACAGCAGCAATTACAAACTGTGTGAGACAGGAACGCTTCCATTCGCTCCTAATTCAAGAATCAGACTCTCTGCCGCTGCTCCAAAGGCATGCGCTATGATCCCAGCGCCGAGCCACCATATTGATGATGATTTTAGTTTTACATTTTCGACAAACGCGAAAGAATTTTACAGTGGTTGAATTGTCAAACAGTTTTATTGAGAGTATACTATAATGGTAGTTATGCAGCAAAAATCAAGGAGATTCGTGTGTGCATTTTTTAGTTCAGTTGTTGTTGAGTCGTATTCTTTAGTCTCTAAGCTGTAAGTATGGCGTAGACGTACATTTTGTCGGTATGATGATGGTTCGGGAGGTACTATCGCCACCACTTGTAAGTGCTTTATTCTCGAGATGATGAGCAATTGATCTATTGCCCGTTGCAAAGGTTCTTGCAGCAATCGAGCTGAAGGAAAGCGATAGGCAAACTAACAAAATCGTTCTTCTGCCCTGTTGCTTCGCACCAGAACGAAAAAAAAAAGTGCGCTTCCGCTTTCCAAGGTAAGTACCTCTTTCCATAGGTGGAACTACGTCGAGCGCGCCGGACGTAGCACCAAACTACCGCATCAAAGAAGCGCGTCTCTGTGTTTGATGGCGCGGCGCAAGTTTTGCAGCAAGTGCATGCTGGCGGGATTGCCAGCCAGCCGCTCGAGGCAGGGATGTGGGGCGTGCGGCAATATGAGTTTTTCGCAGACAGTATCAAATGCAAAAGTGTCGGGGTCTGGAAGGTTGCCAGCTTTGTCATACATATTTTGCATGACTCAGGATGTCTGTAATTATGCATGATCTAGCATTCCATATCTTCAGGGGCCTTGCTTCTTGATGCCTATCCCGCATGACAAATGACCTCCCCGCGTAGCATAAACTGGGCTCCTCTTGCTGGTCATGCAATACAGATTCTTTTAGAGTCCAAAGCTAGCATCACAAGTTCCAACCTTCCAGACATCCAGGGATATTTGCAATGCATAGACAGTGTGGAGAAGCGCCCCGGCCGCGTCCACCCCTCGCTCGGCGACTATGGAGCTCTCAAATGTTACTAAACTGTTACATAAATTTGCAATGCAAGACAGCCAAAAGTGAAAGGAGGAAGATTGCGCCTTTTGCATTACAAGTTTGGCGCAGATTTAGATGCTGTTCAGCCCTTCCGAAATTTGTCATGCGAAGCCGCTCGATCATCTGCCGTCCGTCGAAGGCACTTTTGCATGGCAAATTCATGCAACAGTTGAGAATGTAACGTTTGAGAACGCCATAGCGACTCCGCGAAGCTTCTGCTCGGCCACTTTTCGGCTCCGCGCCTCCTCTTCCTCGGAGCAGGCCAATATATCCATCAGCGCAAACACCGGCTCATCCGCGCTGCCGGTAGCAAAGTCGAGCTGCAGTAGTTCTTGAAAATGACGTTCTTGACGACGACGCTTAGTAGAGTCAGCCGCACAACTAGCACAATCTTCGCCGCTGTTTCTTTGCGATGAAGGGGACGGCGAGGACAAACAGCACGATTGCTGGGATCGTGTTTGCGTTGCTGCGACGTCCGCCTCCAATTTTTCCACTTCCTCCTCCACATCTACTTCACGTGTAGTTTCATCGCCGCTGTGCAGTCTCGAAGCTGCACGACCAGGAGGCCAGATCTTCGCTAACTCCTTTTTCCTCCGGGCGCTGCGGCAGCGTCGGCAGGTCAATGCGGCGGCCGCCTGGTCCGCGACAGCGCTGCAGCAGCGGCGGCAGGGCGCGGTGACATAATCGTCGCAGGTTGGTAGAAATTTATTCCTCCATACGTCACGGGAATACACACAAAAATCGGCTACCGCGTCAACCGCCATTTCGGTTATCAAATGCAAATACGTCTGCTGGGTCTGGAAAAGTAGAACTTGCCGCGACGGGTCGCTTCTTGCATTCCTGGAAAGCCTGTGTTGCGTGTGCAGCAACAGAGCAGGAGGTTCCTTTGTCATGCAAAGACGAAGCGTCCCAAAAAGAAAAAATTGCTATGCTTAGCTGCCAATGGATGCAACCGCCTCCGCCGCAATCATGCGCATAATTCAGCATCACAGGTTCTTTCCAGACCCCGACATATTTTGTGCACTTCATATTGGTGCAGAGGAAACAGTTCACGTAGGGTTCGACGAGGCAGTCGCGCTCGACGTCGCAGGCCTGGATGTTGCCGCTCCGCGTAACCGTTCCCACCGGCTCCAGATACCGCCGCGCCGCGCCGTCCGCTGGAAGCAACAGCATGGGGCGGAAAAAGCAGCAGTAGGCCACACTGCAGCAGGCACCGCCGAGACCCCCAAACAAACAGGAGGACATCGGGTCTACTCCTGCGTGCGACAGCTGCCAGAGTTCGCACTGGGAAAAGAGCCACAACCACGATACGTCGGCGGCCATGGTCGCCACCGAGGCTAGAAACGCGGGCGCATACCGCTCGACGCAGTTGCTAAAGTCAAAACAACAACTCGGTATTCTCTCGCAGCAAAGTGACCTCATACAGGAGCCTAGGGCTGTGCAACTAGTTGCACTGCGTCCAACATCGTCAGCTGTTGACCAAAGATGGCGCTCATCTACGTCTACCCCGTTCATCGTTGATATCCGCCCTCGCTGCCATGAAGATCTTCTGTGGGCCGCGGGGGGAACGGGAGAATCCTCGTTATCTTCTACATCTGCTGGAACAGTAGGCGGACTGCAGCAACAGCAACACGACCAGAAGTTTACACACTTATTTCTTGTCGTAGAATAAATGTCTTGTTGTTGTTCCCCGTCGTCGCGAGACGTTGTTTCTTCTGCTCGCTCTCCGCCCAGCACTGCGGCTTTGTCATCCAGCGCGCGCGCATAAGAGTCGAAGTGACTGCGCGCAAGGTCGTAATCGTCCTCCATGTAGTTTCCATTTTTGCTACTACCCCGTCCACGATGGTCGTTGCAACCGTCCTCCTCCTCGGTCCGGTGACTACAAGGGACCCCATGGAGCGGCGCTCCCGCTCTGCTTCTTCTACCAAAGAACAGGTGCTCATCGGGACAGTTCGCCATCCTCCAGATATCCAGGAAAAAACACCCATCCCCATCCAATTTGTCATGCAAAACATGCATAAAGTCCACTACTTGTCATGCAAAAAATGGATGGGGATGGGTGTTTTTTCCTGGATACCAGAAGGGCAGCTGCAGCTCCCAGTGGACGAGGCGACCTCTGGTGTTCGTATTCAGTGCGCTGCGGTGCAAAATCTTGCACACGGTGGGAAAACCGACACTGTCTAAAAGGTCAACCGCAGCGCGGAACTGCAGAAACGAAACCACGGAGCCACCGTCGAGGAGATGAGCAGAGGGCCGGTCTTTCTTTTTGCGCTTCTTGTTCTTTCGAGAGGTGAAAATTATACCACCAGAAGAAGTAGAACTTCTTCTCTGCGTGTTTGCGCGTCCACGACTCGCGCTGCCGTCCACCTCGTCCCGGTGGTCGTCGTTTTCGTCATCCGGCATACTATCCCCTGGTGGTCCACCACCACCTCCAAGCAAGCACTCCAGTACGGACGAGGTCCCGGCGCTGCAATGAGGAAAGAAGTCACGACTGGACGAGCAGGTGTAAAAAGCTGCTGCAGGCTTGTCGTGATAATCATGGCTCTCGTCGTGGTCCTCTCTACTTTCGCTCTTGTTCCTCATCTCGCCTTCATCCGTCTCCGAGCTAGACGATGAAGCAGTAGCTGTAGTTCCACAACTTTCGGAGCAAGAAGTAAGCCCAAGCTTTTGCAGCAAGGCACCGCAGAGACTGACGTCTTCCTCGTCGTCCTGGGAGTGGTCGTAGTCGTGTCTGCGAGAACTACTACGATTCGGTGGAAAAGAAGTGCTGCTAGTAGAAGTGGCACTACCTCTAGAAGGCCGACCAACATTTATTTCGTTCCGATCCTCACCCCGTCGAAAATTAAGCATGGATTGCGGAGGTTGTTCATCTTGCGCTCCCACCACTCCATCTTGTGAGGCAGAATGATCACTTGCGACGATGCGATTGAACTGGCGTTTCTCACGCCTCAAGTAGCGAAAAGCCCTGCGCCAAAGAATCGGACGATAGGCATCACTGATTTTTATCTTTTCGCGCGGCGTGCTACTTTTCGAACTACGCTTGTGAAGGTGGTGCTCTCCATCGTTGTCTACATCTTCTGTAGAAGTCTTATCATATCCATATCCTGGAGTTCTTTGATTTTCGTCTTCTTCTCCTGCTGTAGAAGTTCTTTTCGAGGTGGATCCTGTAGTTCCTGGGAGTGGGACTACACCAGCACTACGATCGACGTCCACGCCAACATCTTCTTCGTGCGCGAAATGTCGCAAAACCGGGTCGAGATCCTTTTCCACCGACAGCGGCCCGGGCAAGCAGTACTGCCATGGACAGAGGTCCTCGCGGCATTTGCATGTTGCACAAGAAGACGTTTCTGGCGCAGCACCACCCGCAGTAGTTGTCTCAGGTTCTTCTGCAGCTCCCCTGCTGCTGAAGAGGGTCGTGGGATTAAGTAACGACCCGAGCTTGATGCTGTAATCCGGTATGCAATGCAAAAGTATCGTACTCCTACTCGTATATATAAATGCATTACAAATTTCCTCAGCATGAGAAATGAAATTTGTAATGCTAATTTGCCTTAAGAACAGGATTTGTAATGCATGATTTCAATACGAGTACGATACTTTTGCGTTGCATATCCGGTTCGAGGTTTTCATTTTGGCGAAGCGGATTATCATTCCCTTCTTGTCCACCCCTCTGTGCAGCAAGATCATTATGCAGCCTCCATCGCGGGCGGTGGGACATTGCGGGGTTTCTCGCCCGTCGGCAAATGTAGCACTGCACCCCAGGTGATTGCGCTCGCTGCTGCTCCGCGCAACTACGGCACACCACGTGCCCGCAACTCAGCAAGCATATCGGTGCGGCGGTGGCGGCGGTGCTTGAGTAGGTCGTCGCTGGATGTTCTTCGGAGCAGGTCCGCGTTGTATTAGCTGGCCTTTCTCGTCGTGGTCTATTTTCATCGTCGTCTTCCACAGAAGTTCTTGCATCGAGTGCAGGAGCAGCACGTGCTGCAGCATCTTGGCTACTTGCTGCACCGGAAAATTCTCCTTCTGGTCCTTCTGCCGGAACATCAGAACTGGTACCACGGCCGACTTGTTCTTGTATTCACAGAAAAAAAACCATCCCCATCCATTTTTTGCATGACAAACAAAGGACTTGATGCGTGTTTTGCATGACAAATTGGATGTGAATGGGTGTTTTCTCCTGGATATCCTGTGAAGGAGAACTACAAATGTTCCTCAGGTACCTGTCCAGTTCGTCCTCTGTGTACGTATTCAAAATTTCGTCAGATATTGTCGTGGTCGAGACAGCTGCGCCGTGGCCCCCGCTGCGCTCGTCTACTACATCAGTTGAGATTTTATTTGCGGATCCTGCTTCATTTTTACTTGTATTACCAGCATTGGTACTAGTGCTGACTTTTTCCACCTTGCAAACCAGGCATTCCGTATTCGCAAAAGACGGCTCTCCGTCGTATTCGTCAAAGAGAAAGTGGACCGCGAACAAAACCCGAAGCTCCGCAGAAGTCAGTCGGCGGTCCGGTTGGCTAGTCCTTGCGGCTGACGATTTATTCTTGGTGGATAAAAAGCGACTTGCTCTTCTTGTTGTTGTACCAGAAGTTCCTTCGGGCAGCGGATTATGCGCATGGGGGTTATTGCTTCGGACCAACAGAGACCTCCCGGTGGATAAGGAGGAAGTACTACCTCCTGCACCACTTGACGTTGATCCAATATGGTTTTCATTTGATGAACCTCGCCGCGCTGGCGTAGGATGATCTTCGAGCGTCGAAGCGTAGACGTCAGCGGACGGAGTCGAAGAACTCGACTGGGTGGACCGGCCGGGTGCATTTCTACTGCTCAGGGCGAAATTTCCACGGCGTCCACTCACATGGCCAGGAACTGCTGCTGACGGAGTGCCAGGCAGGAACCAGAAGAAAAGAACGGCGAGCAAAAAAAACGGGACGAGGCGGTGGTCCTTCGGCCACACGCATCGATGTTGTGGCAGGGACGACGACCGGGACATGTTCATCATGCTCGACTCGTCAACATGCCTACTGGTGTGAAGAAGATGTCGATAATTTGTCAAATCATGTAAGCACCATAGAGCCGAGGAGGAGGTTTGACGCCGGCACACTGCGTTCTAGTCTGAGACTGAGTCTGCGTCTCTCTCTTTCTCTCTCTCTCAACATATGCTTCAAGAATCCTTGCGTCTTCTTTTCTTTGAAGAACATTCTTGTGGACCGCGACCTGATAGATGACCTCTAGGAGATACACGTTCTCCGGGCAACATCAGGAAAGCAACACCATCTCGATCTATTTGTATTCTATGCAAATGGTACATTCAATCCAATGTGTGCAGCATACAAACTCAATGAAAAAGTTGTCAATAAAAAACTTTGGTTGTCAATAAAAAACTTTGAATCCATATCCAATACATCACACTATTTTACAGGTTGATAAGAGGCGTCTTCAATGCGAATAACTAGTTGCTCGGAGTTAAAAAACAAGTCGAAACTTTTCGTATTTGTCATGAAGCAGAAAAATCGTGATGCGCATGAAGCTCTAAAACTAAATCGGTCATTCAAATAATTCTTTGCTCCTTTCCTCGATTTTGGAGTGCCTAGATAAATGCAAGGAAAAATCGTTTTTTTCTTTGAAACAAGGGACAGCACAACTAGTACAGTTTTCATCGAAGGTAAAGTTGACAGGTAGTTGTAAACAAGTTTGTAAAGTTCAAAACTATTCGTGTGTATCTCATGATAGTGTCGCTGTCGAGTGAAACAGAAATTGTATACCAAAAAAATAACATGCAAGGAACGAAAGAAAGTAAGTCGTACTATCTAATTACAAGTACTTCTTCATCACTGAAATAAAATCAAGCCGTCGGCAGGGTCTGCTTGCGTTTTCTCCGGTGATGCGGCTGCGTCTTCCTTTTTTGCGCCCCGGGCCAGGGTCTCTTGACTGGTGAGGCTGTCATCTTCCATTTCGCCGTAGAAGGCCAGCGCCATGTTCCGGCTATACCGGTCTTCTGCTTGTTGCTCCTGTTGTTTGTTGCCGACACATGCATTATTTTTTTGTATCCTCTTCCAGCATCTCTATCTCCAAATCCAAAGTAGCGTGAGCTGGCCGCATTAGAACTGTCATCTTCAAGAATATCAACAATGTGTGTCAGGCCGTTGCCAACACGCAAAAGCGTGTTATTGATGGTAACAAGTAGTATCAAAAAGTTCATCCTTGCAGACTAAAGCTGACCGCTTCTTTTAGATAAGCTTGTTCTAGAAGGACGCATCACATGTACCTGCTTCTTCTCCATTTGCGCTAGCGATCTCCGCGAGTGGGTCGCTGCGAGGACAGATTTCTTAAAAGGCCCGACACTCTTCGCGCTCCTACCCGCCTCCAAAGGCGATACCGACCGAGACGACTTCACCGTGAGTGCCTGCGGCCCCAGGCCCTCCCGCATGAGCACACGTTCCTGCTCATGCTCCACGCCTACTCGGCGCGGGAAGAGCACCGACTCCGGAGCGTAGCCGGGTGTGGAAGTGGCTGTCTGCATCGACGTAGACATCTATGACAGTGCACAACTCCCCCTCGTCCCCCTCATTTGTCATGCAAAACCCCAAATCCAGTCGCTGCCTTGTGGCACTGGTTGCATGACACATCAGTCCGGATAAAGCCCAAACAGTACGAGTACAAACATTGGACACACAAATTTGCCATGCATAGGCTCCACGTGTCCTGGTGTTTGCATTGCTGTTTATGCTAAACAAATGAGGGGCAGGACCAGGAGGACTTGATGTGCACTCTCATAACATCGCGGTGGTAGTTGTTCCCCGGCTTCGGCGCGTGGAATTCGCCGATCCCCGGGCGAATCGACCCGTAGCCGGATGAATGCCTCGCGGAGATGATGACAGGTGCGCGGCTAAAACACCTCCCGAGATGTGCACTAGACCAGGTCCGCCAGCATCACTTTTGTTCGCGGAGGACAACATCGTGTTTCTCTTGAACCCGGACATCACTTGAAACACCTCCTCGTCTTCACTCGGCTCTTCTCGGTCTAAATTCACACTCCGTGCGCGGTTTTTCGCAGATGATTCCTTGGAGCCGTTGTAGATGGACGATTCCTGAAAGGCCTTCTCGTCCTCGAAAGAGGCCCAGAGTTGGTCCATGTAATCCACACCTGTTTCCGTCTCCCGCAGATTGGTGTCGAAATCCCGCAAGCCTTCCTGTCTTGCGGTATTATTAAGAGCGCCAGCAGTTCGTCCGCGGGACGAGGGCCCTGCTGCACTGACTGGATTTCGCGGAGGACCCTCCGAATCAACATCTACAGTCGCCTCTCCTTCCGCCGCAGTAGCACCAGCGCCCGCACCTCCGCGCAAGACCCCGTTCAGCATGTCGTCGTGATTCTGGCTGATGCGGTGGAAATTGCCCCCGATGTGGCTAAACGACTTGGCCGCGGCGTTGGCCGTGTGCGGGAAGTGCACACGGGAATCCAACGTGGGGTGAACGAGAGAGACGGGGGAAATATGAACTGCAAAAGTGTCTGGGTCTGGAAGGTTGGAACTTGTGATCCGTCCTGTGGGTCACACAAAAATATGTGTTGCGTGATCACCAAAAGTTGTTCTCTTTTGACCAGGCTAAGAGGGAGTTTGTAATGCAGTTTAGGCATGAGAGAGACATCAAAGAATCTGTCATGCTAGGTCCCGCACTCCAGACCTCACGGGTCATGGAAAACCTGCATGACAAGTTTGGCATTCTTCCAGACCCAGACATTTTTGCAGTTGATAGGAAAAATCCGGGTACCACACGACATTGCCCGCCTCGTCAATTTCGGGGCGCCAACCCGTCACCAGCTCCTTTTTCACCTATCCTGTGCAAAAGTATCGCACTCGTATTGCAATCATGCATTACAAGCCCTTTTTTTAAAGGTAAATCCGCATTACATCGGAGGTCTACGGGCAGTTCGTCCCTTGTGGCATCAGGCCTTACTAAAACCAATAAATTATTCATTCATTCATTCACGACCCTCGCGCATCAACGCACTTCTGATGGTGCGTGCATCAACACGATTGGCACCTCGTCGCACTTCTGATGGTGCGTGCAGGCACGGCGTCACAGCGACCCAGTGGTCAATGACTTATGTTTGGTCAGATTATACTCCCCGACGGTGGAAGCAGCCACCAGGAGCCCATGCAAAATGAAAGATTTACGCATGGTAGCATTCTATCTAGACTCGAACGCCCTAAAGGACAACCGCAGACGGTGCCCTGTCTAGAGATAATTATCCCCCGAGCGGGCGGGGTAGGCAGCAAGGTGTTTAGCGGATCAGTGCCAAAATGTTTTTTTGTACTAGACCAACCGGGAAGCAGCCCGGCAGCCATGTATTTGTAGGAATGTGCACACTGTCATCATCCGCCGCAGACATCAAGCCGCCCCCCGGTTACGTAAACCAATAAAATTTTAATTCTAATTATTTCTACTAGCCCTGTTTCTATATTGAGATATTCTCCTATGTCATGCAAAGATGAGCCCCAGCGGAAAAAGGCGCAGAAGAAAGCCAGGCACCCGAAGACGGAAATAAGACGGAGAAGTGGAGCTGCGAGACCCGACACCGCATCACTATTTTCCCCGCCTGGCCAGTCGCTCCCCGAACGGTCGTATCCCATCGGCGATTTCCCCCGACGCCGATACTGTCGTATCCCCCCAAACAAACCCGCTGGCAAGGCGGAAAAAAAAACAGCTGCCCCTGCGAGGAAGCGGGTTCCGCGAACTAGCGCTAGTACAAGGATGAAACAAATAAGAAGACAAAACTACACGGCAGAGAGGAAGTAAAAGGGTAGCGACCTACATCTACGTGGGCATGAGGGGAAGGCAGGGAAGATCGGACTTTTCGGAATGAGGAGCGTACGAATTTGCGATCTAGCTCCATACGAGGAAACAGGTACTAACGAAGGAAGTGCAGTAGCAACGAAGCGCAGGCAACCATACAAATCATCACACATTTTCACGAAAGGCAAAGACATACTTGGTAGCATGTCATACAAAACATACACAGCAGCAGCAAGTAAATCGGATTCACGTTGCTGTGCAAAGACTATACTTTCCGTCACAACGAAACCCAACCCCTCAGCCGCGAAGCCGAAGGGCCGGGGGCGTGGCACCTAACTCGAGGTTTGGAGTCCAAGCCATTCATCGTCATACCCTCGCGATTCAGTGCACTTCTGATGGTGCACGAGAGAAAAGTAGTATTTACTTAGAAAATACAGTAGAGAGTATAACACGATGAGCTTAGACAAAAATTAAACGTGAACTTTACGAAGTGCAATAAATTACTTAGAAAATACAGTAGAGAGTAAATCCGCATTACAAATTTTCTTTGTCATGCTGGGGAAGTTTGTAATGCATTTATACGAGTACGATACTTTTACAGTTCATATCACCGAAGTGATGGCAATCCCGCTGCTGGTGGTGCTTTTCTGGCCCTTGGGAAGATTTTCACCGGTTTTAATATTGTTCATCCTTAAAATCGTGTCGGGACTAAACAACGCTTTCTGGTTGTGGTCCACTGCGGGGGAAGCAGCTGCACTTAACTGCTCTACCGTTTCCTTGGACGCGACCTCCTGATCAACCGGGCTTTTCATCGGGGGCATCAGATGGTTCGAGGCCCCAATGATCAGCGGTCGCTCCAACAGCAGCGTTTGCAGTTCCTCTTGTTCCTCGGGCAGTTCATTTCTCGCATAGTTTTCTTCAGCTTGTTCGGCCAACACGGCTGCTTCTGATCTTTCTGCCGCGGGATGAACTGGAAGTTTGCGTGCCACGACAAACTCCTCCTCCAGTGGGCGAAACATGTAGTTGATCGTGGGCGGAGAGGCGGGAACACCCTTGACATAATTGTCCCCGATCACCGCCACGGGTACGGGACTCCGCAGCAACCCCCGCGGGGTTTGGGACATCAGGTCTTCGTGAATGGACTCCGTGGAGTGCAGTAAGGCGAAGTCTTTGGCCTCCTCGTAGAAGTCAGTGGCGTTGTCGTTCATGTTGCTTCCCTCCAGATTGCTCCCGAATCGTGCACTCCAGATGTTTCCGTGGCGCTTAAACGCGTTCAAGGTCGTGTGGATTTTGGGCAACCCGCGGGTCGTGATGCTGAACGCCTTTCCATTCACGAGGTCCGACAGGAGCAAATGGCTGCTTTCATTATTGCTCCTGACAAGGTTCTTTTCCTTCTCCTGAAAGGCCAGGTCCTGTTGCCTCCGCACCCCCTCCAATTCCGCGAACGCTTCCGCCGCACTACTAGTCAGGCGAGCGCTGAACGGGTCCTGGCCTGGGTGGACCGGCAAATGCGGGTGCGTCAGGATGGTCGCGCGGGAGGTGGCGCTGTTGTTGTGGTCCGCGGAATATACACTGCAAATATGTCTGGGTCTGGGAAATTGCGAGATAGTTTGTCATGCTAGTCTGGCATGACTCGCAGCTCTGTATTGCGTGCCCGCGAAAAACTCCTCTTTTCTGTCATGCAAAAACCAACGCAGTTTCTCATGCGGAGTGCGCAACTCTAAACCACGGAAAAACTTGTTATGCTGGGCAGCGCATTACAATGTGCTCACTCTTCCCTTCCTTGCATCACAACTTTCCAGGCCCAGACATTCTTGCAATGTATACGGAATCTTGGATCACCTTCGTGCCCGCCTCTGACGCCATGCGCCGGATCTCGCTCTGCTCCGCGGTCAGAAGACTCGCTATGCTGTGCAAAAGTGTCTGGGTCTGGAAGATTGCAACTTGTCATGCTGTTTTTGGACTCTAAAAGAATTTGTATTGCATGGCCAGCAAGAGAGGTACAGTTTTTGCCACACGGACAGGGCATTTGTCATGCGGAAGGTGCATCAGGAAGCCCTCTAAAAGTCTGCGATGCTAGGTCAAGCATTACAGGCATCATGGGTCATGAGAAACATGCATGACAAATCTTGCAACATTCTTCCAGGCCCAGACATTTTTGCATTTGATACTGGTTGGTCCCGCCGCCCCATCGCCGACGGGGCTTCGTTTCATATTCCCGTCCACCTTCAATGCCCCGGGGCGGGCACTCACCGGCAGCGACACGCGGCCCGGCGTGTGGTGGAGGACCTTTCCCTGGGCTCGCAACGTCTTCGCGGCGCCCACCATGATGGCTGCTGGGTCGAAAAAGAGCGAGGCGCCTGCTTCCAGCTGCAGGCTTTTGTCTTCTTGTGTTCGTGTTGATGCGGGTGTTTCCTGATTCATCATCATCGGCGCATTGGGAATAGATGTTGTAGCACCATTTCCATCTTTTGCAGTGGCTTCTTGTTCCCCCACGGCGGGCTTCAACTGCCTATCTTGTTCCGGAGCATCTCGTTGTACATCACCCCCTCTCCCTTGGCCTGCCGCATAGCGTTCGGCCGACGGTGGTGGTGGTGTTCGTGCGGAAAGGAGGTCCGGAGTTTTCGGCAACTGTTTCGGGGCCGTCAGGTCAACAGCCTGTTTTGTGGAGTGTAACACCAAAATAATATCGCATGCGAAATACGCGGTCAATGCATTGATTTGAATTCACATCAATACACAAAAAAGAAAAACACGAAATAAAAACGCACCTGTAGCCTCCCGGTGAGTTGCGCGCGCAGCTCTTTGGCGGTCGATGCCAGCCCGGCGGTGGTGTCGATCCTGCCCGGCGTTTCGATCTTTGGTGGTACCAAGTGCGTGGAGTTGTCCCGGGACCGGTGGAGCGGGCTCTTTGGGCTCGACGGGAGCTGCTTGTTTAAGTCTTCCGTCGGCGTCAAGCGCGGACTGGACTGCCACCCGGCGATGCCCTTGGGGAGTTGCAGTGCCGGCACTTCCTTGCTGTTCAGTGTGCCGTCATTCACAGAAGCGCGGACGTACTTTGGCGCATTCCAGTGGGGTGCGGTGGTCAGACTCAATTGGGGCGGTTCTGGAGGGTGGTGAGAGTTAGAGTTTTAGAAGTTGAGTGTTTGGAGTGACATGCAAATGTAATTTTGGTTCATCTGCGTCATCTAGGATTTGTATTTTATCGCACGACGTCCTCGTAGACATAGAGAGAAAGTAGGCCACGGCGAGCTTATCGAAAATCCATTTGTTGAAAATGATGAAATCATGAAGCTTCTATCCATGTTGATGTTCTTGATCTTGTTCATGTTGTTGACGATGAACAAGATAAAGTTAAAGCTGTACTGTAGGGAAGGGCGTCAAATCTGCTCTTGGTCTCGGTTTCTTGCTCTTGCGCTTGTCCTTGAGGCGGCTTCTGCGTTATTTGCTCATCCGACTCTGTCGCCTCCTGGAGAAGTTTATCCAGGAAAAAACACCCATCCACATCCAATTTGTCATGCAAAACATACATAAAGTCCTGTGTTTGTCATGCAAAAAATGGATGTGAATGGGTTTTTTTCTGTGGATAAAGTTGCCGAGGCTTGGGATGAGGCTGCTTCCTCCGTGGTTGCCGGGGCTGGGTTTCGTGAATTGACGTTTAAGTAGATCGTGCTTTGTATCTATACAAGTCAGCACTTGAGCATCATGCTCCTGCTGTGTTGCTCACATTCAGTTATTAATGAAACCATAAACGTCCTCCAGATATGAACCAGCATGGCGAGAAGATGTAATGGTCGTCACTAAGGCTTATTTCTACCATTTCTTTCTCTCGAGGCACTTCTTCTGAAAATCACATCAGTACAAGAATGTAGTTTCAGAAATGAATCAAGAAGGGTGCTGTCCAAAGAAGAAGTTACGGATAGTACTAAATACCGCCCTCGGAAACGTGACGCCCGAAAATACTGGCGACGCGGCCTTTCGCCGTGTCCGGGTCGGCGTTTCTCCGCGGAACGTACCCACAGAAAAAAAACCATCCACATCCAATTTGTCATGCAAAACACGTATCAAGCCATGTGTTTGCCATGCAAAAAATGGATGTGGATGGGTTTTTTTCTGTGGATATAACGCGGCCGCGACCGCCGCGCCGGTACTTTTCGGGGAAGACCGGGCCCGCGACCGGCTTCCAGCACCAGGTCCACCCAACACAGAAACCTGCACGACGTTCAACGCTGCAGCCACGGGGGACTTCGGGGGGGAGGCACTGCGAGCATTGGGCGTCTGCGGCGCTGCAGCTTTCATCACAGCATCCGCTCGCGGCGAGGGGCCAGTGGTGCCAAGAACTGCTCTTGTTTATAACAGTGCACAACTCCCCCTCCCCCTCATTTGTATTGCATGAACAGCAACACAAGCAACAGCAGAAAAGGGGCTTTCGCATGACAAATCTGCGTGCGGATTGTAGTACTATTTGAGGTTCCAAAATTTGTCATGCTCACAGTGCCTACGAGCAAGGTGTGAATTTGGTATTTTGCATTACAAATGAGGGGGAGGGGGAGTTGTGCACTCTCATATTGTTGTTCCGACATTCAGATTCAACATTTTCGCCAACGTATCAAATGCAAAAATGTCTGGGTCTGGAAGAATGCAAACTTGTGATGCTGCATCTGGTTTCCAAAAAAAACTGTATTGCATAAGCAGCAAAGGGAGTGCAATTTTGGCTACGCGGAGAGGGCATTTGCCATGCGGAATAGGCATCGCGAAGCCCTCAAAAAGTCTTTGGTGCTAGGACATGCATCACAGACATCATGGCCCATGCAAAACGTGCATGACGAGTCTCAGAAATTTCCAGACCCAGACATTTTTACATTTGATACAACGGGCTGACCGCAGAAGTTTTCTCCGGTGTGGCTGACCGGCCCCGCGGCGGGGAGAAGCGGCTGCTCGTCGACGTGGCAGCAGCGGTCGTTTGCTTCGGTGGACTTGCTGGTCGGAGTTGCGTTGCCGCGGACGAACTAGATAAAGCAGATGGTGGTCCAGTTTTTGTGCTCGGCGACGAAGCAGCGCTGATGCTCGCCGTCCCGTTCATGTAGGCCGAAATCGGCATTCTTTTGCCCCGCGCAGCCGCGCGCTTCGCGGACCCGGAAACCTCCGGCGGAGGTGTGGCGGCGCGCGGCGGATTCGAAGATGGTGCTATGACCTCTTCATCCTGCAAGAACGCTTCTTGTTTTGTTCTTTCCTGCGGCGTGCCCACAGCTGTGTTGACATCAGGAGCATTCAAAGCCGCAAAAACACCTCCACCGCCACGGGGAGTCAGCTTGCCCTCCTTCCGGGCCGACAGCGTAGCAGCAAGAAGCGGGACCTTATTTCTGGCCTCGGCGACCGCAGTCATGTTCACAGCATAGCCCGGGCCGCGGGGCCGCGTGCCCGGCGGCCGAACGGCTTGTTGTTCACTCCGGGCGGTCGACAGCGTACCGGCACGCGAAGAACTAGTGTCCGGTGTGTCGTCGGTGTAATTGGCAGCAGCGCGATGTACACCGGCCATCGCGATTTGTGGACTTGCACTTGTTGTTCCCAACAACAAACTCCCCGCTGCTGCACCCGGGTAGTTTTTGCACAAAAAACTCGCAGCAGACGGCTGACCGCGGGAATTTTTGGTCTGCAAGTGCAACGACGGAATGTTATTGGTTGTCGTTGTTGCACCACCTCCATTTGTTCCCACATTTGTTGTTCCCAGTGACCCGCTGGACAGGCGGCCCGTCAACAACCCTGTCCGGCCCGGTGGGTGGAAGAACGAGGATGAAGAAGAGCTGGAATGCTCCTCTGCCATCATTCTGAAAAAGCGGGCTAAGAGTAGCTGAAAATTACAAAGGAATCAAAGGAGTGCTGAGTCGCAATATTTCTTTCAACCGACTTCCTTGGCAAATCAAATATAATTTCACATCAGCAAAGCATCCCCCTCCTTCTAATACCGATCTATTAGCGCCCGTTTACTTTGATATCTTCTTATGCAGCTGAATAACCGCTGCAAAAAAACAACAACTGACGTACCTGGTAAAAATCAGACGAATAATGATTCTTGACGAGTTGAATGGTAGATGAAAACAAGTAGGGAAGCAACAAGAGCTTCTTCTCCACGAAGCCGACGTTGGTTTATTTAGAAGCTGCATAGACGAAGATTAGATTCGAAAACGACAACGACCGAGGCACAAAGTATCAGAAAATGGATACTGGATGAAGTGCAAATTATCCAAATTTTCAGCCACAAGAACTTCAACGTCATCTTTGTTTTTCTTCGTGCTACATACTAGATGAGTTATTCCACGACCACGAATCTGTGATTTTTTTTACGAAAACAAAAAATCTATCGGTGAGAGAGACCTTGAAGCAGGCTCACGATCACGAAGATAGTACGTTACATGATGACTATCTTTGCAACGTACTACTGCACAGTATTGGATATTACTGAAAGTCGGCGCTTTTGGTGCTTCCGGGTCCTAAAGAAAGCGCCCCCTCCGGGCGGAGGGGCCGGTTTCTTTGTGGGCCGCTAGCGGCGCAAGAAGAAGCCGAAACTTCCTGTCCAACGAAGCACGACATTCTCACTCAACCCTCCACACGGAGGGCCCAACTTCTTGGCTTTGAGAATTGTTTGCTTTGCGCGACCTGCGCGCGGAACATTTGTTTTTGTTCGCTTTTAATGTTTTCGCGAAGTGGCGCCGCGGCTCGTGCAGTGGCTCCGCACGGTGGCCAGCTGTTTTTTTTATTCCCGGCCACCCTATGAGACGCGCAACACCCCTGCGCCGAAACCTTTGGCGCGCGCGAGTAAAAACGTCGCGGCGGGCTGCTTTGCTTCCGAGCGGCCGCGTGTGCCTCTACGAATGTGCCGTAAAGACTGAAAATGCGACGCCACATCGTAAAACAAGGACAAGGCAACGCAGGCGCACGAGGTGAGGCTGCATAGCGCAAAAATGAAGACTGAGCACCATCATGATGAGGCTAAAAAATGCGCCTGCTCCAACAAAAATACTAGAAGCAGGCCAGAGGGCAACTGGGGCAGCAATACCGGGCGCACAGAAATTTTGTTGGCTGCAGGGGCCGACCGCCCTTCTCAGTCGCCCTCTCTATCCCTATCGGCCCAAGCAAGTGCGTAACCCCCGCGCAAGCGGATTCAGCGGTAAGCTTCTCCAGCATGCAGCCAGATGGCTGTCATGGGGAGTGCCACCTGGACCTGCTACCTTGACGGTCAAGGCTTGACCTTCGTCCTCGCAATGCCAAAAAAATAAAAAGCGGCAACTTTTGGATCTGCTTAAATTCGCGAAGTATCTGCTACAATTTCCTTCTGGTGAGTACATTCCATTTGACGAGGAAGAAGCCCAGCACAGCTCCTCCTTTAGACGTGAGACGACCAGAAGATCAACCCCAAGACAGAAGTAGAGGAATATTCATGCAAAAATTGCATAGGCTTTTAATATCTGGTGTTTTTGTTTGTGTGTGCGAGGGGGCCTCAAGCAGGTCCTAAACCAAATCTCCCGGTGTCCTCACAGCATGGGCCTTAGTACTATCGACGCCGGTGAACTTAAAGATTTATTCCAGCACGAAAATCACATAGTTTTATTGGCTTGCAGACGAGATTCTTCTCGAGTTCAAAATCTGTATTGCTTTTCCACCGCACTAAAAGGCGCGCGACAGGCCACGGGGTCAAATTCTTGCGCCAACGCAGCCAGGCGGTGGGCTTCGTTTTCCTCCTGCAACCCCTGGAAAAAGATCGTTTGCTTGTCCAGATACCGCTGCCTTGACTGAAGCTTGTAGTAGTCGTGGTCGAGAATCTATCCCGAGAAAAAACTGTGACATTTACACACTCTGATGGAAGACAAGCAAGACAGACAACTACCTCTGTCATGCAGGAAATGCCTGCCAACCTCATTTCATTCGTGTTTTAGTTTTCCCTGATAGTGGTCTGCGCATCACAGCAGGTTTTGGTTTTCGTTGCCATGTCGAGGAACTTTGTGATGCAGAAACTCCAACAAATGTGTAAATGTAACACTTTTTTCTCGCGATAGAAACAGGACGTAGCCCGCTCGGCCGGCCGCCACCAGACCCGAAAGCCCGATACCGCACGCGGCACCGAACGCGAGTGAGTAACCTGTTTTTCGCATTTGCTTGAAGGTTCTTGGGGCACTTGAACTTAGCTTAACATGAAAAAAAACCAAGCGAACCATATTTTTCTCTCCAAATAGAAATACCTGCAGACCCGGGCTGCGTCTGAGCCGCGAAGGCACTGCCGATAGACCGCAAGGCGGCCGCCATCTTGGAACTTGGGTTTCAGAGGCCGGGTTCAAATAAAAAAAGAACGAAAAACGCAACAACTTCGCAGCACTTGAGAAGTACAACTACTCAGCTACGAATTCGTATGTTTGTGCTTGAGCACAAGTGCGAGTACTTAAGACACGACCTGGCCAAAACAACACAGTCTCGGGCACAAAAGAAGCACGACCAGGAAAACGGGCACAAGAAACCACTATCTTGTGCACTTGATGATTTTCATATTCTCAACATCCGTTGAAGTTTCTCAACTTCGAACGGTATCCGAACACAAAAGAGAACAAATATCTTCAGCGAAGATCAAGATTTTTGATCCAGGGTTGCTAGCGCATTTCTACTGGGTTTGCTTTCCTGCTTTTGTTCCTTAATTATTGTGCTCTTCGACTTCGTGATTGGTTCCATCTCTATAACTTCATTTTTCATCTCACTGTCAATCTTTCATAAGCACTTCGAAGATGCACTTGCAATCGTACACATACAACAAACATTGACATCAACCGTCAGGATCTAGATAGAATTAGCATAGTCATTCTCTTCATCCGCAACTATACTCCTTTTTCGTGCAGCAGCGCGGGCTCAACACTACTCAGTAGCAGAATTTCGCTGCTGAAGATACTGTAGGCATGCCTGCTGGTCCTACTTAGAACCCAGTGCCTGTCTTGTCTTGAATGAGTGTGAGGCAGGGTCTTCAGCATGCAGTTGGCCGAGCATCTTATTTATACCGTGCTTCTTTCTCTTTATCCGACCGCTTGCATACTTGTTTAGCTTGTGGCTGTCGCGAAAAACTAAACTCTTAACCGCCAATTTCATTTTTTTCCACGGATCCCATCACCTTATATTTAATGCGGCAACAGCAGCTAGTATAATAATTTTTGTTTTTCATCGTGCGACGTGCCACACTCCAAAACCAGGCCAATGCTGGCCAGCTAAGTGGCACATGTCTTTGTTCTAGTAATCAAAACTTCGAATCTTTCTTTCAAACCGCAGCTAGAACCACTCGCATACTACACCACGATATCCGCCTGTTCCGCCGCACCAGTATCTATTTCATTTTTCATGTTGCTACACGAGCGCCAGCCCTTTTTGTTAGACTTCTTGCACAACAAGCATAATTAGTCATTCACTCTGCAGCTGCGTCAATGTCCTTCTTCTGGAGCCGATGTCAATCAAAACACCTGGCCAGCAACTACGTAGTTGTCACGACAGTCAGGGAACTATCTATTTTTTGTCTTTCAGTGTTCCAGCTCTTTTTTTGACCCTGGTCATCCTTTGTAGTGTAGGACTTTTCATCGCTGTGTTTCCGCTTTCCCTATGTTGCTGACGCTTAATCAACTGCGACTTGGGACGGGAAGTTTTTCTTCTTTGCATGTTCAGTCGCTTCGTCTCTTTCTTCTCCTCTCGCAGGCCTCTTACCGCCGCTTCCCTTTGTAGCGCGCTTTGGTAGTGGGCAAAAAGGTCCGCCTGCTTGGATAGCGGGACATCTTGAAGCACCCAGGCACGAAACGCTTGGTCCTTGCGGAAAAATCCGATCGGATCTTCGAAAGCAGCATCCAATGGGTCTTCAAAAGTGCCGTCGTCGGGTCTGGCAGAAATCATATTCGGTGGCGGCAAGGTGAGACCGTTCAGATCCAGGATTAAGGGCCCCCGTTCAGATCTTCCAGAGAGTTCCTTTTTGTGCTGCGCGTGGTTCATCTTAACTTCGAGTGGCTCGGAGCTTGGAGGGCTGAAAGCGAGCATTCCGGGAAGCTCCAATCGAATCTGTGGTGAACAAATAGGTGATCATTACGATGTGCGCTGCTGATGCCTTGGAGTTTGAGTACTTCGAGTCGGTATTTATTCGAAAGAGCGTTAAAACATTACGCTAAGACTGACACAGGTGATTGCAGCCATCAAGAAAAATCAAAGTCAAGCCATGTAATTTATAGGAAATCGTGAAGTACCAGTACCTGTCAAAAATGAAACAAAACAATTTATATCTCCTTTGAATTTCAAACGTAAGACTCATACCTTTGCGCCGGTCGCGATCCCGGTATGATCAGCGCTTTCTGGCACACTGATCGTGATCTTTGCCAGCACTTGCCACCTCTCCCAGTCTGACACTCGCAGTAGGGAAGAATGGGCATCCTCACTCATGTATCCGGTGAATAGTATTCCGATTTCGTCAGTTGACGTTGACCCGACTACACCAGCACCGTTTGAAGACGTAAGGAGTGGAGATCCACCGGGGGGAACGACTCTATGTGCAGCGCGCATTTGGATGCCTTGCTTGTTGTAGTCGAGAAATTTCCGGATATACACCGAGACCGCGCTGGACTTCTCAAAGTCCGCCTCGGTGAAGAGGGCTTGCTGTTGGTGCAGCTGTGTGCGCCAACTTGGAAACATCTTGTCCAAGAACTCACGGTCCTGCACCTGCAACAATTGCTCATGCTCCTGTCGAAACAAATACTCCAGAAAATTCTGCGCAAAGGCCTCAAGCCGGTTAATGAGAACAAGCGACGCGGGCGGTATGTTGGCTCCAGTTTTGCAGCTAGTCCGGGATGGCGAAAACTGGAGAAGAAGGTATCATATTCGATTTAATTTTAAGTACTTATGCGCATGTACTACTTGAAGGTCAAGGTCTTTTTTTTTTCTCAGTGGTCTCTGCACAAGACAAGAAAAACTGGATAAAGTCCCACCGTGAATAAATACGAAACACTTCTATTTGTACCTGCGCTTCGATAGAAGACATTTCGGCTTGCTGGTTTACGTCGCTCACCTGGGCGCCATCCGGCAGGTTGTTGTCCGCAAAAAAGAGGGCACGGAGAGAATCCAGAAGACGTGTGTGAAGAAGTTTCCTCACGACTGCGGTGGAACCTCCACGCGCATTTTCCGGGTTCGCTGTTTGATGTTCATGTGGATCAGCCCCCAGCAACTCTGTCACACGAAAATCCATCGTTTCATCCCAATCAAACGGAGCAACTGGTGTTCTTCCAGAAGCGCTTATTTCCCCATCCCTTGTCAACCCCAACAGGCGCAGCTGCTGCTGGTTCAGAAACGATTTCACCTTCTCCAGGGTCGGAGCCACGGAGTGGAGAAACCAAGTTTTTGCCTTGTCTGCGTCAGAGGGTTCTTGTCCTACCGAATTTGATACATTTAGTGCAGCATCGTCCACAGGTGGACGACCTGCATGTCGTTCTTGCCCGTGCGCTTTGCTATCTTCCGCGCAATGCCCGCAGAGCGGTACTATGGTCGACTGTGGTCTCTGTTGCGATGCTGTGTTGAACGCTTCGGACATCGGTTTTTGAGTTTGTTCACCTCGATTTTCGCGACTTCTACTAGGTGAGTCCGACGAAGGCGCTGGTGGAGGTTGTACTTCTACCGGACGTGCATCATCACGATGTGATGTAGCTCGAGCTAGAGCTGCGCTCTCTGCCGGATCCAAAAATTTTTTGAGGTTGTCAGGAACTGCAGCAAGCAAAGCGTCCGGTAGTGGCGTGCCAGTGTGTGCTGACATACTCGAGGTGGAGGTGTGATCTGCACTTGTTCGTCCCGGGAACAGTGAGGCTACAGGTGCTCCGTTCAGGTTGATCAACGCTTCGGGCGTGCCTTGGTCTACTTGGTCGCCTCCCTCCGGGCGAAAATCCGGTGAGCCCCCAGTGCCGCCACTGCCTTCGTGCGCGGAGACGAGCATCTCATCTAGCGGGGATCGCTCTTGACGTTGAGTCGACGTATCATCTTCATGGTCATGGCCAAAGCCTGTGCCTGTAATGGCGATGATTTCCGCTCTCGGCTGTTTGGTTGGCGGCTGATCCTCTTCTTCGTCCTCACTGCTGGTGCTGGTGTCCTCTCCGAGGTCGCGTATGTTTGCCTCTTTCCGTGCCCTTTTCAACACTTTCTTCTTTGGCATTGATAACAAATCCTCCCGCGGGGGCGCGCGCGGCTCCCGGATCCGCCATGGGTCGCGGTCTCCTACTCCTCCTGTGCCCGCTGCGTAGCAGCTGCGGACGAGGCCGCTAGTTACGCTAGCTACGACCGCGGAGGCCGCCAAGACGACGATCCTGGGCGTGTTTGATGTTGTCCGCGCTTTTCCGCCCATTGTCGGATAATTTGAAAATGAAGAAAAGTTAGTTTCAGATATAAGTAGATATACAAAAAATGTAGGAAGCCACTACTAGAAGATGTACTTAGAATGGTACAGCTGCTACAGCGAAAAGTATATACAAAAAAGAAATCCTCGGAAAAGTGCTATCTTGGTGTAAGATCTATTTCTCCTTCAAAACAATGCAGACTGCTCAGCAAAATTCATTGCATTTGACTTTATTCAAAATTTCTCGGCGGCTCGTTGTCAACATTGATTTGATGCACATTGCCAGAAACACGTTTATTGTTCTAAAAATCGTACAGAGAAGGAACTAATGCGATTAGCGGAACTATTAGTTGACGCTATCTTACAACGCGACTCGCTGCCGCAAAAAGAGCACGTAGAGATGAGAGCTAAATTCCAAGAGAGTTGTTATTTCGCCTGAACAAAAGTCATTCGTTGAGGTTTTTAGGCTTAGGGTTAGGATTCACAACTCTGCGGCATGTTGTATCTATTGGGGAAGCGCGAGCGTACTTCTGCGTCAAAACAGAAAGATCGCGCTTTGTGCGATCGCGCGTAAGGATGAACGTTCAGACGTGTATAATAGTACTTGACTCATTGATCAGCTGGTAGAACTAACTGGCTCAGAGGAAAAGGGAAAACTACTTGTTGAACTTGAACAGGTTTGCTACTTACTACAGCAGAACCACGGTACTGCAAATCACACGGGCCCTCTAAGGCGAGATCGATCATGTAACAGCAGTCAGCGGATGGATCTGTTGCTGTTCGGTATGTAATCACAAGCGTCGAAAGGCTTAGGCCTCTTTGCGTTGTAGTTTGGTGTGGAACAATAATGTACTTACTTTTCGGAGGGCGGCTTGCCTCCATGATAAGGTCGCAAGTACTTTGAACATCAAAGAGGCGCACTTTCTTCGTTACATAACATCACTCAAGTACCAATCTCAAGGCGTAGTTCCACCAGTTCATAGCATCGGCTTTCCGCCTTTCCTGGTCTCTTATGAATTGCAAATATGTCTGGGTCTGCATAGTAGATGCTAGGATTGTCATGCACATTTTGCATGACCAATGACGCCTGTAATGCATGACCTAGAATCACAGATTTTGAATTTCAGAGGGCTTTGCGATGCATATTCCGCATGAGATATACCCTCCCCGCGTAGCAAAAACTGGACTCCCCGTGCTGGTCATGCAATACAGATTTTTTTAGCCTCCAACGACAGCATCACAAGTTGCAACCTTCGAGACACAGACACTTTTGCGGTTGATATCTCTCCGCAGCTTATAGCTGTACCTATCCAACGTCCTATCCGAAACGCTGGAACCTAAAAAAAACAGATGCCTCACCGACGAAAATTTCAGCAGCAAGTCTCCCCGCTCCGCCCACTCAGTGAACTGCAGCCAATACCTCCGGTCGTGGTGAAACCGCTCAAAGAGGAGCTCCGCAGTGGACTGAAAATCAAAGGGCGAGTACGGGTGGTGCGGCAGGAAGTTGTCGGAGTCGAAAAGCTTGTCGGGTCTGATGGAAGAAGAAGAAGAGGCTCTTGACGAAGATGGCGCTCCTCGTACTGTGTCGTCCGTGCTTTCCCTTGCATCTTTCGACAGGGGTCGTGTTGGCCCTTCTTGTTTCATCCCCGTAGGCTTTTTATTTCCCTTATCACTTAATACCTCGTTCTTCACAAGCAGCTGGTAGCGCTCCCCACCCTGTGCAATTCTGCGGATAATTTCCTCGGGACTGGTTCGGCCGCAGTACGGGCCCGCGAACGGCCACACAATCTTGTGGATGTACGGGTCTGCCGGGACAAAGATGGGAACGTGCATGGCTTGCATGTCACTAAGTCGCAGCGCATTCGGGACGTGCGGCAGCAACACCACGGCGGCGAAATTGGCAATTTCCTGGTAAGCGAGATTTCGCCCGGAGTCCATGGTGACAAATTTGCGGCGTGGTCGTGGTAGAGCGATATCCGTGTCAACAATCCTGGTTGGCCCAAGCGAGTTACGCTGTTTCTGACGCCTTCCTGGGAGCTCATCTTGCGGTACTTCTGGGCAGTGAGTGTCACTGTCATCATGATCTGTGCTCATCTCGTCCATCTCTTCTTCGTTTGCTGAACTTCCGCCGCCCGGTTTCCTCGTGCTTTCCAACATCAGAAATTCCGCGTACGTGGCTTCAGATTTCGGGAGAAGCGACGACCTTTCGGCGTTTTCAAAATCAGCTGCAGTTCGACCCTCTTGCAGTTCTTGCAGGCTCTTTTGGTTTTCTTGCGCATCTTGTTCCGCTCGTTCTTCTACATCATGGGTAGAATCGAAGTGTTCCTCGAACAAGTTCAACACCCTGAGAAACGTGTGTATCATCGGCAAGAACGTGCGGAAGACCAGAATGTCTTTCTCCTGTCTCTGATACACCGCGGGCTGCGTGTGCAGCCCGAGAAACGGCACGTAGGGGATTTCCTTGCGGAACTGCAAACCCCACATCTCGGCGCTAATCCGACAGGCGGAGGACAGCGGCGTGCCGTCTTGCAGGAGGTCCCTGTAGAGAGAAAAGATGGACACGTGATCGTCGTCCTTCACGTGCCCATGGTACAGAAACATCGGACACATATTCAGCTTCGCGATCAGTTGCGGGGGATGAAGATCATGACGGAGGGTAGTAGTGCTTTGGTCGTTTGCTCTGGTGCTCACCATCACCTTGCGCACGGCATTGAGCACCGGACAGAGCCAGAAGGGTTCGCACCCGATCATGATGTCCGCGCTTTGAAAAAAATCGTCATGGTCCAGAAACGCGACGAGCTCCGAAATCACCTCTGATAGCCGCCACTGCTCCGTTCTCTCGTACAACACGTCCTTTCGGCCAAAATCCGTGTTTTTTTCACTGCCAAAAAATTTTTCGAGCTTCGGGCCGCTGTCTTCGGAATGCTTGTTGCCCTGGGACTTTGTGAGCGGCATGCCGAAAAACTCCAACCAAGAGACACGGACGCGCATGTTGTCGCCCTGCGTGGTGTTCCGCAGGTTCCAACGGTGCGAAAAGTAGTGCTCAATCTCGATTTTCTTGCTTTTCATCGCATCTTCAGAGTCGTCTTCTTCATGTTCTTTTCCGGCTGCTGTGCTGTGGTCTTTTTTCAAGGACGAAGAGGCAGCTGTAGACGTTGACCCTCTTGGTACGTCCAGCGCCGCGACAAGAGAAGACAAGTAGTCCATATTTGTCGGCCCGTGCTCACCAAACACGCAGATGCGGATCTTGGGCGAAGAAGAGGACGAGGTCATTCCCACTCGTCGTCGCCCTACTTCCCTGTCTACTGAGAGTCGCAGCAACGTCTGCCCAATGCTCTCTTCGGGAAGGTAATGTGGGAAGTGACTGTTAAAATGTGGACTCCTACCAAACATACTCCTGCCTGGTGTGGTCGTAGACTTCTTGGACGCAAGCACTCCACTTCCGAAAGCATGTGCGATGTAGAAGTCTAAAACCTGCGCCCCATTCCGGACCCGCAAGGGAAAATTTTCCCTGACCGTGCGGAACAACTTTCTCAGCACCACGTCGTTGCCTGTGTTGCGCATTGCGTTTATAGGGTTGACTGTTGTGGGCGGCACCAGGCTTGTAGCTTTTGTTTGCTCTGTCGGAGGTTGCAGCTCGTGCTGCGGCCCCTCTACTTCTGATGCCGACATTTTCATCCACTGGTGAAAGTATCCAACAACGTCCGCTGCGTGCGGTGCGGATGCCCGAATTTGGCGGAGGAGAAGTGGGAGGTTTATTTTTCCATCGCCATGTAGATCATCACCTTCATTATCATTATCCGCCGTTGTCACGAAGTGCGCCAGGATTTTCGCAAACAACTCCTTGCTCAGCACTTCCAGCCAAGAGGGTTTGTAGGGAGGAAGCAATGTGGTCGTTTCTTGAGAGGAGCTTTCGCATCGACGGCTAGAGGCCTGTAGAAGTTCTTCACTTCTGCCTATGTTCGAGGCCGCGTCTTGGTTTTCCTGTTTGTCTACTTTCTCTGCCCCTGCTAGTGGTCCTCGTCCGTTGCTGCCGCCCATCCCCAAATGCCCTTGCCCACTCACTCCATGCTGTCTCCTCCAGGCCTCGACGCCAGCGAGGATACGCTGGAGAGAGGGAGAATTTCGATCTTCGCCACTTTTTCCCTCATCCTCAAGCCGTATTCGATCTTCAATCGGTGCTGTGGTGAAGAACACGTCCTGCGGTTCAGGAGTCAACAACATCTCACCTGAAGTAGAACCTACCTCCCCTGCAGGAGCTGAAGAACCACTTTCAGGATCTTTCCCAGATGGTGCGTTGACCGCATCAACAGGAGTCGTTCTTGTTTCCATGAGCAAGGCATTGCCCCGTGTCACGTCGTAGGACATCGGTTGTTGCGCGAAAAAATCCTCATAATCCCGGAAGTGTTCTCTTTGATACCGATCTCTTTCTGCAAGAGTTGTCGCCGCTGCGGTCGCCCCTTTGCTGTCCTCTACTTCGTTCCCGCCAGCATCATGATCGTCCTCCCCTTGTTCCCCTACTTCCCCGTACCACGGTATCCTTTTGACGTTTATCAACATGTCAAACGCGTGCAGGCCCCAGTCGCCGGCGTCGAGGAAATCCAACGAGAACGCCGGCCACCCCATCAGGGAGTTCATGATGCGCATATGCATTGCAAAAGTACCGTACTAGCACAAATTGCATCCCAAATTTTGTGTAGAACAAAGATGCAGTTTGTCATGCGTATTTAGGTAAAAAAGTGAATCTGTCATGCATGAATGGAATTAGACCGACGAGTGCGATACTTTTGCAATGCATAACGCATGTGGTTTCTCCAAAACAGGTCCATCTCGTCCCAGCTCGGGTGGCTGCGAATTCGCTGCACCGTCATCACGATGAAGTGCATCAACATGTACCCCGGCGGGCACTTGAGGAACAGCTGGAAACTGCTGACGTCGCCAAACACCGAATGCTTGTTCGTCTCCTGTGTAATCCACTCTTCCAACTCGTTCTCGTCCAGTTTCGCCGCGTCTTGGTGGTGACTCGCCTGCAGGCGGATCATACTGGCCTTCGCCGAGTAGTCGGCCCCGGCCTCGCCCAGGGAGAGGCCGGTTTGGTAGGCTTTGAGAATGGCAGCTTCCCGGTGCTCCGCGTTCTCAAAGTTTTGGCTCGCGAGGTCAGCGTCCAGTTGGTCCAAAACTTGGTCTATCATCTCCCCCCCGGGAAACATGTTCGATGTCGGGAAAACGCGGAGATTTTGCTCGGAAAAGTCCGTGAACTGCTCCTGGAACAGGCCCTGGTGGTGCGCGTAGGTGACCGTGTCGATGAGCTGCTGGTAGTCGGTGATCGGTTTCATCGCGAGATTATCCACGGTGAAGAACAAGCGGAGTCTGCCCTGGCGGAACAGATCCCGGGTTTCCAGGACGTCAATCCAGCTGTTCCACCGGCGCCAGACGTGGTAGCTGGCGCCCAGCTATCAACTGTAAAAATGTCTGGGTCTGGAAGATGCTGACACTTGTCATGCACGTTTTGCATGAGCCCTGATGTCTGTGATGCATGCCCTAGCATCACAGATTTTTTGAGAGCTTCTTGATGCCTATTCCGCATGACAGATGCCGTCTCCGCGTAGCAAAAAGTGCGCTCCTTTTGGTACTCATGCAATACAGATTTTTCTGGAATCCAAATGCAGCATCACAAGTTGCATTCTTCCAGACCCAGACATTTTTACATTTGATACCAGCACCTCCGGGTCCAGAATGCCCGCGGGGGACGTATAACCTGCTCAGGTGTTACAATCTCAAACGTTGCAATAGAATCTGGAATTTGTGTTGCATGATGAGCATGAGAGACTCGCACAGCGTTCCACCTTTTGCAATACAAATTTCGCCAGATTCATCTAGTGCGGATTGGGCCTTCGGAACTTGTCATGCGCAATCCTGTGGGAGTAGGCTAGGTCATTATACACTCTTGCATCACAGATTACCATACTCCATTGTAACGTTTGAGATAGTAACAGCTGAGCGCGTTATAGGACGCCTGGAGGATTTGGCGAAAATTCTGCCAGAACGGATCGTGGTCGCAGTTGAGAAAGCGGCCCAGGAACCCGCCGAAGGATGTGGAGGCGGGGATCGTTTTCTTCTTTGTAGTATGCTGGTGTTTATTCGCGTCTTGGTCTTTCTCAGTTTCGGAAGAAGTTGTCCCCGGAGACGAGGTCGAAGATGCAGCAGCATCCGGCGTAGGCGCTTCTCTGTCGTGACGCTGTGCGTGTTGCACAGGGGCCGCGGACACGAAGAAGCCGGAGGCCGGTACTCTGTCTTGGGAGTGGCTCCTTCCAAGACGAAAAGCATCTTCTTGCGTTCTTTCATCATGAAATGCTGAAGAAGAGTTGAACTTGTTGTTGTTCACGAAAAACACATACAATAGAAAATGAAAACATAAACCCACTGGGGAGAGAATTATAAACGAGCGCTGAGAAAACGAGGACTGCGCGGATGCACAAGAACCACAAAAGGCTATCATCATGACGCGTTGCACTTGTGGGCTGAGTGGACCTAGCTTCTGTAGCTGCTTCACGAAGAGAAAGATTGTACTCACGACGGAGGAGCTGGAGCATGAGTTTTCCATCGGCAACTCAGGATGCAAGGAAGGGAACGAAAGAACGGTGGGGCACACGATAGAAATGTCAGTTGTGGACCAACAAAAGCAATTCCAAACGAAAATCAACCGAGCGATTATGAGATCTTGACGGGAACCCACCAAATGATATAGATATTTCTGATCATGTATGAGGACGACCGAGGATGATATAATCGCATCAGCCTGAGGCTGAGTCGAGATAATACCAAAGTCAGCAACACCACACCGCTTCAAATGCTATGCAATTCATCAGCGCGCGATTGTGAAACCATCCCAAATCAAAAATGAGAACAACAGCGGCCGAATTTAACTAGTTTGCCGCCAAACATCAAAAGCGGAGCAGTTCTGTTTCTGGCAGACTTTCTTTTTCGGGCGCACCACTGGACGAGAAGCTGCTACGGCATCACTTTACTGAAAAAACCTGTCCAAAACGGGCTCAGGCCAGCACACAGCTGCTGCACGGATTTCTTTCATTTTGCTTTTCTGACATGGAATTCTTCGAAATACTTCCACGCTTTCGAGTTCTCCAGGGTCCTCCTAAGTGATTGGAAAACAGAATCCGCAACCTCGAGTGCTTGAACTAATTTGTGCAAGTCGGTGAGGAGTAAGGCAATATCGAGACACTCCGCTTCTGCGGGGTTGTCCTCGTGCAATGCCCCGGCAACCGTACAATTTTTCAACCAAATACTCTCGTAGTGCCACTCCATGTTGCTGACGTACTGTGCTTGCTTCTCGTGGTCTGCTGGAGCTGGGGCACCACGACCCTGGGCACTACTTACCATTGTGTCTAGCGTCGCAGGTTGCGCACTGGTGGAACAATGATCCTCGTCTCCCAAGATGGAGCGTGGCACAGGGACGGTGTCAGTGCCCGCGCCTGCTATTTCCTGCGCAGATTGTTCATCTGGCTCTTGCTGCCGCACGAGCGAGGAGTCCTTCCATTTCAGCAAAAAGTCGTTGGTGATTTCCTGGCCATCGCGAAGCGCCGTAGCAAGCTTCGTGTTCCCGTGGAAGGTGTCTCGAATGGTCTTGAGGTATTTACGATGGTCGTCCAATTTTCGACGAGAAAGTTTCTCTCCGTCCTTGCCCATTTTCTGCACGTGGAGCTCACCTCGAGCATTCGCGCAAACGGCCATAAGGCTCGGGTCGGCAGACCACGCGGAGAAACAAAGCGGCTGCCCCTCGTCGGGTTGCACAAACGAAGCTTCTCGGTGGTCATCGAGTAATTTCTGGAACCTGTTACAGGCTCCAGCCAGTTCCAAATATGTCCGCGTGCTTTGGTTGTCCTCGGGTTTATTTACACTTGCTGACCCTTCTTGTTCACCTTCTTTAAGCTCTTGGATGGTGTTAGTGGCCAGACCAGAATTGGAAGTTGGATCGGATGGTGCGCTGCCGTCCTCCCTGCTTCTTTCGTAGTCGTTGTCGTACGCTTGTTGTTCATGTTCTTCAATAAATCCGCATCCGGGAGTCAAGAACGACCCGATGCCCTGAACACGAAAGACTTGTGCAGCTGAAGAAACGATTGCCCGCGTGCACGCTCGGAGCACGGCAAGTCCGTAGGGGTGTGAATAGCGCTTCAGGTACTTTGTCACGGCAGTCTTGGTCGTCGGTCGAGCATCTTCGCGCAGGTCGAAGTCGGCGACCCTTCCCATACCGAATTTCCAGAGCAGAATCCAATTCCGCTGAAGAGACGAGAAAGGAACACGGTTTAGTTTGTCGAACGCGAAACAAGAATTCTTCGCGATGCTTGCTTTAATAAATTCAAGGATCCAATCTGCACGCGCCCTGGCGGTCATGCCCGTCGTGAGCATATCCCGGAAGCCAGGGCTTCTGCGCACTAGGGGATGCAGTCGCACAGCGTGCGCTGCAGATATAGCGGCAAGGACTACGTCACAGCACTCCAATGCTTCTTTGTGCGGGGCTTCCGTCGTCCGCTTCGAAGGATGGAGCTTTCGTTTGTTTGTTCCAACCGCGCCATCACCTTTTAGAAAGGGCCTTTGCCTCGCGGTCGCGATTTCAAAAAGTTCTGGAACAATCACCATAAGATTTTGGAAGTCGTGCGCGAGGAAGCTATACAGCCCCTCGCCGCCGTCGAGAAGGTCATCTTGCCCACACTCTATTGCGGCTTGGTATTGCATGTGCTCTGACCACGACGCTGATCGGAAGCCCCATTCGGGGGGCATTCCATACGTCCGGTAGACTTCGAGGAGATCCCAGATGGCCACCGACAAAGCCAAAAGCTTGCGTGCGAGAAAAGGCAGGTGAATCGGATCGGTCCATCTGCGCGTCATGCTGTACATTTCTTTCCAGAATTGGGGATCCGCTGTAGGATGCTTTTCGCGGGCACTTCTTTCGAGTTCGGAGTACTCGGCCACAACCTTTAGTAGCTTCTGGAAATAGTTTCGATGTCTGGTTACCGCCGTTTCGCCAGTTCGCACTACTGCCCCTGGCCGATTTATTTGCTTTAACCGGGTTTCGGAAAAATCCCAAACGCTAGGTGGCAGCATCTTTTTCAAGTTGCGGACAGCTTTGGCGCGATCGAAATCGCACCCGAGGACACTGAAAATGGTTCGCGAGAGAGCGCTGCGAATCCTCAAGCCATTCAGAGATTTGCCTTCTTCAGGATAAACATGCTCCAGCAACACTTCACAGAATTTCATTTCATCACGCAACACCGCAGTTTCTTGGCGCCTCCCGATGGCGAGGAACAGGAAGTCGAAGTCGCTTCTTATTGAGGAGAGACGGTTGCAACCTTCTTCGACAGTCGGCGGAGAATCCGAGGAAACCTGCGCAAAAACATCATCAAGGGCGTCTTGCATTGCTTGGACATTTTCTGAACCCGTGAGTTCGTCATCGTACCCTGCGCATGTCCTGACTTGCCGAATTGCCTCCCACCGCCCTTCAATAATCCCGCCAAAAATATTACACACTGCTTCTCGGAAGTAATTTCTCATGTTGCCAACCTCCTCTCTTTCGCGCCAGAAATGGGCCTGCAGCTGATCAAAAAAGCGGAAGAGCGAGGCAAATTCGTGGAGATGCACAACGACCTTGGCCGCTTCGTCAACCTTGTCCTGGAGTTCCGTGACAAATTGCTTGAATGCCCACTCCTTCGACGAGTTGGTGATGATCAGGCCTCCCGGCGCGTTCGCTGCTGTGATGGCGGAGAAAACCTCACCAATTTTCTGTTGCGGTATGTGTGCTTGTTCTTTGAGCTCCTGCAGCCACGTGACCACCGCCAGAAAACAGAGGTCGAGAACGCCACGAGGTGCGTGATTCGTACTAGACGTCACCCGCGCACCAGCATCCACCCGGGGGAAGACATGTGTCACCAACTTGATGAGATTCGTTACGTTGCTCGTAGAGGACTCATCGTCATCTTCTTCCAATGCAGGGGAGCTCGCTGTCGTAGTGCCGCTGGAGCTGTTCGTCGGCGTACCCACATCAAGAGGAGACTGGGACGCCTCGATTTCTTGCTGATGAACTACTTCTGCGGACGAGGCAAACCCTGACGAGGGCAGCGACGTCGCAACTGCACCGGATTCGACTGTGACACTGACAGCGTTTGCTCGCGCCGCAGCTTCTTGATCGGCCGCCAGCAATCTGTTTCGTGGCGTTGAGAACTTCTTCGTCGATGAGCGTGCGTCTGTGACTGTGTAGTTGTCGAAGTGTTCCATATCAAGGAAAAGTTTACACAGCTCTTGAGAAACTTCGTTGTGGCAGCCGCAGGCGATGCGTTCGGGTCCGGAATGAAGAATGTCGTCTATTCTGTTCTGTAGACTCTCAACGCGAGCCGCCCGGGATGCCGCCTCCTGCTGCTTTTTTTCTTCATACGCTGTCGCGGCTGCTATAGCGCATTCGCCTGAAGGAGCAGAAGGCCCCGGTCTGCTTTTTGCTGTTATGTTCGTTCGGGTTGCGCGCTTTTTAGCGTTTAGCTTTGCAGCGCGTCGTTTTGCTTTCCCCCCACGTATCTCCGCCGTGTTTCCGTCCCCTCGTCCTCCATTGCCGGGAATGTTGCCCTCCTTGACCGCCCGCTTGAAAAATTGACACCGTTCTCGATATTCCTCGTCTGACATCCGAATCAGTCGCAAAATGGCGTCCGCAGCGTCCTCTCGCACCTGGTGGTCGTGAACGGCAACCGGTAACACGCCCCTTCCCGGTTTCGATAACATGAAATGCGACCCCGTGATACGCTGGAGCTCGTATCCGTGCTCCTGCAAAATCTCGAACAGCCTGTCCGCTCGCATCTTTTTTGAAGATGTTGTGAGACTCAAATTTAGAGAAGTTGCGATGGCATTGGGAGTGTAATTTTTCAAGAATACATATAAGTGCAGCGAATGTCAATGAATGTGTAGAAAAAATGTCAAAAAAAACTGAGCCTCAACCTAAGCTGAGCTTTCAACTGCGCTGGCTTAGGCTTGCACCAAGCCCCTACAAATAAAGCGCGCGGCTATGTTTGAGCGTGTCTCTTCTTCGTTGTGCATAGTTCTGACGTTTGGCATAATTATCACGCGGCGAACAAGATTCTTGAAACCTCTCTATCGGAAACTGCAGTAAAAGGTAACAATCTTCATCGAGTCCACGAGCTTTAGGCTCGTCCTCGTTTATGATCCAAAAGGAAACAATAAAACAGATCACGTGTCTGTCCGGAGCGATCGCCTGTTGACATAAAAATGGCACTGGCTATGACTTACCGTTTCAGTTACAGTTTTCGTGCGCTGCGCGAGACTTCCACTCAGAATGAGGAGTCTAGCACGACATAGCAGGATCGTCTTCTATGGAATGGAAGAGCCACTCACTGTCGATGGTGGTATTCACAGTGCATGTAGTCCTCGGCGCTAGCTGGATCTAAGTCAATGGCTTGTTAGATAGATGAACAACGAAGAGAACAACCCGCAGCACTGCGCATCAGCGTTAAGCAAATGCAAGAGTGCGTGCCGTGTTCACATCTCGACGTCGCCGCAGAATTGAGCATAGGTAAGAATCATGGATCATTCCGCAACGCGTTCTTGTGACTTTCATTTTCGAACGCTTCACCTTTACAACGCTTTTCACTGTTCGTTTTGTTACTGCTAAACCATCCCCGCAGGCACGATGTTGAACTTCTTTCGTTTAGAATCGTCTACTCACGAGTCCCCTCTATTTCCGCGCGTGAAACTCCTCAAAATACTTCCACGCGTTGAGGCCCTGGACGGTTTTTTTCACCCCCTGAAAAGCCTCCTCGATTCCGTCCAACGCGTCGACCAGCGCAAATAAATCAGCCAGAAGCACGACAAGGTCGAGATTCTGTGTTTCTTCGGGGTAGCTGTCGAGCAAGAGGTTGGCATTCACATTCTGCTGCAGAGTGAATTCGTCGTGCCATTCCATCGGGCTGACGTACTCGTCGTTTTCCTTGTCGCGGCTCTTTCTATTTTCATCTGCGTGTTGATCTTCCTCCATAATCTTCTTTTCTGCGGGCTTACTACTTTGATGATTTTCTGCCCCATCATCTCCCCCGCAACCCTCAATGAGCGTGCAGTCTTTCCATTTGAACAAAAATTTTTTCGTTATCTCCCGCCCCTCACGAAGCATGACCGCAAATGTCGTGTTCCCGGTAAAGGCGTCTCGGACGACCTTCAGGTACTTGTGGTAGTCTTCGGACTTTCGACGCGAGAGTTTCTCTCCGTCCTTGCCGACCTCTTGCACGCGCAGCGCGCCCCGTGCGCACGCGCACACCGCCACCAGCCCCGGATCGGCGGACCAAGAAGAGGAAATGAGCGGCTGTCTCTCACTCGCTCCATCGGCGAAATTGTACACGTTTTTATTCTTCGCGTGGTGATTTGTTTCAAACTTCTGGTAAGCTGCGGCAAGATTGGTATTTCTTTGTAGTTGCTCCTCTTCAACATCTCGAAACACTTGTGCGGCTGACGACACAATGGTGCGCGCCAAGGCACGGAAAACTGCGATTCCCCAGGGCGGGTGCGAGAACCGCTGCCGTGCGAGCCGGGGGTTCGACGCCGCCGCCCGCGTAAGCTCGTCGTGGCGCAGGTCGACGGTGGCGACTCTCCCGATCCCCAGTTTCCAGAGCACAATCCAGGTGCGGCGCGGGGAAGAGAACTCGTGCAGCATCCACTTCGGATCATAAGCTGCGCCGCCGGCGGAAGATGAACTACAATCATTACTACCATTATTGTTCGTCCGTCTCACGAATTGCAGAGCCCATTTGGCGTGCAACATTTGGGGGGTACCGGAGTGCAGCGCGTGGCGAAAGCGCCCGCTGCGCCGAACCAGGGGGTGCAACCGGACGGCCTGCGCCGCAGCCAGGGCAGAAAGAACCACATCGGAGATCTGCCAGCCCTGTTTGTACGCTGCCTCCGCCGCCTTTTTTGAAGCCTTGTCTTTGGGTTTCTTCTTCGTGGCAGAAGTTGATGATGTTGTGCCATTAGCAGTAGTTGAACTAGCACTCATTTCCTTTGCAGGCGCATTTCCGATTGCGATATCGAACAACTCCTCGACCTGCATCAAGAGCATTTGAAAGTCGTTCGCGAGGTAACTACTCAGACCGCCGCCGCCGTCGAGTAGGTGTCGTCGCCCGCGTTCTGCCGCCGCCCGGTCTTCTTCGAAAATCTGGAAGCCCCATTCGAGAGGGATTCCATCGGTGCGGTAGATCTCCAAGAGGTCGAAGACCACGCTCGAGAGCGTGAAAAGCTTTTGCGCCAGGAACGGCAAGTGATTCGGGTCGAGCCACAGCGACGCGGGGTCCCGGCCCTTCTTGTCAAACGTGGCATCCGCCCAGAAGTCGGGCCCGAACATCGGGTGCCGCTCGCGAGCGTTCTCCTCTAAATCGGCGTACTCGGTCACAAACTCGGTCAGCTTGTCAAAATATCTCCGCTGCCTGCTTTCCGAGGTTGGCGTATGCAGGTTGCAAAAGTCTTCTATCGCATTCGCACTCCTCCTTATACACAGCACATGATTTTCATTTTTGCGGCCATGCGTCCTGAAAATTCCGCTTCTGTTCTGCTACTACTACCTCGAAGTCGATTTCCTGGTGCTGCATGAAAACAAACTCCATTTCTGAAGATTCTCTGAATTACGACCACTAGTAGGTACGATAAAATGATGAACTACATTTGCAACGCATAATCCCCTTCGCGAAGCAACACTTTCTCACGCATGATCCCCTTGGTCCACCAGTGCTCTGACGGGACCACCTTCCTCAAATTGCGCACCGCTTTGACGCGATCACCATTGAACGCCAGGTCACTGAACACGCCCCGGCAGAGCGCGCTGCGAATCCCGAGGTCTCCGAAAAACTGGTGCTCCTCTTGCCCATCAAGGTGCTCCAGCACAAGTTCACTGAACTTCATCTCCTCCCGCCACAAACGCCGCTCCTGGCCTGCTGCGCGCTGCGGGAACGGTATCGTAGAGAAAAATCCCCCCTCCCCATATCGAAAAGGTATATTTTTGGGAATTTGTCATGCTGATTTGTGCTCACAAATCGTGTCTGGCTTGCAAGAAGGCAAGTGCGCAGGCTCCGCCACATTACGCAGACGATTTGTCATGCTGTTGGGCCTACAGCGCGGACGTTACTCATGCTAAGTGCCTAAGCCAAAACCCTTCTACTCGCACTTAGTATGGGCCTGCAGTGCTCTCCAGCAAGACAGCTCAGATCTGTGTACACAAATCCAGTATCAGAAGTTTCAGTTTGATATGGGGAGGCGGGGCTTTTCTTTTCGATAAACGGGTTATTTTTTTCCTTCGGATCATCCAGCTCTCTTCTTGTGGCTTCCTCCAGGCCACCAGTGCTACCGTGAGTCCTCCGAGTCGTAGTTCCGTTTGCACCTGCTGTTCCAATGTGCTGCGCCGCAGCTGCACTGGTTGTGGCCGAAATGGCTAGGGCTGCTTCGCCCTGCGTCAACGGGTCTAGTACTGCTGGATACCCGTTGTTGGCGAGTAACTGCGCAAACTCCTGGATCCAGTGCAAAAGCAATATCGACGCACTCGTAATAATGATAATCGCAGTCATGCATGACTACAGGCCTGTGGCCCTCTATGGGAAAACAGCATTACAACTTACGTTTTTTTTCTTGAAAAGATGATTCGTGTTCGTCATCATTTCTAGTGCTACGATATTGATGATTTTGCAACGCGTATCCTGGATTTTGTTCAAGGCTTCCCACCGCGAGGAGTTCATTTTACCGCACTTTTCGCAAACCGCCGTGCGCAGGTGCTTCCTCAGACCGACGATTGCTTGGCGAGTTGTTTCGTAATTTTTCCGTTGTAACAGCACAGACGAACCTCGTCCACCCTCGGCGGTTGACAACTGTACCACGACGAGTTCCAGCTCTTCCTCCAGTTTATCTAGGAAACGAAACAGCGTCGCACAATCTTCCAGCCGGACTTTTTCATCCCCATGAGTTCTATGATTCATGGAAGTAGAAGAGGTTGTGGTTTTTATATCGAGATCGACTTTATCCTGGAGGTCTATCCAAGAAAAAAATTGTGTTAGTGTAACTTTCTTTGGCAGACAGCATCACAAATATGCTCTACATGACAGAGAAAACCTGTCATGGGTGGCTTGTAAGGGAACATGCACTTGAAAAAAGGACTTCATGGCTGTGTGGCATGACAGGTGTAACTCTGTTGCATGTTTTGCATTACAAAGTTACACTTACACAGTTTTTTTCTTGCATAAGGTCGGCAAGGAATTTGTTTGCCTTCCTCACCTTCATCTTTTCCTTCTCCGATACCGATAGTTCTTGTAGTTCTTCATCTTCTTCGCACTTCTGTCTCATGCTGTAGTTGAAAGCGCCGCCACGTGCTGTCGCTGCTTTAATCGCGGAGAACACTTGCCCGGTTTTTCGCTGCGTCACTTGAAATTCCTCGGTTAGCTCCTGGAGCCACGCCACCATAGAGAGAAAACAAAGGTCAACGGCACGAGCCAGGGTGCGATGTTGTTGAGAAGCAGTAGTAGTGACAGACTTTTCAACATCTTCGGAGTCTTGTTTTGGTGCGGATGAAACTTCTCCAGGTCGTGGAGCGCCGCCGATGCTCCTGGAGCTTTGGCCCAATGAGCTGCTGGAGGTGCAGGGAATATCAAAGATGTCCATCAGAACCTTGAGGGACGGTCCCGAAGCGGGGGATGCCGTACTACTAGCCTTCGTGGTTTTATTGCTGTTGCTGTCTTTGTGGTCTCTTTCCAATTCTAGTAGTGTTGGAGAGGGAGAGGCGGAAGCAATGGTGTCCCCGGCGGTTGTTGTCGGGGTGGAGGTTTGAGCATCATGAGAAGCTGCTGCTGAACCTGCTCCAGGTAGAGAACAACTCTGCAGCGTAGTTGCTGGTGGGGGCGTTGCAGTATTAATTGGAGACTCATTGTCGACTGAGACCGTCGCAGAGGTCGCGTCGCTCGCCATAGAAGTGGGTCTCGGCGTAGTAGTACTAGATTCTTTCCTCGTCGACATGGCGCCCTCCGTAGTAGAAAAATTCTTGCTAAAACTCAAACCGCGGGTATTTTCGTCGCACGTGATCCTCTGCAGGATAATATCACGGAGGAGGCTAAAACACTCTTGGGAGAGCTCGCGGTGGGCACCGCTCGCAATCCGCTCGTGTCCGAGAGTCAGAACTTTGTCTGCTCTCGCTTGCAGATCCGAAATCATAGTAGCTCGAGCCTCCTTGTTATCCGCAATAATTCCACAAGATCCATCTTTATCTTTTGCTGCCGCCGTGGCTTCCTTCGCACGGGTGACAGTCGTTCCTGCCTGCTTTTTCGCCTTTGCCTTTCCGACCCGTCGCTTCGAAGATTTCTTGGTGTTTGTCCCTTCGCCCCCTACTTCGCCAGGAGTTGTAGACTCGGTTTGTCTTTCCTTTGCGTGCAACTGCCCCCCACCTCCACCGTCCAGAGCCGCTTGTTCTGCAGTAGCTTGCTTCAAAATTTTCACCTTCTCCTCTTTCTCCGCCTCTTGAATGAAATCACACCAGGTGAAGTACTCTTCGTCCGGCATTTCAACCAGACGCGAGAGCCCGCTCGCAACCTCCGCAGCAGGTACAACGTGAAGATCGTCCTCATCTCGCTTTGAGACGGGCACGACAGACCTCCCTTTTTTCGAGAACAGAAAATGCAAGTCCGTGATGCGCTGCGACTCATACCCACATTTCCGCAGAAGCTCGCACAACTTTTCTTCTGGATGTGATTGCGCCATCTTGTTTGAAGTTTATATTTCTGTGTCACTAATATGGGATCATGTCCATCTTCTTTTCTAACATTACGGTTTTATTGCCTAGAACGTTCTATTTTTCTCAAACCATGACTTCGTTTTGATCTTCGTCCTCAGTTTCGCTTTTCGAAGATGATAGATAATGCGCCTGAGCTCGTTTTCACTTAATACCGCCCTTAGAAATCCACAGAATTCTGACGACACACATGAAGTTCGCCACCTTATTCTAATTCTCGACACCTGAATGTGGTCGCGAAAAAAGGTCGCGAAAAGAGACCGTTTCTACTTTCTACTTTGCACAAAACGTGTTCGACGGAATAGGATCCTTTCAAAAACTTCGCATCAAAAGAAAGAAAACAAGCAGTCCGTCGCGGTTGCTTCCTGAGGCTGACGTATTGAAACGGCACTGGTACAAGTTCATTGAAGCGGTGTCGTGTGGCACAGCCCGTGGTTCTATCATCTTCTAAAGTGAACAACGATGTTTCCCTCAACGGGTACTACTAGTTCGGCGCCAGAATCCGGCAAGACCAATAGAGTCTGAAGTGATTGTGTAAAATTTTCGAACATTGGTCGCACCTCTTTCCACAGGAAAGAATGAGAATCAGGGCGGGTACACAAACACATCCTTTATTCGGCGCGTCGTCGTGATACTTACGTATTCAACTAGTGCTCAGTACTCGCAGTCAGCCGCTAGCTCCGCACTAGAACTAGTGAACTACTCTACCATCCAATGCACGAGCGGCCGCGGTATAGCCCTCGCTCGCGTGGCGGCGATGCACAGCGTCGCGGATCAACTGCGCTGCGTGCTCAACCTCTGAACACCAGACCACACAGCCGTACGATGCTTGGTCTCTCACCATGAAGCCGTATTCATTGTAGTAACGCACCCCGAAGTTGCTTCGGCGCCATGTGAGATCGTCCGCGATCGGGTTATCCCGGGAGACACGTAAATCCACGCCCTGTGCATCCGTCGCACAGCACCCGGGGGCGTCGTTGTTATCGTAGATAGAAACAGCCTTCACCGCGGATAAGTCGCAGCACGCTCTTTCGACCAGCGATAGTTGTACTTCTCCTTCTAGAGGGGGTCGTTCTTTAGGAGAAGTTGAAGTAGCTCCTCCTCCTTGAAATAAATGTCCATCGCTACTAGTACTGCCACTGGTACTGTTCGAATCGTCGACCGCTAGGACGAGGTTGGTGATTTTGTAGAATTTTTTCTCCCCCAACGCCCACACCTGCCCCGCGATGAGTGCGTCAACCTCTTTGGCCTTGCAACACGCCCAGACGGCGAACACGATGGTCACACTTAGACACAGGCCCAGAAGCGCAGTCAACCGAGCGAGCGGGTCCACGTCGGAGATACAGTTCTTGGAGCGGCTTCGAGAAGAAGTACCTTTTTTGTCAACAGCTTCGCTGTTTTCTTTGTCGTCCACAGGTGCATGATTCTTGCTGTTGTTCTCGTTACGACGATGCTGTTCTCCTCCGCGTCCGGAACGCAGCAACGCGTGATTATTTCCCACTCTATTTCGTCTCCTTTCTTGTTCCAACATGCGGCCGCTTCCGGTTTCGCGTTTTTGCTGTTTTGCCGGACGTTGTCGTCTCTTCGCGTAGCTATTTTCGGCTCCATCTTCGTCCACCTCTCGACCACTTTTATCTTGTTGCGCTGGCCGCTGCGCTTCTTGTTGATAGAGAAAAGAACTACTTTGTCGAATAGTTATTCGAGCCGCAGCAGGAGCTCCATCATTTTTATCTTTGCCCGGCGCGGCCGTAGTCGTGTCTGATGTGTAGTCGTCCGTCCTATTTCGAGAAGTAGAGCCCCTAGTACTCGCGACACTGTCCTCGTTCCCCTTCTCCTGTAGTCTCGTCCTCGACAGTACCAAAACTTCCACCGCCACGACGCCGGCGACGAAGACCAGTAAAAAAAGCAGTAATAGCCCCAACGAACCCCACCGACTCCGCCGGAGGTTGTCTTGTAATTCTATCGACACCCGCCAGACGGCGAGGATGCGGTCATTCTGCTCGCGAGCAAACTGTTCACAAACTTTCAGGTCCTGGGTCGTGGCGTTGGAGAGAAGTTGCGCAGGTTCTTGTGCGCCACGCGGCGAGGAGGACTGCTGCCCCTGCGGTTCTTGCAGTCCTTGCAAGGTGTGTGTCACCTGCTCCAGGAATCCATTCATCTTCTAGAGGTAAAACAACTTCTAGCCGGTGGCCGGCAAAGCCGGAAAGTAGATGAGGATGCTGCTAATTTTTTAATACTGCCAATATCAAAGAAACTACACCAGGAATTTTGATTACTTAAGTATGTCTTGAGGACCTCAAGCGGCCCTGGCTCCGGGCCAGGCTACTTTCCCTCCACCTGCTCTTGTATTATTGAGATTCGGGGGAGTTGGATGATCGAAGACCTCGCGTCGCCGGTTGAAATCGTAAAAATAATGGACGACGACGGACTTGTTAGTTTTGCAGCACGTTCATTAAGAAGTAGATGCACGACGGCTGTGGAGAGACGGCAGCGAAAGACACAGACGAAGCCAGTAGAACGGAAGTAGAGGTAGGAAAGACGGATTATAAACCAAAAAAATAGCTAGGCACAGACTCGACGCGACCACCCAAACGATCGTCAATAGAGAAAGAACGCCGGTCTGGAACAAATCACACAAGAACGATTTTTGCAGGAAATATGAACGACAAAAACGATTCTCAAAACGACGACCTTGTGCCAAACGACTAAGGACGGCCAGAATTGCACCAGACACGTCCCAGTGCGGATGCATGTGCAGACGTAAAACTGAGACACGTCAAGACGATGCTTCAGGGTATAGAAGTGAAACTCAGCACCAGCACGCACGAACAGACTTACTGCAAAGCTTCGGTGAGGCAGTTGTCTGTACCTACAACAACTTCTCCTATCTAATACGGCAATACTCCACTTGCGTTGTCGCCTGCAGCAATATCTTACAGGAAATCTTCCATTCCACTTTCATTCCGTATAAAATCTTTCATATGAAATTCACTGGATACACACAACAAGCTTTATCAGAAACATTCCAGTTCATGGTCCACTAGGCGAAAGGTAGAGACGAGGACCCTGAAGAGCTACATCTTCGTTATAACAAAGAGAGGGATACACAGTCATGGTTGTATTGCTCGACATGTACTATTGCGCAGTCCCACCCCTCTTCTAGGCAGGATCAACATCTCAAAGTTCCTTCGTTCAAAACTTTCTTCAACTTATGTGAAAGAAGGTAAAGTGTACTGGTACACCGACTTCGCAGGTACTTTTTGCTACTGCTAGTATGATTTTTCCACGTCTACACCAGCACGACCAGAGCAGGTGGTCGTTGGAAATTATATATCTGTGAGTGGTCCTGGTCTAGATCAAAACAGGTGCATGTTTTGGAAAGCGTTCCGGATGTTAAGGGCATCGCGGTCTCCAATTTCTGCATCATCGTCCATGTCGATTTCTTCGGCAATGTCATCTTCAGGCCGGTGTTGCAGTTGCTTTACCTCCACGTTCTCGTCAAGAACCGAATTCCGCCCTGTCGGATGAACAAGAAAAACCTGTCGCACCTGTTCGTGCACCGTGTCCTTTGTGGTCTCAGGCGGAAAATACTTGGTAATTGTCAATCCCACGGTTGTGCGCTCCGCGTCCCGAAATTCGTGCTCGTTGCTGAGGGTCAGCCGGATCTCTAGTTCGGACAGGGAGTCGAAATAAGAGGCGTTTGTGATCGTGTCGTGTTTGGTCCTAGTGTGTCCCTGCTGTGCTGGTTCTGCGTGGGCTCCTACTTCGTCTTCGACTTCTGCTTCGTTTGTTCTTACATTACCCGAACGCCCCCAAACAAAACCTGATCGCGCAGCACTTCGACCCGTTGTATTTTCGCGTTCTAAGTTGATTTCCGGTTGAAACAGCAATGTCCAGGTGCCCTCGGACCGCTCACGATCGGCAAAAGAGTTCCCAAATGCATACTGATTGTCGCGCCGGACGGTAAACAAAGCCCGTGGGTCGATGGAGACGCGAGGATCGTGCTTCTGGTGCTGCCTGTTCACAGCTTCGGAGATGTGGGCAGCGAGGTTTTTCAATCTCGTCCTTCGGTGGTCGTCATCTCGTTGCTCCTCGCCGAGAGGATAGCCCTCGTGGTTCCCGGCGTTTCTTGGAAGAGCACGACGCTGCAGTAGTCCACCTCGCGCTCGGGGATCTGGATTATTTCTCCTCTCGTCTTCAGCAATAAGATCTACTCGCTCGCTGAGTGTATGGGTTGCGACCCAGTCGCGTCGGTTCGGGAAAGAGGACCAGAGTCGTTGCTCTTGCTGTTTTAAACCACGGTTTGCAGCTGAAGTTGTGGCGTCTCCATCGGAGGTACTAAAGGTAAAGGTACGTGCACGAGGAGTAGTACCTGCTGCGTTCGCTGCGGAATGAGAATGCCCCTGAAAATCGTTTTTTGCATCTACTCCTGCACCCTCCACATGTCTTGCAGCTCGTGAAGGGGGTCCTCGCCGCCAAAAACCGGGCGAAATGATCCTGCCTTCGATTGTGATTGACGACAAGAAAAAGCTGCTCACAACTGCATCTTCTTCAGAGTGTAGTTCCGAAATTTGAATTTCATCTTTGTTCCCAAGTAGAACTTCGGCTGCAAGTCGGTCCACCAGCTGCGTCCAGAACGGAGCTATTCGAAAGTACCCCAGTGTCGACGCGGACGGGGTGGAAAACAGGTCTTTAAAAACGACAGGCTGGAGGTGCTGTTGATGCGCAACCCCTGTGCTCGCACGCCGCCGAGTACGGCTCGGGGAAGGCGTCAGGAACGCGGAGAGGGCATTTCTACTACGCGGTGGTCTGGTAGCTGTGGCTTGTGAAGAAGGAGCAGTCTCTGCTTCTACTTGGCTGGAAGGTTGCGGTTCTAAAGACCGAGCCTCTACTGATGCTGTGATGTCCGCGCCTTCACGTGTTGCTCCGGATGTAGCCTCGGATGAACCTGCCTGGTGCGCCTCCTCTTCTCGCGGAGTAAACTCAGGTCGTGCTTTATCGCAAGAAAAAAGTTTTACACTTACACATTGTGTTGCAGGCCAAGCAAGACAGACAAGCTCTGTCATGCAGGAAACGCTTACCAGCCTCATGTTTTCCCTTATAGTCTGCGCATTACAAGTTTTCTTTGCCATGCAGAGCAAATTTGTGATGCTGAAATTCCAACAAATGTGTAACTGTAACACTTTTTTCCTGTGATATACTTCCGGGAGGTTGCTCATGGACACGTATAACCCGCTTAGGTGTTACAATCTCAAACGTTACAACAGAATATGGAAATCTGTGATGCAAGACTGCATGATCAGGCCAACTTTCATAGGATTGCGCATGACAAGTACAAGTTCCTTCCGGGGCCCCAAACCCCAATACAATCTGGCGAAATTTGTATTGCAAAAGGTGGAACGCTGTGCGAGTCTGTCATGCTCATCATGCAACACAAATTCCAGATTCTATTGCAACGCTTGAGATAATTGTAAAGTTTGAGCAAGTCATAACACGGACTTCCTTTTTCTGCCATCAAAACACGGCAAGCAGGGCCATATCATGCTGCTGGTGGAGCAGGGACTATGCTTATAATTTCCACCGCTTTCCTCTATTGCCCTACTAGCAATCTCAAGCTGCGGAACGAGAGTTGTGCCAAAACACGACGAGCAGCACGCGCACTGCAAATAACTCGTCCTACCCCGGCAAATGCTGCACTGCTGATTGGAAAGCTCGAGTAGCGTGTCCAGCGCCGTGGGGTTCAGTGGTTTCTTCCGGAGTTGTTGTATCCACGCGGCCCACGCACCGAGGCTGCGAAAGTCTTCCGGGAGCTCCGGGTTGGCAAGCAGAACTACCGTGAACGCAGGCAGTGATGCTGCTCCTTTAGGTGGATTTTTTCGGCTTCTTTCTCCGCCACGTTCTTGACAAGGATCTTCATCGCAGCCATCTACTGCTCTTGCTGAAGGAACATGATCAGGCGAAGAAGTAATTGAGCAAGTAGAACTAGCTGCAACTTTATCTTCGCCTGCGGCAAGGCAGGACGGGAGGAATGGTTCTCTCGTGTTTGGCTGTAGTATCGGCACCAGGCGGACATCGGAGTGGCCGATCTGAAATTCGACCGAATCCAGCAGCAAGTCAAGTTCAAAATCGTCAATTGGTGCGCGTGGCAGAACTTCATGATCGGTGGGCGGCCTTGAATTTTCCTTACCTCCTCTTCTTGCATCTGCTGAGCGTGGTGAGGCTGTGCTTCTCTCTTTCCCAAGAAGCTGCGTCTCGCACGAATCACCCGAAAGCCAATGCAAACGCACCCCTAGACCGGTGCTGCACTGCGTCGCTGATGCGAATAGAGTTGTGCTGCAGCTCAACGTCAATACGTGCCACAACAGCAGCAGGCGAAGAGGCCCAGGTCCTCCCAACCACGGCGTTCGCAATGAGGATGACATTGATGCTACTGAAGATGCACCGAAAAACAAATTTCTCTTTGGAAATCTGTCTCGATAGCAAGAAAGAAAAAATTCACAAAAGTACTAGAAAAAGGATCAAGACAATGTGAAGGTGCGACGCTGCGCCGCCTGTCGATTGATGTGCATATATGATTATTTACAGGGCGAAAATGTCAAAACGAAAATCTTGAATTTGAAAAGGTAAACAACTAACTCTTTGAATACGTACTTAGATCAAAATCGCACGGATGGTGCGTTCATGTCAATAGGATTGCTTCCGGCTAGTATCTTCACAATCACATCCTAAATGTGAATAGTGCTTTCTTGCTGTACTTTGGCTTTCTTGCTGGGTAGTTGTTTTTAGCTATCGGCCGCTCAGAAAAAAAGCAGATCTACGCTGTATTTCCATCTTCGCAGTTTGCTATGCTCGTTATTCTCCCTCGACCTGGAGGGCCACCGGCATCATAGTGCAAATGCAATCTGGAGGCCGAAATTTGCACCAGCCAAAACCTCCACGTAGTTTTGAATTTTGTGATTACCGCCGCATTATGCACGCACACACGCAAAAATGAGAACAAGGGACCAATGGACTGAAGCCGGTAGCGGTACAGCTTGGCCTTAGCTCAGGATGACATAGAGTTGCGGCCCCCATCAGGGTCCGGTTCTATATGACAGAAAAAGAGAAAGAAAAACCGAAACACAAGAAACCAATAGCGCGAAATGTGATCTACACCTAGATCTTTATTTGTGAACATAGCTTCATCAGTACACATGCCGCCGCTTGTGCTGCTTCTGCTGCTGCTTTCGAGTTCTGTGTAAGATATTTAGTTGCTATCGCTACGCTGCTTTTGGACCTTTATGTTTATCTTCTTCGAAACCATCATACAACAAATCCACCAGGTGTGGCTTCTCCATTCGCTTGTCTTAACTTCGGCTAAGTATTACGCGCCAGCATGCTGATGCGAATTAAAGTGCTTGTAGTAGTGTCCTTTTCCAAGATTTTGAATCCTTTTTCTTCTTTAGATTTGTCGATCTATTTCTTTTTCGCGGACGTGGATGGTGCTTCTGCTTTCGCAGTTTCGGCATAATTTTCTTCTTGTTCTTCCGCGCCGGCCTCATCTGGTTCGTAGTCTGGCGGCCCACCTTCCTGGTCATCGTATAATTCCGCGTCATCTTCTGCATCCTCGTCGGCGGGTTCTTCATCTGGCGCAATTTCTTCTTCTCCTGCGACGTCCTGCTCATACTCGTCCTCCTCTTCTTCGTACTGTAGCGTCCCTTGACTACGATCCACTAACCGGCCGTCCGTCCCGTAGTTTTCCCGTTTAGAATTGTCCCCACCTCCTGTACTAGTACCGGCAACTCCTGCATTCGAAGTTGATGCATCAGCTTTCTTTTTCGCAACTCCCTTGGGCGGTCCGTCTTCCATCGGGTCGTCCTCCAAAACTGCGTCAGTATCTTCCTCCGAGTCCGTGTGCCCGACGACCGGGCCCTTCCCCGCGGAGAGCTTTGGTGCGGCGGTACTGCGGCTCGGGCGGTAAACAAAAAGGACGATGTTGCAAGAGGTAGTGACAATGCCGAGGAGAATCAAGGTGAGTAGAGAATACAGGGTCCATTCCTTCAGCATGCAGGTTTGTTCCGCTTCTGCGAGCCTGTCGTGGTGCATAGCAATTACTCTAATTGTGGAATTGAAGATAGAGAGACCGTTTATTTCCGTTGTAGCTGCCTGAAGATCATGTAGTTGCTGTCACGAGAATAGGTCGTTTCGAATTCGATGCAGGTAACTTGAAATTATACCGGTAAATGAAATACTTAAATCTTAACGAAAAGCGAACTGCCTCTTCCGTATCAGGAAACAAAAACAAATACTCATCCTTGTTCCAGTTCGCTCCGTCGGGCACGGTGCTGTTGTTGTCCGCGATGCTCCCGAAATACCACTTCGGGATCATATATGGAAGCGTCAGGACTGAAATCGTCAGAGTGGAAATAGTTTGTGATGCATAAAATGGATGCCAATTGAAACCTAGTTTCCAAGTGCCGCATGACAAATTTGGGTAGAACCTAAATCCAGTTTGCCATGCTGTTTGGGTAAGGGCGACGCCTTTTTTCATGCTACTTTAGCAGCTCTATTTCTACACCTCAACAGGCTTACAATCTGCCTCCCTTCTTGCGTCCTCTGCAATACAGAGAGTTTTTGCGTTGCATTTTATGCATGACAAACTATTTCATCTCTGACGATTTCAATCCTGACGCTTCCATATCATTGAACTTTCCGTAAAGCACCAGTGGTACAGTGGCATTCGTGCCGGCTCTAGTCCTATGCATTGCAAAAGTATCGCACTCGTATAAATGCATTACAAATTTCCTCAGCATGACAGATAAAATTTGTAATGCTGATTTACCTTAAGAACAAGATTTGTAATGCATGATTGCAATACGAGTACGATACTTTTGCACAGGATAAGTCCGGGAAAATTTTTGTCACAGGGTTCCAGTCTGCTTGCCGCGTCGATCGACTGGACTTCATTGACGTTCACGTCCAGGGCAAATGCTTCATAATTGGTGTAGTTCCCGAGGAGTAGAAGCAGGAAATACGAATGAAGTGCAGGGAGAGACAACCTGTACCGGGGTCGTCCTCGTGAAGACCTGCTGAAGGACTGACGATCGTCGTGTAGCCCTTGACCAAAGGACAGCTGCCGTTTCGCAAAGGAGCGCACCATTATTGCTTGCCGAAGGCTCCTCGAGCTCTCCCAGTAAAACTTTTATCTAAAAACAGCGAATGCAACACTTATACACTTCGGTCGTACTGACTGTAGAAATAGAATGACATAGTAGACGAGAAAATTTAAGTTGTGTTCGTTTTCAACGTAACAGATGGAGGAAGACGACGAAATCATACATGAGGAGTACCGGACCAAGATCTCGACGATCTCATCTCACACGACAAGCTCTCGTCGACCACGAGGCCATTAAATGAAAATCGGTTCTGCTTGCGCGCCGGTGCACATCGAATTTTTTACACTCTCCGGATTTTCGACATGATTTTTTTCCAACTCGTCCGAAAAATGCTCCTGCTCCGATGTTCAAGATATATTTTCCGGCGCCAGAAGATGCAATTCCTAATCCCGGGCCAGGTAAAACTGTTGTTACTCCGCGACTCCTGTATCATCGTGATGAACGCCTCGACAAGTTTCATTTTCCACTTTATTCTGCCGACAAACAAAAATCCATGTCTTTGTCTTGACGACGGACGACATTCTGCACCTCAATTGGAATTGTCACTAGCTGCAGCTCACCTCAAAAATCATACTATTTTCAGTAAACAATACGAATCAAAAATTAAAATCCGCACAGTCGTGAAAGTAGAGAATAAAAACTGTTTGTTTATTCTACAGCACTTCTGTGCTGCAGTATGTCGTCAACACAGCAACACCTTCTCATCTCCCCTTAAGCAGCACCCGGCTTGGCATTGGCAGCTGATGTCAACGTCCCTCCCTTCCGTAACCGCAAGAAAACCACAATGCCCAAAGTGATCGTGGATAGACCCGAAAAGATGGCCAAGGTGAGGAGCAAATAGGCCAAATTCGTCTGGACGAGACAGCTGGATGTGTACCTGATATGAAGGTTTGTCAGTCGTGATCCTCAAATTGTGATGTTCATGTATATGTGTCTTGTTGCAGCAAAGCCAAAGTTGCAAGTAGAGTCATGCCAGAAAAACGAAATCACAGTAGTAGGGTTCATTCTTTTTCAAATACGCGCCATGATCGTCCTTGGGATCGGGGGAGCCAAAAAGGCACCAGTGTATCGTCTCTGTGTTTAGTTCGCCGGCACCGTCCGTTACTGGTCGGTAAAAACAGGGCCGCTCGAACTGTTTTGTGGTTAGCATGTGCTTGTCGTCGAGCTGCACGGCGGAAAATGCATTCTCACTTCCATCTGCAGCAAGAAGAGCAACCCCACTAGCCGCTTGCGGGACGAGGAGTTGTTGGGCCTCCTGCAAAACGTCGAAGTCCGCTTCTTTTCCGACGCCGCCTTTTTCGTCGTACGTGACCGCAGTAGGAGCTGCAGCAGCCGCACTTTCTTCTGCTTCTTCTACTTGCCGGTTGTTCCTCGTGTTTACGATTTTCTTGTTCCCCCGCAGGTTGCCCCGTCGCGGCGGCCGCTGGTCGTCAAGAATCAGGTTCGGAGAAGGTGATGCAGTGGCTCCAACACGACTGCCGCCCCCGTCGACACTATGAGCAGCTTGCTCTTCGTCGATTTTTATGCCGCTGCTCAGTTGCACTTGCAGGACCTGTAGCGGCACGACAAGGCTGAAACAGAGAGGCACGAGCTTCGTCATTTGTGTTGAGGTGGCTCCCCGAGGTTGAAACTTGCAGGAGCAGTTGGGCAAGAACATATTTGCTTCGATATTTTAAGCAAGGCGAAGTAGAGTGCAGAGCAAAGCACAGATTATAGAGTTATATCACATCATACATCTTTTGTTCAGGAAGATCAATTATATGTTGGGTATACTCATTTGCCCGTCCACAACCTAAACGAAGAGATGAAACGGCGGTCTGTCTCGACTCATCTTCGAAAATCGTGACGACACTCGGTAGTTGCAAGATTAGATTCCTCGCAGCACGACTCATAGACTCGACAACTCGTCAGGCGCTCGGTTTGCTTGACGAATCAATCTCTCTCAACTATTTCTACCGACGAAGTGTCTGGTACCCACAAATCAAAGAGAACGCTGCATGAACCCAGACGTTCCATAGCGCAAAGCCCATCGAGCTCTCGATCTGCTTCTGTAACATGATTCGGCATTTCTGACAACTTAAACTTTGCTGGTTCACTTGATGTCCTTTTTATGTACATTTACTTTTCCACAACTCACTAGGGCACTCTCAATGTTCCCACTGGGCCGCCAACAATTTGTCCTTTGTCCCCACCGGCATGTAGTCCCAAATGTTTGGTCCCCCGACCGCTCCCCACCATTTTTCTTCGCTGCCGAAGTTGTACTTGGTCGGCAGTATTTTCGCCTTCTTTGCCAACACCGCCATCACCGCTTGGTAGGGGCTGCACTCCGAGGCGTTGCGCAGATTGTAGTCGAACCAGCACTGGTGCTTCGCGACTTCCTGTTTCATCTGGAAAATCTGCTGGTAGGAGAACTTCTGCAAATCGTAGAGTTATGCATTGCAAAAGTATCGTACTAGTATGAATCGCATGACAAATTAGCTCAGCATGAGAAATGCAATTTGTCATGCTGATTTACCTTGGGATGGAGATTTGTAATGCATGATTGCGATTACTACGAGTACGATACTTTTGCACAGGATAAGAATAAGCTCTCGCTGATATTTTCCTGGTTCCACTTCACCGAGAACGTTTTCTATGGATTGCAAAAATGTCTGGGTCTGGAAGGTTGCAACTTGTCATGCTAACTCTGCATGCTAAAAAAATCTGTATTGCATGACCAGCAAGAGGAGCCCAGTTTGTGCTACGCGGGGAGGGCATTTGTCGTGCGGGATAGGCATCAGGAAGGGTTCTGAAAATCTGTGATGGTAGGGCATACATCACAAACAATTCTGGGTCATGCAAAATATGCATGACAAACCTGGAAAGCTTCCAGACCCAGACATTTTTGCACTGCATATTTTCCAGTCGAGCAGATCCTCGAACGGCACCTCCATGTTGTCGGACAAAATCACCGGGATACAGCCGGCGAAAAATGCATTGTACAGATGGTTCGTCCAGCTGGTGTTCCCGTGCGGCACGAGACAGAAGTGGCTCGCGCCCATCCGCTCGAAGAAGTCATCCGTGAAGCCGCCGACGGAGATGCGACCGTGGTAGGGTTTTGGCACCGTTTTGTCGATCATTTTCGCCTTGATACTCTCCAAATACTCCTCGTCCTCCCCGAACTCCTCGAAGTCGCCGAACAGATCCACCAAATGCCTCCTTAGCGTGTTGGCCGCGTAATTCTGCCTCCCCAGCTGTTTCAGGATGTAGGCGTGCCTCCCGTGGAAGTTGAAAAGGAGAGGGCGCTGGTTGGTCGGCAAGTCAAACTTCCGCATGCGCCGGCTCCGGAAGTAGTCGGTGTGTCCGGGGATGACGATATGAAATGAAAATTTCCTGTACATCATGTACAAAATGCATGACAAATTTCGCTACCTTGCAGAGCCCAACTTGTCATGCTGGGGTAGGATTGAAGGCAAGTTTTGTCATGCGGAGACTGCATTTGTATGTGTACGGGAAATTTACTGTGGATAGACGATGTCCTTCCAGGGTTGGTGGCAGGGCCTGCCGCAGTTCGGGGTAAACGCCTCGGTCGTCAAGAAGATGCTGTGCGGGACGTAGTCGCGCCAGCTGGTCCAGAAAATCAGTCCCTGGTCGGACATGAGGAAAATGTGGTCCGCGCCCTCGTTCTTGCGGAAATAGGTGAGTCGTTCGTTCTTCATCATGGACACGTACACGGCGTCAATCTCCCCGTCGGAGCGGTTCAAGGGGATCACCATGCGCTGGCACCACGTGTACCAGGGGACGAGATAGAAATCCGCGTTCGCGCCATCGTATGCAGTGCAAATACGTCTGGGTCTGGAAACCTGTGATGCAAGAAAAGGAATAGTGAGCGCACTGTAATGCGCTGCCCAGTATGACAAGTCTTTCCGCGGTTCTGAGTTGCGTACTCCGCATGAGACACTGCGACTTTGCATGACAGACAAGAGGAGTTCTTCGTTGCCACGCAATACAGAGTTCAGAGTCATGCCAAACTAGCATGACAAATCTCGCAATGATCTCCCAGACTGAAACATGATTGTAGTTGATACGTCGGTCGTGTGGCACTCGCTGCGCCGAATCCACTCGGGGATGAGCGTTTCGACGCCCCACTCGGATATCAAATGCAAAAATGTCTGGGTCTGGAAACTTGTGATGCTGGGTGGCGAATCATGATGAGGCCACAAGTGCTGGCCCAGCATGACAAGTTTCTGAGCTTCTAGGTGTTGCCTACTTATTCTGCATGACAAACTGCGTTCCTGCATGACGGAAAAATGGACTGGAGCGCTTGGGTAACGTGCATGACAGATTCAAGAGTCATGCCACACAAGCATGACAAACACGCACTCTTCCAGACCCAGACATTTTTGCACTTGATAAGCCCATGGTGGCAATGGAGCGGGCCGGTAGTCAGGTCCGGGAAGTCGTAGATAAAAATCTTCAACCTTGTTTTAGTTTGTTCTTGGTACCTCTACGTACAACGTCCGTCGTCGTAGTTATGCCTGAACAGAAACAATTTCACTTACAACCAAAATCAAAGCGTATACACGCTAGTGGGTCCTCGTACTTCTAGCGGTATGGAAGATGAAAAAGTAGAAAACACAACCCCCACTACAGCCCGTACCCATGTTTGCACGGATACGCCCCGGGCGGCGGCACCCCGGGGTGAGGCGACTCATCGATCGCGGGGTCGTAGCCTAGCATCGGACCGTAGGGCACCAGTTCGTCCTCAATCAACGCGTCTTCGTTCTCGAGCAGCTTTTCCCAGCCCGCCGCGTTCACCCGGTCCGGGTCCAACGCGAAGAGCTCCCGCAAATCCGGCAGCAGCCGGTCGATCACAAACCTGTAAAAGTAGAGCGCGATTGCCGAGCCGTGGTTGTAGTCCATCGAGCGGAGGGAGCCGAGGAGGAGGACCAGGAGCCCGAACCCGCAGTCCGCCGCGTGCTGCTCCAGGAGGCTGTTGTGGTCGATCGCCAAGACCAGTTTTTCAAACATGGTACTGTCCCGGATCGGGATGTCCATCCAGTTCTCCGTGTACTGCTTCAAATGCCCCCAGACGTGGCTCCGGATAAACTCGCTGCCCTGGCACTGCAGGGTTTCGTCGAGAGTCAGCTGCAGGTGCGTCGTCGGTGCTGAAGATGTTGTCGTTCTTCTTGTCGTGGTGTGAACATCTTCAGCGGCCCGGGCGAAAAAGTAGGGTGAAGTAGGTCGTCGATGCAGGGGGAAATGCCCATGATCCGCAGATGAAATTATAACCTCGTCAGCGTCAGTGGAATAGAACGAAAAGAGCTTGTGTCGCACGGTTAGCAGAAAAGCAAAGAGGGCAGCGACGACTGAGAAGGCCTCCCGCTGTTGAAGCTCGGAAAAACAGTTGCACTCAGAAACCAGCCGTCCCCCCTTGCGCAAGAGCGCTGCTTTGGCCCGGGCGGTCGTTTCTGATTCAGAATCGGTCTTGATTCTATTTCGGCGGGCGACACTGCCTTTCCTTCGTCGCCGTCTACGTCGCCGGCACCAAGCGAGCGACCGCATCTTGCACGCTTCGAGAAACACGCGCTGGCCCTTATTCATGTGCGCATTTGCTGCGGCTCTAGTGCTTCATGTCGGATACAAGTACAACGGACGAAGGAACTCAATGAACGCGATCGATAGTAACAGATTGATGAGGCCCGAAGACGCGGCAATGGCAATGCATCGCCATCTTCATATTCATTGATTGACGAGAAGACATCAGCCCAAGATCAACGGGCACTGCAGATCTAAACCCAAGCCGATCCTTCACCTCCTTGCTTGCATGGGGAGCGAAGATCCGGAAAGAACACGAGAGCGGACATTAAAGAAAATGTGGAAAAAGAGTCAACGCGCCAGGATCTCCAACCAGAACCAAACAACATATAGCGAAGGCCACGGCAGTCGCGATCGGTAATTTTGTTGCCGTGAAGAATTAGAGGGGCGCTGCGAAATCAATTCGATTCCGCGCGCGCGGAGCAGGAGCGGCGCCCACACTCACACAACACACGCAAGGCAGCAGGGCAGCTTGGCCAGAAATGTATATCACGCGCCCCGCGCACCAAGACGAAAAATAAAGGCCCACCAGAACACCAAGGGAGGGGCACCGCCCAAGCACACAGCCACACAATGGCCGGCGCGGGAGCCCAAGCCACCACGCTCGCACCCGCCATCCAGCGGGCGCCCTATCCCCGTCGCGCGCCCGAACTACGGGAACACGGGGGCGGGCCCGGGGCGCTTGGAAGCGGGCGGCGCGGGCCGGCGCCGGCCGCGCAAAGGCGCGCCCCCTCGCCAAAGAACAGAAGACCGGAAGCGGCCCGCCCGGCGGCGCGGGGGGCGGCACCAACTTGCAGCAGGCGGAACGGGAACAAAATCAGCGGGCCCACCCGAGGTCGTCCGCGCTTTGCTGCGTGCTAGCGACTGCGGCGGCACGTAAGTCAACGGCGGGAAATCCGGGCGAACGCTGATCACATCGCCACTGTACAGAGTCGGCTCGTCCGCGCCGGGCAACAAGAAGTCGAAGGCGTTCAAGATCTGCTGCCGCGCGTCATAGTCAAACGGCCCCGGACTCCGTCCTGCCAAACTAGCCCGGCCGCCGCCCGCCCCAAAGGCCCGGGCCCTGCCGAGCGCGCCTGCCTGCGTGCGCGCGGCCGGGCGCAAGAGGCCGGGCGGCGGGGCCGCGCACCGGCCCTGGCCCCTTCCAGGCCCGCCCCGGGAAGAAGCAAGGGAGGCGCGGCGGCGCCAAGGTGGCGCCCTATGCCGGTGGGCGGCCAGCGCAGGCAGTGCGGCACCCCCCGGGCATAGGCTGCGCGGAGAGAACACGGCCGACCGGCTGGGTTTCATCAATGCTTCCTTGCCCCCGAAGCCGGCCCGCGGGCGAACGGTCGCTCGGTGTCCGCCGCGCGCGGCATTCCGTTGGCGGGGAGATGCGCCCACGACGCTCGTCCACGGGCGAGCTAGGTTTTCCGCACAACCGGCGCCCTCTGTCTGCCGCCAAACACCACACGGCAAAGGGCCGCGCGCCAGCTCTGCACCCGGCGCGCAGGCACTCGCGGGGCCCCCGGCGACCGCGCAGCCCTCCACTTCTCCCGCCCCCTCAACGGGCGAGCGCTTTCCGATGCTGGCGCGGGAACTATGCGCGCAGATCGGCCCAGTGGCCCACGAGTCCGGCGCGCTGGCTCACCTCATCCCACAAACAGAAACCATCGCCGACATTTAGGCACGCCGCCGCCCGATCCGGGCGGCGAGCGGACTGCGTAGGAGGTAAAGCGCTTGACTTTTGGCAGCCCGCTATACCTTCAGTCACTACACATTTCAAAGAAAAGACGACAGAGGCCGCAAGAACACAAAGACAGCCGCTACTATCAGCATCCCGATTCTCAGCTGGGATCATCTGGGTGTTCTCCTTCCGAATTCGTTGTTCATTTGCTTTTGCACTCTTTTAAGAAGAGTCGGCGCATTAATTTTTATTTCTTTCGTTGAAGAATTGTAGAAGAAGAAGAACCATGTTCAGTATGTCGGTCGTCGTTGTCGTGTCGTTCAATTTGTGTGGTATCATTGTCGTTTTATCCTTTGTTGTTCAGTGTTCCGTATTCATATTCAACATGCGAACTCGCTTGCTGAAGCGACTATCTTCAACTCTGTCGTGTTCATCATCTTCATCCATGATTCATTTGTGTTTGTCGGAGTACTTCATCTTGCAAGGCTGCAATAAAGAGCGCGGAGCTTCTCCAGGAAAATTCGCACAGGAACCAGTTGCACTGCTGCAACACGACACACTTTCTTGTATGGTCCCGTCTTCTCGACAACATCGAATGAAGACAAACACAAGCGCTGCAATGTGTAATGAAACACGTCGGCAGAAGACATCCAATGAAACACGTCAGCAGAAAGCTGGACACCACTACCGTTCACCTACGCCACCGCCGGTCCTCCGCTTGCGGTCGCTTTCTTCACCAAGCTCTGGACGGCTTCCCGCATCTCGATTCCGAGCTCAAAAAACCGGTCGTTCGTGCCCAACTGTTGCTGATAGTTCGCTACTACGGCTTCAAGCTCCTCGCTGGAAAGGCCATACCTGATAGAGGTTATGTAACGAGGATACCGCCTCCTCACGTTCAGGTTCAACAAGTACCAAAAGCAAAAAACTTTATCTTTCGCAACGGGGCGGAACCACAAAAGAGAAAAACATCCTTGAAAAAGGAAGAATGCAAATGAAAAAGAGTATCTTACTTTCTCTTCACAAGTTTGGCGACGAAGGCTTGGCTACTAATGGTTGCAACCCTGGAGCTAAATTCCGTGCTCGTGGTTTCTCGCAGGATGGATTGCAGCTGCTCGAGCATTATCCTGTGCAAAAGTACTATCGTACTCGTACTAACTGCGTTTATGCATATAGTACAAATCTTTTTGCTAAAAAGGCAAATCCGCATTACAAATTCAATTTGTTATGCTAAGTCAATTTGTAATGCAATTTGTACTAGTACGATACAACTTTTGCAGTGCATAAGCATGTACTCGTGAATGGCGATCACTTCCGTGACACTGTGCTTCTCCGCAAGCTTCGCTACGTGCTCCGGTGATATGGTCTGTGATACAGGATTTTGTCTGGTTGAGAAATAAGACTGGGAACCACACGACGCCCTTCGAAGATCATCAACAATAATATACATCACACCACGTCATCTTGCAGTGTTGCTGCCATATGCTATTCACAAAAACCATGAGAAATCAATACGCTTTTTGAGCTGCTGGGTTCCGCCTGTGATTGCGTGAGCTGCACCACCTTTGCTCGAATCGTTGGATTGTGACTAAATTCTTCGAGGAGACCTGATGAAGCAGTTTTGTTTTCTTGCATTGCAAGCTGACGGCAGGAAGAGGAACAGGAAGCACAGAAAACATCAAAATGGAAAATCCGTTCAAGGTCTGTTTGTCGTGATTAGGACATTGCTATTGGCAAGAGAAGCAAAATCTTGGTCGCGGCAGCATAAATACTTGAGAATCTTTTGATCGAAATGTTTTTCTCTTCCAGCAGATCCCTTGGTTTTCTCTGCTGCACCAAGGCGCATATTTCGGCGAAGCTGAGGTCCTTTGCGGTAATTTCCTGCATCAAATCGTCCATCATTCGCTTCTATCCTGTGCAAAAGTATCGCACTTGTACTGCAATGATGCATGACAAATATTTTTCTTAGAGGCATATCCGCATTACAGATTTTATTTCTCATGCTGCGGAAATTTGTAATGCATTCATACGAGTACAATACTTGTTTTGCAGTTCATAGCTTCATATCCTGCTGACTCTCCACGATTTCCTCCAAAAGCTGCACCATCTGGGCGGCAGTCACCTGTTTCGTAGTTGCATTTGAATTCATCGAGAAACCTGTCTTGCTCACAAAACCACGACCGGTAGAAGTAAAATGGTAAGGAAAACTGGCGCATGCGTGTACATGCAGTAGCAAGGGCGATCCTCAATCATTCGCATCTGCCAAGCAATGCGAGATGACGCTGCTAGTATGGATATGCAACTCCCATGGAATCAAGCTAGTCTTTTAATTATACATTTCCGTCAAACTCGTTTTTCGATGATGAGCTCGACATGCTGCTGACTGCGTAGTACGCAGCAAGACTGCCTAGCGCCAGGGCACTATCCTGAGTAAAAACATACCCACACCAGAGTTGTAATGCAGATTTGCAAAGACAGGAAGACTTGTAATGCGCATCCCCATGAGAGCCATTTCCAGTCGTGTTTTGGAATTTGTGATGCTGTGAACAGGATGAGCAGATGAATCTGTGACGCGGCTGCACTTGCTAACCTGCACTACACTGCAGAGTGCAACTTGTCATGCGTGACTCACAAAACTCCTAGGTTTGTGTTGCACAATCCCCATCCTGACTCTGGTGTGGGTATGTTTTTACTCAGGATAGGCACCCGCAGCGGCGCACATGACCGCAACTTTTCTGCCTCCGTCGTCGCTCCCCATTTTTTTTCCGTCTCTGCTTCAATACTTACTTTTACTTAACGATCAAAAAGAATTAGAAGAAGTTTGGATGTTCGCGATTTGGATTAATTTGCTACTCCGTCGTAAAAAGTGATGTTGTTGTGCTGACAGAAGACGATAAAGCGACCAATATTATTTTCAGCTAGTACGGGGACTTAAATTGTTTTGCAGAGCGAGCGAGCCCCTGGCAGCTGTGGTACATTTTACTCCATGGCAATGGTAATGGTCATATGCTACTGAATCGGAGACTTACAGATGCAGTCACGTTGTCAAAAGAAAATGGAAATAAAGGAAAAAAAGAGAGAATAAAATGCTTGCCAAAGTAGTGAAAGCGAGAACCTTTGCAAAAATTTATTGCAAGATCTTCGTCGGGATCTTTGGATTGCGCGCACCACGGAAGGTCAAATCAGAAACACTAATACACAATCTCGCTAGAAGGCAATGAACAGGTAGAGCCCAATGCCGAGCAGGGGCTTTCGAGTTGGAAATCTGCCACAACTTGCGGAGTTTCGTATAGTTGCATCTATATAAATATTTTCTGTGACCACAACAATCGTGTGGCGCGAAACAAGTACTACATTTGATGCATTTGAAGTTTGAGATTTGGTGATGCTTCTGAACCCGATGGGTCGTGCGGCGTGCAATGATTTTTCCTTTTCTTCATCATAGTCTTTGTCTTTTTTTCCGCGCTTCTCTAGCATTATCAAAAAATCACCTAAATTTTGCAACCGCATTATTCTCAAGGAAGCTCTTCATGTGAATCTGGTCATGTTTATGCAGATATTGAGTTTCAGTCAGTACCTAGCACTTTTTCAAAAAGCATACAGGACGAGGAAGAGCTCAACACGCGGCAGTGGTGGAGATCAAAATCATGGACCATGCGTTCTTTGTTCCATTCCGAATGAAACAAACGTGAATCGGATTCACATCGGAATCCCCCTCCGCATCTACTCGTCGTTCACTCCTACGCCCGATAGAAAAAGTCGCTCCGTCCACTACCCCGCATTCCCCTGGCAAGAGGACCTCGCAGGTGGTCCCGATTATGGTCATCAAAAGCAGAGAGAATCCGCTTCCCCGGCGGACTCAAAATCTGCTCCAAATCCCGGAAGTGATTTTGCCGGATTTTCGTCAGGTTTTGCCGCACGTGATCCACGATTTGGTCCTCGTGCTGGTTCATTGAAGAGGTGATGAAAGAGGAGGACAGTTGTCCTGCTCCTCCACGACCACCACGATTCTGCGGAGCAAAACAGTGCGCGTCGCTATTTTTTCCTATTCTTCGTGAGGATGGCGATGGAGAAAGAAATGATGTTCTGCTAGTTGTAGTACCGGAGTTGTATCGATCATCCGCCCGATCAAGACCGAAGTTCGACGTATTGTTCAACACCGACGGCACCTCTTGCACCCGCTCCCCAGTTGTCCTCGACGTCGGCCCACTTCTTCCCGTAATATCATCGCCGGCGCCAAACACCGCATCAAAACTGGTGTTCGTTTTGTCCACAAAATCCCGCACAATCAGAGCTGACGCAGAGTCGTAGTTCCCCTGGAGCACTCTTCGGTCCGAACGACAAGTAGGCGACTCCAGCGTGATTTTCTCCCCGCCAAAAGCCCCGGACAAGTTACTTCCGTTTAGTGGCGTTCTGCTCCGGTATCCACAGGAAATTTCATCCGGTGCACATACAAGAAAAATCCTATTCAGAGCATGACATGTAGGGGTACGCTTCTTCTATCAGTAAAGTAAGTTCGCGAAATAATTTGTGATGTATCAATCTTGTATCTGTACAGGAATAAAAATAAATTCGCATTCCATATCCGGCTACGGCTGTGCAGGAACCGGCTGAAGGGCGTCCTATCCAGGAAAAAACACCCATCCCCATCCATATTTTGCATGACAAATAGTGGATTTTATGCATGTTTTGCATGACAAATTGGATGGGGATGGGTGTTTTTTCCTGCATACGTCCCCGCGTGGCGCTGCATGTACTTGTCGGCGGTGGGGTATGGATGTGTCAGAGTTGAAATCGACAAAGTTGAAATAACTTGTAATGCATAAAATGCGATACAAAAACTGACTCTATTGCAGAGGACGCAAGGGAGGCAGATCATAGTCCTGGTAAGGGTCAAAAGTTGGACTGCTGACGAGCATGACAGAAGGCAGCTCTTTTGCCCTAAACCGCATGACAGACTCGCTTCCAGGACCGGGAAAATTTGTCATGCACCGACTACAAACTGCAGGTCTAACTGGCATCCATTTTATGCATGGCAAATTATTTCAACTTTGTCCATTTCAAACCTGACACATTCATATGGGGGTCGTGCGGGCTGTTTCGGTTTTGTAGAGGGAGGGACTGGACGTGCGGTTGCCAACGCGAATTTTCATCTTCGCCGCCCGGGCGGAGGCTGCAAAGGTGGTCGCGCTGTTGTGTAAAGTGTTGTACGCGGTGCCAATTAGCGGGTAGAGAGTTTCACTGTGGATTGACTGGGTATAGTTTTGGCTATAATCCCGTCGGCTTCTGGCTGAGGACAGGGAAGCACGATTCGTGAAGTAGTTGACTTTGATGTCGTGGTGGTGTGACGGCGTAAAATCTGCGGCATGATCTGACATCAGCCCCAGTTGTGAGGAACTAGAACCCGCATAGAAGCTCGTCCGGGGCTGTGGAATGCGAAGGGTAGTAGTTGCAGTACTCGCAGCAGTTGCGCCCGGAGTATTAATTCTCGGGGACGAGTAGACAGAAATCTGTCCACCACCTCCGCTCATTCTCCTGATCCCTCCCGGCGACGAGGCTGCGCGCGAGGATGTAGTTGTCATCCGATTTACTTTCCGGTAGTAGTTCCTCAATCCGGTAAGCTCCTCTTTCAGAAGGTCGTCGGTAAGGTGTGCGTAGTTGGGTTTCATCCTTCTCCGCTCCTCGTCTTTCAGAGAGGCGGTGAACAAGTTTATTTTGCTGTGGCGTGGCATAGAGAGGCTGCTGCTTTGGTGTCCTCTCATCTCATCATCAATCTTGGTCAGAGATGAAGGAGAAAGCACCCTATCTCCCTTGCCGCTGCTCATGGCTCTCGTCGACGCGCCGCCGGGGACAACCCGATCGTGGTTCCAGTCCCGTTTACGCGGCGATGCGAACGCGGACTTCGCGAAGAGATCACCACCTCCGCCCCTGCCCAGACGAGTACTACTAGATCCTGTTGATGCCAGCCCGAAACCCAAATACTCGCTACCCGCAGTCAGAGACTCCGAATGCAGATACAGTTTGTTTGGGCTGGGCTGTTGGATCAGCGTGGAAGCCACGTGTATGTCGTTGGCGATGTGAGCCTGCTGCAGCGGCGGGATACTCTGCAGCCGGGAGCCCACGTAACCCGTGGACGCCACCGCCATAGGGTGTTTGGGGCTCAAAACCCGCTTTCGAATGGGGGAGTACAGCTCGGAGTATTGCTGCTCAATCTTCCGAAGCCGCTCCGGGGTGCGGACAGGAGGGGGCCGTGCTGTAGTGCCGACGTCGGGTTGTTCAGCTGAGCCAGCCGCTGTTGCTCCTGCTGCTGCTGACGCCGACGCAGAGCTGCCAGAGGGGAACAGCAGCCTGCTCGGGTTTAGTTTGGAAAAAACCCCCGAGACGCAATCTACCTCGGGTAGAAAGTTGGGTCGGCAAAGAGAAATTGTGCCACCAGAGCTGTTGGTGTACTTTTTCTTCTCTCCTGGCACCAAGCCGATCCCGATCGCACCGGCGCTCAAGTTTTTCTCATTCGGCGTGCTTCCGAGAAAGTCGTACAATCGCCGGTAGTTCGGGGAGCGGGCGCTTGTGGGCTCGAGCGATATCACTTTCGGGGGTCCGTCTTGCGAAGAAGTGGAGGGAACCGGATTATACGGGAACAGAGAGTTGTGGTTCAAGTAAGAAAAAGGCCTGGAGCTGCTGTTCCTCCTCGTAGTAGCATCGAGGGCTGCGGCAGTTGCAGTATGAGTATCGTTTGCCGAAGCATCTGTATTTCCAACACCAGTTGTAAAAACTCCGTCATTTGCAAACGAACTACCTCCTCCCGTTTGCTCGTTCGCACCACCAACTCCCGCCCGTGGCGAATTGTAAAACAGAAAATTCGTGCGAGCGCTGCACTGCTGCCCAAAAACGCTTCTAGTCCTGCTACGCCATGAACTTGTTCTACTCGTCTGGTTGCTTCGACTTCCGTGCTCGGGCCAAATCAGGAGTTGGGTACGCGACTTTGGTGTTGTGACAGAGCGGGGCCGCGGAGGTTCATCTTCTTCGGGCTTAGTGCTTCTTCCAACTACAGATGCGTCATGTGTGTGTCTACTATACTCGTCATCGACATTGCCTGCACCAAGACCTTCAGCGCCAGCCTCCCCCGATGACGAAAGAAAAGTGAAGCTTGCCGTAGGTAGCTTTGTTTTCCTCGATATCGTCCCCCCGGTGGACCAGGATGCGCTGTTGTCTTCTTCGTAAGATCCACGACCCGCTGCAGTGTTTCCACTGCGACCACCACCTGCCCGGCCGCCCGTCGCCAACTTCCTCTGCCACGAGTTCGCTTCTTCCTGCACGCGCGCCCGTTCGTGGTCGAAATCGACTTGAAACGCCGAACCGGTCCCGTAGATATCGTTCCGCACGAAGAACTTCGTTTTCGCGGCGCCGACAGAAGCGGGACGAGGTACTGGCTTTTGCTTGCTTACGGTGTTTGAAATCATTCCGCCTTTAGTCAAATCCGCGTTCGTCCTCTCGTTGTCGTCAGTGCCAGTGGCAGAACAAGAGCTGCTAGAAATAAAGTCCTCGTCCCCAGCTGCAGCGGCTGCTCCAGAAAAGCTGTTTGCGGCCGAAGACGAGGATGAAGAAGACGAACCAAACGCACTCGTCGAAGTGCCGTTGTTTATTTCTTGTCCAGAAGAAGCCGCAATAGCCGGTCGTCGGCTGGAGGAACAATCACCGCCGCGGGGTTCCTTATTAAGAACATTTCTCGAATTGGTGGAATTGAAATTTTGGTCCGGCGCAAAGAAAATGAAACCCTCGGGAAAAGATGAACCAGAACCCGCACGACCTCCACCAAAGGAATGGGGATCGGAGGATGGCGCACCGCGGCCACTGCCCCCGGAAGTGGTCGCTGTAGCAGCTGGCTGCATAGTGACCGTGTTGCTCAGATTGAAACTCGTCAAGGAAGAACTTCCGGCAGATGATGAATTCCGGGTCGTCGTTGCTTGTCCTCGTGGACGGCCAGCGTGAAGTAGGTCCTCCTGCGGAGAGGTGTAATTATCGACGTCTTCCTGACCACTGTGGTACGAAGCCGTAGACTTGCTCCACCCGCCCCGGCTGTTCACTTCGTCCATTAACTCCTGGTTTTTCTGTAGCATGGAGCTGATTTTGTCGTCTTCGCACTGGTCCTCCTGGAAAAGCCGGTTGACAGCAGCTTCGTGCTGCGTAGAGGAACTGGATTTGTTCTCCTCCTGCGGTAGCAGTTCTTGTGTGGAATACGAAAAGGACTTTTCGTCCTTTACGGAAGCGAAGGCACTGTGGTCTAGATTGTCGTGGTTGATACTAGCTGCACCTGTTCCACCGGCTGCTGCACGAGTTGTACCTGCAGCTGCACCACCTCCCCCATTACCATTCCCACCGAGCACGGGTAAATGAAAACCGTCGAGGTTATTCATGTCCTCTTCGTTCGCATCGGATGCGTTGAGAAGATCACTCAGCCCCCACTCCATGCTGCCGGTGCGCAGATGAAGGTTTGCGTGGTCCTCTTCATGGTCTTGGTCTTCTTCGCCACTCGTCGTGCTGCCTCGTCGTCGTGCACGGTTCTTGTTCGTCGAAGCTGATTCTAGACGATTGGCTTCAGGATCTGTGCTAGCTGCAGCTTCTACACCTACTGGTGCGCCGCCACCGGATGCTGCTGGTGCAGGCGGCTCTGAAATTCGCAGGGATGCGGATTTCATGTCGGAGGTCGTTTTCAACATCGCGTCGTCAACTAGCTCACCGCAGGAAGCTACTATGCTACTGCCGCTCGACCGCAGGAAGTCGCTCATCGCCATCGCATATGAAATGCAAAAGCATCGCACTAGTAGAAATCGCATGACAAATTCGCTCAGCATGAAAAATGGAATTTGTAATGCGGATTTAGGTTAAGAAGGAGATTTCTAGTAATGCATGACTGCAATTACTACGAGTACGATACTTTTGCACAGGATATCGCATTGTCCAGAGCCTGGTACTCCTGGGACAGTTGGAAGCGGTGTAGACCGTCTTGAAGCTGCTGTCTTCCGTCGGAGGTGGTCGCCCCGAGAAAATCGATGCCGTCTACAGGGCTGTTGTTCGCGGGGGTCAGATCGTACTCGTCTGGCTCTGTGACAGGCGGTCCCCCGCCATTCTGGTTACCGCCTCCATTCGTCCTGCGGTCTTTCGAGGCCGCGCTCACGTCCTCTATCAGGTAGGTCACCCGGGGACCAGTCGACCTTTTGCTGCCATTGGTTGAGGAGGTGGTGGAGGACATCTGGAGAGTTCTCGGGCAGGCGAATATCAAGATCACGAAGGCACTAAATGCCCAAAGGCCTGCTCCATCAGATGTATGCGCAGCTCGCGAATTGATGTAGTACGAACTTGCGATCGTAACGAAACTAACTAATATCCTCTCGCATCTTTTGATTGAAAGGGAAGTAGACCTCCAGCCAGTAACACGCTTTTGAAATTGATTTCAAGAAAATGCTCGAGCACGACGAGACTAGTTGCAGATGCACTCCAGAGTACATGAAGATTGTTCATCAACGATTTGCATGCCCCACTCAAAATCATTCACTCCTTCTTCTCTTTGTTTGCAAATGCGATCGTCAAATTATTTCATTTCTCTCTTGATGATACTTCCACTTCTCTCGTACGCCTCGTCTGCTTCAAACATTCAGCTTTCAATAGAAGAAGATACCGTCAGAACTACAGGGGACGAGGTCGTTGTTGCCTGCACCAGTACCGGCGAGGTAGTCTCTTCAGAATCAAATTTTTTTGAGCAGCCCTTTTCCAAAATTTTTGTTCATATGCAAGTTTATCCGACTCCGACAGGTGGCTCAAACAGACACAGCCACCTCAAAAAAAAAAGATTGCGATAAGCGCTCGCGTTTTTTCATGCGAGAAGGTAGATCAGTGAAATTGAAATTCTACAAAACATTATGTCAAGGAGAATAAAATGAAATTGTACACTGCATTTCTTGATTGGGCATTTGCCGTAGCTTTGGCCTGTCATTGATTTCTAGTGAATAGTGCATCGACGTAAGCAAATCTGTAATACGTAAAGAAGGAGGGCTCATCCCCGTTGATGGCTGACGCTCCCTCCAGTGGCACCCCATCCTCGTGTGTGATAGCCGCTAGCAGCAGCTTTCTGTGTGTTGAATAGTGACCTCAAAATTGCTGTTAAACTCTGATAATTACTGATACCTGTAGTTTTCTGCTACCGCTGTCTTGTTTCCGAACGTTAGACCTGCGCAAAGCACAAGCTAGTGCGACTGCGACCTGATACCTATACGTAAAAACGAACATCCCTTATTTGACCAAGACCATTAAAAAAAGATTCTTTCGGTCCAGAAGTCATCTTTGCGCCTGTCTAGAGAAAGTGTGTGTAGGAGCTGTAACTTCTTGCAAACTCTGATGTCCTCATCCTCAAATCAGTTTTGAGTAGGTATCTGAGTTCATCTCAGAAGTTTCAAAGTTGTAGTGACACAACGAACTGTCTGGTGACATTGACTATAGGAAATATCGAACAAACATGATAACATAGACGGGAAACAGGTCTTCAGTTGTACACTATTGGAAGACCACGACCGTCGATCTGCTCCCCTATTTCTTCTGCGCGGCCTGAAAGGCGGGTGCGAGCACGGTGGACGGCTCCCGACGCAGTTCCGCCGCGACGTAGGACATGGAGGAGTGCTGGTGGGGCATGTAGGCCTGCACAAAGCTAGACGTGCCCGACCTCGTCAGTTGGCCCTTGCTGTCCGTGCGCTTCTTGCCCACCATGCCGCCCTATCAAATGCAAAAGTGTCTGGGTCTGGAAGGTTGGAACTTGTGATGCTAGCTTTGGACTCTAAAAAAAATTTGTATTGCATGACCAGTGAGAGGAGTCTAGTATGTGCTACGCGGGGAGGGCATTTGCCATGCGGAGTAGGCATCAGGAAACCCTCTAAAACTAAAAATCTAATCTGCGATGCTAAAACGTGCATTACAGACATCCTGGGTCAAGCAAAATACGCATGACAAACCCGGCAACATTCCAGACTCAAACATTTTTGCATTTGATATGCCCTGCCGCCGCATTGCCTGCGACTCCTCGCCGCCGGTCAGCTCCGCTTCGGACATGACGCCCCGGTCGCTGATCGACACCGGCGTGCCCCGGGACGGGTCCTTGCTCGAGATGTTGACTCCCATCGCCGGCGTCACCTCCCGGCTCATTTCGCCCGGCGTGCTGCCGCCGATGCCGATGATCTCGACGTCGTCCACGTTGATGCGCGCGTTCTTCCCCTCCAGACTGCTGTCCGAAAGCATGCCCCCGATGTTGGGGTCGCCCAGGAAGGCGGAGGCCTTGGTGTGGGCCGCCTTCGCGTGCAGGTCGGCGCTGTGGACTAAAACTTCGGTGGTCCGCGTGTGCGCGATGGTCTGGTCCGCCTCGTCTTCCGGTACCGCGCCCTCCTCGCCCTGCAAAATCTTCTTGCGCAGCATGTAGGAAAACCCCAGGGGGGCTGTGATCGTCGCGCACAGCAGCGTATGGATTGTAAAAATGTCTGGGTCTGGAAGGTTGGAACTTGTAGTGCTAGCTTTCCACACCTAGAAAATCTGTATTGCATAACCAACAAAAGTCGCAGCCTCTTTTGTCATGCAAAAACGCAGTCTCTCATGCGGATTGCCTATGAGAAAGCGTTTTGGGAAGTTGTCATGCCGGACTGCATTTGGAAGTGTTTTCATCATGCACATTTTTGCATCACCAGTTTCCAGACCCAGACATTTTTGCATTTCATACAGCGCCCAGATCAGCTGCGCGAAGAGGTCGTCGCCAATCAGCCGCGCGGCCTTGCCCATCTCCGCATATGCACTGCAGAAGTATCATACTCGTTAGACAAGGAAAATCGCAGAAGTTCATCAAAAATCGAACACCCCCCTGCCCGGGGCTCCCGGGGAATATAGTTGATTTGTGTGGGCCCCAACCATCTTGCATCTCCCACCAGCGGAGCCCGCCCCGCCATGCACTGTCGCTGGCAAGTGTGTCGCTTTTAGTTCTCACACCTGCGCATGTACTAGGCAAAACGCCCCCGACATTTGCTCTGCAGCCTTGCTCCGGTTCAAAGGCGCCCGCCTATGAGAGAACAACTCGAAGGGGTTTGAAGGTGGTGCGCTTTTGAAATGAGTCCCATTGTTCCGAAAACGTTCCCGGCCCCCGTTTCTTGTCCCGTCACAGCGCGGAACCCTTCCAGCCTGCCGCCTGAATCGCTCGCACAGCCCGGATAATGTAGAGCAGCGCCATCATATTCACCAGCAGAACCCCCCAGAGCGCCAGTAACAAACCAACAGCCGCCCAGTTTTTGTCCCCGCCCCGGCCCGGCTGCCGGAAGTGCCGGGCACCGGCGTCGCCGAAGGTGCCGCGCGCCTGTCGGAAGTCGGCGGCGAGGCCGCCCACGATGTCAGTGGCGTGGCCCGGTGCGATGCACTTTGAGCGCGCGGCCTCCGCACGATGGCCGGAGGCCGCCCGAACGTCTCGCCCCAGTCTGGAAAGTTTCCGGCAGAGGCAGAAGCGCGCGGCCTTTTGCCCGCCTTCGCTGCGATCGGTTTTTTTGCCCGGCGGCCGGGGCGGCGGCCGGTCCGAAGGGGGGCAGCTTGGCGAGCTCCGGCTTGGCTCCGGGGCCGCCGGCGTTCTTGTTTCGCAAAAGCGAAAAAAGCTGCTTCCGCGGCCGCCGAGGGCCCCAGCCGGGCAGCCAAAGGGGCCCCCTTCTTTGCGAAAAAAAGCACCCCCAAAAAGCACCCCCCTTGGAAAGCCTTTCCCCCACCTAAAACTGAAGAATTCCGCGCCCAAAAAAGTACCCCCCTAGAGCACCCCCCTGGGGGCCCCCCCCGACTTCGCCTTCGGACAAGAAATCCTCCCGACCTTCTCTTCTCGCCTTCTTCGCTTTACTGCCTTCGCGCCCGCTATGTCTTAAAGACAATCGCACCCCAAGACACCCACGGCCGAGGGCCTTTAGGAGAAAGAACGTCGCGCCGCCTGTTCTTCGCAGCCAAGGCGGGCGCAAGGCCGCGCGCTTTTGCATCTGCCAAGAACTTTCGACAACAGGAGACGGGACGGTCGGGGCGCCTCCGGTCATCGGGCGGAGGCCGCATCCGCAAAACGTATCGCATCGGCCCAGGCCACTGGCACCGCGGCCGGCCTTGCCGCCGATTTCCGACGGAGGCGCGGCGCTTTCGAAAGCGCATGCGCCCGGCGCGTCCGGCAACCGGGCCGGGGCTGGGACGCAGGCTGGGCGGGTGCCCGTTTGCTCCTGGCGCTTTGGGTGGTTCTGCTGGTGAATGTACTGGCGCTGCTTTACATATTTCGAGCTGCGCGAGAGATTCAAGTGAGAAAGTGGAAGCGCTCTGCCCTGCGACAGGACAAAAAATAGGACCCGGGAACGCTTTCGGAACAATGGCGCTGATTTCGAAAGCGCGCCATCTTCGAACCCCTTCGAGCTGTTCTGTCATAGGCGTCCTCCTTTGAACCGGAGCAAGGCTGCAGAGCAAATGTTGGGATCGCGTCGGCTAGTACATGCGCAGGCGTGAGAACTAAAAGCGACACGCATGCCAGCGGCATGGGATGGTGGGGCGGGCTCCGCTGGGGGGAAATGCGCGATGGTTGGGGCCCACACAAATCAACTATATTCCCCGGGAGCCCCGGGCAGGGGGGTGTTCGATTTTTGATGAACTTCTGCGATTTTCCTTGTCTAAACTCGTAGTATTGCAATACAAATTAGCTCAGCATGACAAATGGAATTATTTGTCATGCTGATTTAGCTTGAAGAAGAAATTTGTAATGCATAACTGCAACTAGTACTAGTGCGATACTTTTACAGTGCATACCGCGATGAGGTAGGCGAATTCCGCACGACCGACCATGGCCCAGCCGATCACGAATCGGCTATGACAATGCACAACTCGTCCCCCCCCCTCATTTGTCATGCAAATTCCCAAATCCACCCTTTGCCTGTTACAAATGTTTGCCTTTGCATGACAGATTCGGGAATCCAAAACAGCACTACAGTCTTCTAGGAATTTGTCATGCAAAAGCTGCATCTTTCTCTTTGCCAGCGCTTGCGTTGCTGTTCATGCAACGCAAATCAGGGGGAGGGGGAGTTGTGCACTGTCATACCGGTCCTGCTTGTCCCAGAACGCGCACAGCAGTTTCGGTAAAATGCACGCGAAGATCCCAAGCAAGACACCCAGCCCCAGATTCACGCCGTCCAGCAGCGCCTTGATGGGAATCGCGAACCCGACCGTGCAGCTGAAAAAAATCCGCATCATCCAGGCGTTCAGCCGCTTCGTTTGCGAGGACCATATCAGCGCGGACCCGGGCATATGGATTGCAAATGTGTCTGGGTCTGGAAGAGTGGAACTTGTAATGCTGTCTACGGATTCTAAAATTATCTGTGTTGCATGAGCAGCAAGAGGACTCGGCTCTTGGCACGCGGAGAGGGCGTTTCTCATGCGTAACAAGCATCAAAAGGCTCTCAAAAAATCTGTGTTGCTAGCACCAGCATCACAGACCTCACGGGTCATGCAAAATGTGCATGACGAGCCCCGACTCTTCCAGACCCAGACATTTTTACATTTGATAGGGCACGTTGGAAAAACTCATACCGGCCATAAAGCAGCCCCACAGGTGCGACCCGAACTTGTCGGTGAGCCAGGGGTATTCTGTGCAAAAGTATCGTACTCGTAGTAATTGCATTTATGCATTACAAAGTTCGTTCCCAAGGTGAATCAGCATGAGAAATTCCATTTGTCACGCTGAGGTACTGGTGTAGCTCGATCGTGTTCGGAGCTGCTGCGTACGGTAGCAGGATGGCGGGTGTATCGCGGATGAGATCTACTGGTGCAATTGCTACTAGTACGATACTTTTGCAATTCTTAAGGAGTAGAACACGAGCAGCGCCACCATGAAGGTCAAATGCACGGTCTTGATCGCCCGCACCGCGTCCCGTGCGCTCTGCGGGGCGTCCGGCGACAGGCTCGCGCTGCTGTTGTGTTTCGGTATGAGTTCGGGCACGTCGCCCTCGTCCTGACCGTCGTCCTGCTCGATCACCAAATTTCCGTCGGCGTCGTACTTCTTGTCGTTATCTAGTTGTCCAAGAACTTTGCTCGATGTTTATCCTGTGTAAAAACGTACCCACACCAGAGTCAGGATGGGGATTTTGCAACACAAACCTAGGAGTTTTGTGAGTCACGCATGACAAGTTGCGCTCTGCAGTGTAGTGCAGATTAGCAAGTGCAGCCGCATCACAAATCCAGCTGCTCATCCTGTTCACAGCATCACAAATTCCAAAACACGACTGGAAATGGCTCTCATGGGGATGCGCATTACAAGTCTTCCTGTCTTTGCAAATCTGCATTACAACTCTGGTGTGGGTACGTTTTTACTCAGGATAATGTTCCTTTGTTACTTGTGCTCAAAATCCCCCGGGGAGGTGGGTTTATGGAGAGAAAAAAGTTTGTCACAGTCACAGTCACAGTCACTAACTTGCAGCTTTTGCATTACAAATTTTCTTAGCATCACAAATTTTCCTTGTATTGCAGAATCACTAGTAGGGAAATCCCCGATGGAGTTTAGCTGTGATGCATTTTTACGCATGACAGAAAGCTTTGTATTGCAAAAATGCGCATGAGTGATCGTGACAAACTTTTTTTGTTTGATAGGGTTAGGGTTGCTGCTACTAGACGCACCGCCACTTGCTCCACCTGGAGTAGCTCCTGGTCCTGCTGCATCGTCGTCTACTATGGTCTCCACACCGGTCTCCCGGACCTGCTCCGTCACCCGCTCTAGCTCCCCTTCCGGCGCCTCAAAAGGGGGCGCGCTGTGGCTGCCCTCCTTCTGGTGCTGGTCTATCAAGAACCCGTTGGCCTCGTCCGGGGAGGGGGAGCTGACACTAGAATTCTCCTGGTCGGCGTATCTGGCACGGATTTTGTCGAACACCTTGTCACACAGGTCCGGAATCGTGTGCATCGCCAGGTACCCCCCGAAGAGAAGGAAGATCACGCCGAAAATTAGGGGGAAGAAGGCCTCGACCTGTTTCAACATTTTCAAAAATACCATTTGCCAAATGGTGATAGTGAAAATGACACATTTACATAGTGAATCAGTGTCAGTCAGCTGTGTTTCAGTTTCGTGTGAGAGCTTCCAGCACACATCATCAGAAGTAGCAGCTTCCTAGCTTCTTATATGCAGTGTCCACAAGAACATCCATGATCCGTACGATCCGAGGACAGCGAAATCAAAAAAATGTTTACGTAGATCTTTATCATACCGAAACCCCGTCCTCGTTAATTTTGAAGAGCAGGGAGAAGGCTATGAGCGACAGAATGTCGTCCAGGAAGGCCGCGCAAATGATGGTCTGTCCGAACTTGCTATCCAGCCTCTTCGCGGCGGTTAGCAACGCGAGTGCGATGCCGACGGAAGTTGGCGCCATTGCCACACCGACCGTTAATCCGGTCATGAACATGGTTATGGGGGTGTCAGGATCGAAATCATCAAAGTTGAAATAATCTGTAATGCAAAAAAGCAAGGATACCAGCTGGAGCCCAGTTTGCAAGTGGCGCATGACAAATTTTGGAAGCATGGGAATCCAATTTGTCATGCTGTTTGGGCAGAGAAGACTGCTTTTGCCATGCTATTTTAGCAGCTCTATCTGACACCCCAAACAGGATTATAATCGGCCTCAGTTGCCTGCTCTGCAAGACAGGCACTTTGAGTCTAGCATTTTATGCATCGCAAAGTATTTCAACTTTGACGATTTCAATTCTGACGCTTTCATAATGGTCGGGGCCGCGTCGCCCTGAATCTCCAGGCCGTCAAACAGCCCGCCGTAGAGCAGCGTCTATCAAACGGAAAAATCCCCCCTCCCCATATCGAAATGGAAATCTGTGATGCAGGATTTGAGGTACCAAATCGACTTGTCACGCTAGAAGGCCAAGAGCCGCAGTCGTGGTCTCGTTTGCAGGCAATTTGTCATGCTGTTTGCCACTCTCAGCTGCCTCCTATCATGCTGAAGATGCAAGGCTCCCCCACGCCACCCAGCACTGCAGTCCGCATCTTTTCCCGTGTAGCATGACAAAGCTGATCTGTGACAACAAATCTGCATCACAGATTTCCGTTTTGATATGGGGAGGGGGGATTTTTCCTTTTGATAGCGTCATGACGATCCCCATGCCGATGGGGCCGAAGGTCCCGAGGAAGGCGATTACGGACCCGATGGGGCCGACGATGTGCAGCATGGGAAAGTGGAAATGCATGCCGGACTCAAAAATCATCAAACTAACGCCAAAGTGCCCGAGCAGCGTGAAAATGTTGGGTCGCGAGTTGCGCTATGAATTGCAAAAGTGTCTGGGTCTGGAAACTTGTGATGCAAGAAAGGCAAAAATAGTGCATTCACTATAATGCGCTGCTAAGCATGACAAGTTTTTTCCATGGCTCTGAGTTGCGTACTCCACATGAGAAACTGCGTTTTTGCATGACAGGGAGGAGGAGCTCTTCGCGGCCATGCAACACAGAGTTCAGCGTCATGCCAGACAAGCATGACAAATCTCGCAATCTCCCAGACCCAGACATTTTTGCATTTGATATACACTTCCCGTCGTAGTACTTGGTGCAGTAAAACTCCATGCAGTCATTGTAGGTGTCGTAGTCCCCCTTCCAGGGTATCCAAGAAAAAACACCATCACAATCACACTTAGGAGGTTTTGCATCAGAAATTTTTCTCGCATGACAAACTTTTCTTGTATTGGAAAAACACAAAGGGGAATCGCCTGTAGCTCTTGACTGTGATGCATTTTTGCGCATGACAAAAATTTTTGTATTGCAAAAATGTGCAAAAGTGATTGTGATAGTGTTTTTTTCTTGCTTACAGGGGGCAGTTGCACTACTGTAGGTCAAAGGGGATCCGCACTTGTCCTGTCCCTTTTCGTTCAATACCCGATTCGCTATGTTCTCGCCGATCACGAAGTAATTGGGGTTGGAATACGTGGCGATATTCTGGTAGTCCATCATGGTGTATGCATTGCAAAACCAAAAGCATCGTACTCGTATAAATGTATATGTATTTACAAATTTCTCAGCATGAGAAATAAAATTTGTACTGCGGATTTGCCTTGGGAACAAGATTTGCAATGCAAGACTTGCATTTTTTATACGAGTACGATACTTTTGCACAGGATATTGTGCACAGGTTTCGCTGGTCCTGGTAGGCGCATTCCGTGTACTCTTCTGGTAACAGGTTGAAAACCTGGGGCCCAAGCAGCATCCCGGTTGCGATCTCCATGATGATGGGCGACAAACCGGCGAGTTTACTCAGCTTCCCGGCAAACCAGATCGAGATGATGAACACCGCCAGCTTGAAAATCCCGCCGAAACTGCCGCCCGCCATTTTCGGAGAGTTGTATTGGAGAGACCGCTATACAAATACTTTCTCCTCTTTGTTTGAGTTTATTCGTGCCTAATTGTTTTGTTGTAGTACGTCCATTTTGGATTTACCCACAGCCCCCCAAAGATTGCGCCACTTTACGTCGTCGACGGTCACGAAAAAAACATCCTGCTACATGACGCTTGTACATTTTGATTGTTGGCATTTATTGGGGCCAACGTCATGGTCGTCAGGAATATGGTTCTTGGCGAAAAAAAACATACGCCGAAATTCAACGGTGAGCTACAGATTTCTTTTCATGAAGATGAAAGAGAAACGAAGACGAGCCCACGTTGGAATGATTTATTACGTTCGTGTGGACAGCAGGGACCTCAATGATGTCAATGATACAATACGAATACCTGACGTCGAGAAAAACCGAGAATTCTTCCATTCATCATTCTTGACGCTAAGACGTACTTCTCGCACGACCGTCCAGATGTTCTCTTTTACTTTTTGAGGAAAGGAGGGAGCAGGGAAGTACTTATAAGCTTCGTGCTGTGTACGAAGTGCTTGAAGGAAAAGCGACGGGAGACGATAACACTTCCCTAAGTTTGACGGCACTCGGTTTTATGACCCCTGTAACAAAGCAGAAGCTCCGCCAGCGCTCACAAATTTATTCAATAGAACATACCGCAAAGCGAAACCGATTCATCCAGATTTATTTCTGACACGAAAAAAAGGAAAATGGGCAGAAGAACAGGCTGCAGGCTCAGAAGTATCTACACAGTTTGTGCATCATGCCTTCACGGCCGCGCAGCGGATACCTTCCTGCATGCGTTGACGCCGGGATAATTGCGTGTTTAATACTAGCCCACGACTTGATGTAATTACATCTAGGAAAAGAAAAGCAAAAGGGTTTCATCTGCGTGACCGCGATTTCTTCCGTCGTCGGCGGCAGGTCTTTTTCTTTTTCAATCATACAAAAAAAATCCTCACTTCTTCTATCAGGAAAACAGGGACCCGAAGATTCCACTTTTCTTCTGCGCCCCCTCACCTAACGGCGCCCCGGCACCGGTGAAGAGACCCTCGCCCGCCGGAAGCTCGGCTTCCGGGTCGGTCAGCAGGTTCTTTCTATCAAATGCAAAAATGTCTGGGTCTGGAAGAAGATTCCGAGACTTGTCATGCAAGTTTTGCATGAGCCATGATGTCTGTGATGCATGCCCTAGCATCAGAGATTTTTTGAGGGCTTCTTGATGCCTATTCCGCATGACAAGTGCCCTTTTCCCGTAGCAACAATTACACTCCCTTTGCCGCTCATGCAATGCAGATTTTTTTGGAGTCCAAATGCAGCATCACAAGTTGCATTCTTCCACCAGACATCCAGGGATATTTGCAATGCATACTTTCCGCGGTGAATCAACAGGACCCGCAGCTGGTATTGGTTCGCAATTTTCCGTATCCTGTGCAAAAGTATCGCACTCGTAATTGCGATCATGCATTACAAATCTTTTTCTTAAGGTAAATCCGCATTACAAATTCTGTTTCTCATGCTGAAAAGATTTGTCATGCATTTCTACGAGTACGATACTTTTGCTGCAGTTCATATTCCGCAGCTTTACGTTGTCTAGTAAGAGTTCGTAGCAGAAGTAGGGAATCAACAGGTCGCGGCTCACCACACTGTCTCGGTCCAGACTGTCGGTGATCTTGTCGAGCGACGTATCGGCTAAAGCAAGAAGCTTCTGGAAACTCTGTTCCGGAGACCATTTGCGGTTTCTGTTGAAGCACGTCGTGAGATTTTGTTTATGTTTTACATACGGCGCATGATTTTGATAAATCGGTTCTTGTTCAACACAAACAGAAGCACATGCACCGTGACCACGGATCATGATGATGAACTACAACAGGTCGTGAAAAATGTAGATCATTCGACGATCAAACAGCACACGCAAGGCAACATCAGAACGAAAATTCCAGAAAAATTATCAGTACGCCAATATCGCTTTTCCCTCCGTACCGTTGACCAGCAGGTTGTAGAGCGAAAATTCTTTTACTTGCCGCCACCGGTCCTCGAGTATCTGCAAGGCTGGCTTGATGTGACTTCCGGGTTCTTGTCCCTGGAGCCGTTTCAGCAGTTCGATCTTCGTCAGATTCGTCTGTCTCTTCGCCATATGCATTGCAGAAGCATCGCACTCGTAGCAATCGCGATTATGCATGACAAGTCTCCTGCTCAAGGTAAATCAGAATGACAAATTCCATGTGTCATGCTGAGCGAATTTGTAATGCATTTTCTACTAGTACGATAGTTTTGCAATGCGTACGCCATCAGCGTTTCCACCAGCGAGATTTGGAGTTCCCGCGTCAAATTATCCGACACCCGGAGCTTCTCGATGTTCAACGTCAGATCCTGCAGCTTCCCGTCGTGGCCCTGCAATTTCCGAATTTCTTCGAACGCGTCGTGGCGAAAATTCGCAATCTGCGCCGTCATCTTCGCGGTTTCCGTTTTTGCCGCGATCACCGCCCGGGCACGCTGGAGCCGGAGAACCCGTTCCTGCTTCGCGTGCACGTTTTCCAGGAAGATTTTCAGCAAGAATTCAATCGTCGTCATCTTCGCGACGGAGTTGGTTGTGTTGGAGCCGTGCGGTCGCTGCTCCAGGAGGTTCAGTTGGAACTCTTGCAAAAACTGTTGCTGGGATTCCAGATCCACATCCGGCTTCACAAGAATCTCGTCCTCTTCCTCGTTACTGAACCGCAGCTCGAGCTTCTCCGTCCACTCCCGCGCCTTCTGCAGGGTTCCTCGCAGACTCATGATCCCCTCGTAAAGTTCCTGCTCCTCGGCCGTCGCGTTCTTCGCGCCCTTCCTCACACCGCTGGTAGCACCTCCCCCGGCTTCTATCAAATGCAAAAATGTCTGGGTCTGGAAGAAGGCCGTTGTTTGTCATGCATCTTTTGGACTATGCACATGGTCTGTAATGCACGCAAAAGCATTACTTTACAGAAAGGCGCAGGCCTTCTGATACCTATCCTGCATGGGAAATTCGCAACTTGCGTAGCACGAAAGGGGCAGCTTTTGGTTTTGGCGATCATGCATATACAAATTTTTATTTTGCCTGTTCCATAATCCGCATCACAAGTTCCAACCTTCCAGACATATTTGCAATGCATAGCTCCACCACCCGGACCACCACCGCCTTCGCCACCATGTCTCCCGTCCGCCCCAAACCCGTTCATGGCCGCGGCGGCGGTGAGCTTGTCACGGTCTTTTTCAACGAACGCGATCGCCTATGATAGTGCACAACTCCCCCTCCCCCTCATTTGTATAGCATGAACGGCAACACAAGCATCAGTAAGAGTGCCGGTTTCGCGTCACAAATCTGCACTGGAGTGTAGTGCTATTTGGGCTACCAGAGCTTGTCATGCAAACAGTGCCCAGAGACAAAGGGTGGACTGGGTATTTCGGTTTTGCATGACAAATGAGGGGGAGGGGGAGTTGTGTACTGTCATATTACCAAAGAGCTCGTCCCCGGCTCCGTGCACACCTGCAGTTTCGTGACGTAGACCGTCTGGGGGTTCGCGTGGTCGTCGACGGTTTTGTTCAGTAATAGATTTTTCGTCGGGACGGAGACAAAACTCGAGTGGACATTGTCCAGCCCGAGCGCGAACTCCGCGTTGCTTCCCCACGCGTACTAGGAAATGCAAAAGTGTCTGGGTCTGGAAGATTTCTAGCCTTGTCATGCATATTTTCCCTGAGCCATGATGTCTGTGATGCATGCCGTAGCATCAGAGATTTTTAGAGGGCTTTGTGATACCTCTACCGCATGAGAAATGTCTTTTCCGCGTAGGAGAAACTGGAGTCCACCTCTTGCTGGTCCTGCAATACAATTTCTTTTTAGAATCCAAACACAGCATCACAAGTTTAGAATCTTCCAGACCCAGACATTTTTGCATTTGATACGTACACCTCGCCGGCAGTGGAGAGTGCGAAGGAGCTGCTGCCCTTGGCAACGATCTGCATCACGTCGACCGGGAGGTTGGTTAGCGCGTCCTTCATGGGAATCTGAAAGTGAAATGTCGTTTTTTCGGTTTGAAGGTTCGTTGTACTCATATGAAATTGTACGTTGGCAGAGGCGAGGGCAAGGCACGTCCGACCCCGACGTATTGCTATTGTCTGCGATACGATTACTTGAGATTACGACCGCAGCAATGAAGATCAAGAAAGGACTCATCTTTAATTAATAGAAATACATCAATTCTGCATAAGAAGTAAACTAAAACAAAATCAAAAGATGCAACATAGCTAATCTTACGGTAGAAATTCTTGCTTAATATGTTGTTGCTTTCACATAGAGATAGAACTACATAGCCTTAATAAGTACGTGTATCGGCTCACAGTGGATGTCGTTGCCCGTCGGCGGTCCTATCCCCAGCTGTCCCATGGAATTCTGGCCCCACGCGAACAACTCCCCCTTATCGGTCCGGGCGAGGATGTGCTTCTCGCCCTTCTATTCTGTGCAAAAGTATCGTACTCGTCCTAATTGCAGACATGCATGACGAATCGCCTTCCTTAGCGAAAACAGCATTACAAATTTCATCTGTCATGCTAAGGAAATTTGTAATGCAATTTATAGTAGTACGATAATTTTGCACTGCATACCTTCACCAACTCCACAATGTTCACGGACAATTGGTCCTGGTCCTTTTCGTCTTTGTTTTCTTCTTGACTGTCCTTCTTCTCCGCCTCGCTCGGCTCGTATTCGGTCCCCCCGTGGAACTTAAACTCGACGGGCGTGGGTGTGGGCGCGATCGTCATCTCCGCGCCCAGCCCCAGACACCCGGATTTGGACGCACCCCAGGCCATCACCTGCCCAGATTCGGTCAGCGCCAGCATGAACCCGTCGCCCACCACGGTGGACACAGTTCCCTCCGGAATCGACTGCTGGAGTGAGGGGGCCGGGACGAAGCGCTCCCCCCATTTGCCCCACAGGAAGAAATTCGGCCGCGTCGCGGACCCGAACACGTCCACCATTTTTGGTTTGTGCGCTCTTTGACGAAAAGGCTTCTAATACTAATTCTTCAAACACATACAGGCATACCAAACACACACTACTACAACACAGAAGCACGATCTCGAAACTCTCCTCCAGGACGGCATGAGAATGGTGGTGCGTCGACGCCTCTACTCGGTAGAAAGACATCGCAACATGCTCTACTTGTAGTTCTTCATCTTCTCCGTCTCTCAGTATATTTATTCTCACGATGAATGCATCATGAGTTTTGCGATAATTAATGACGCACAAGGTGACTCGCAGGCATGGTGCTACGAGAGGAGGGAACTATTCGCAAAGCTGGTGAACAGGGGCTGGGTACGTGCTTCCCGCTCGCCGGCTCGGCGGGTGTTCAATCGGAATAACCTGTTGACATTTAGTTCAAACTTCAGTCAAAGTAGATCAGAAAAAGCATCTGTACGAAATCCGTATGCGCATGCGCATCATGCTTCTCTTGCCTACAATGTGTTGACGAAAAAACTAGTTGTGGATATTTTTCAAGCTATGATGATCTACTAAACTATAACAAGATTTCTTCCTCCGAATAACAATAAGGCCAAAAGCAAGTACTTACAACAACAGGCTGCGAAAAATACAAACACAAGAAAAAAGACGGAAAGATGAAAAAACTCGTCGTATTAAATCCTACTTTGTAAAAAGAAAAACACACACTGCTCGTCGAGGAATTCAGATTCAGATTCAGTTTAACCACCATAAAATCCTGTATCTCCGAAGATCTTTAATTCATCATGTTCTCGAGTGCAGCTAACAGCTTACAGCTGAGAAGTAGGGCGGTAGAAAAACGACATCAGCGAACTTCGAGCGACTGTGGTTTCCTGATCTGCCACTGCCGCTTGTGGTGCTCCCTGCTCAGCCTTGTTCGCAGCAACCCCAGCACTACTGTGTTGCGTACTACCGGAATTCGGTGTCGCTGTCGTTTCTCCCTCGAAAAGCAAGTTCATCTCCACCGTACCCGTCGGACTCGGCGCTGGCGTGGAACTCCCGCTCAGCAAAACTCGCGTCTTTTCGCGCATTTGCTCGACCGATTTCGCCGTTCTTTCCGCCGCGGCGGCGCGAAAGGCCTCGGAGTTGACCTTTGGGGCCTCGAACCGCACGGGGGCCGGGACGGACATGACCCCGTCTTTCCTGGCTTTGGTGTATTCGAACAGGGCATTTGGATTTGTCGGGTCGGAATCATAGAGGTGTGTGACTTCGTGGTTCTCGTGCATGTGGGGAACAAATTGTGGCTGTTCTTGCTGTTCTTGTTGTTTTGCGATTCTATTCGCGGGTATCAACGCGTTCTCCTTCACGCCGAGTAAAGTGACCGGCTGCATGGGCGGGAGAACTCCTGACTGCTCCTTCACGACCGGTAAGACCCCAACGCTTAACCGTTTCGCCTTCGAACTGCTGGGACGTAGGCCCGCGGTGCGGATCTTACTCAAGTTCAGCAAAGAGGTGGGACTGCGAGGCGTGCGGAGCTGTGTTTAGATCGATTTCGTACGATAAGCATAAGGGTAATGGTAATCATAGTTATCGTAAGTGGCATGGTGATATGAACGACGAGACGACGAATTCTGATCTCATTTTGCGCAAAACAGAAAATAAAGCAATCATATGCTGTACAACATGTAAGTACCTTGCTAACATACATCTTCCCGTTCCCACTGTTCTCTTGCGCAAGAACTGCACCGTCAACACCACCAGCAGCCTCTGGCATGATTGTCTTGCTTCCTCCCACTCGCAAGTCCATTCCTAAGAACCCATGGGTTCGCACAATCCCCGACGTGCCCCGCACCCGGTTGTACGTTCGCTTCTCGTTCTCTTTCACGACGCGGTTTGCGGTTCTGGGGGTCGGCCGGGGGGATCTTGCGGACATAAGTCTCGGCGTGCCCGGGATCACTGCTCCATTCACCCGGTCCACGTACTGCACAAACACCTGCGTCGACGCGTCGGCCATCTTCGGTTTTTGCAGCAAGGGTGATGAAGCGGGAAACAAAGGGCTTGATGTTCCTCGCTGCACCCTATCGTGATTTTGATTTTCTTTCCTGAACGCGTCCACCATCTTCCCCAGCTCATTTCCGCTCACGCTGTGCCAAAAACGGTCCGCCTTCATCACGGGGTTTGAGGATTTGGAAGAATTGTCTTGGATCGTCGGGATAATCTTCTCGTTTTTTACCTCGTCAGTCAGCTCATTCAGGTTCACGACTGGTGGTCCAGCTGCACCCGTTGCCGCATCCGCGGTTTTATTTGTTGACATGGTCTCGTTTTCCTTATCAACATCGTTTTCCTTATCCTTTTCCTTATCCTCCAGATTATTCTCGCTCTTTGAGCGGTTAGGCCGGAGTCTGACCAGCTTCTTTTTCTCGCCGGGATATAATTGTGATTGTCCCCCGGCGCCACCAGCCGCTTTATTCTTTTTGTCCGCCTCCGCGGGTGACCCATCCTGGAAGCAGGTGCACGGATTGAGGCACTTAAGCACGTACAGTATGTAGGTGGTTACCGCGTCCATAGATTGCCCTTGCTGATTCATCTCAGTGGAAGTACTAGATGGCGTAATGGTTTCGGTTTCGCCGATGCTGACACGCTTGAAAGTAGATGCTTGATCGTCAGCACTTTCTTTTTTAATCTCGACGGATCTGGTATCAAAATCGTCATTTTTCAACATCGGCGCAGCAGAACCAGCCGCACTACTTCCTCCGAGCAACAACTGCGCTACTTCCTGTTTCATCAGAGCAGCCTCGTTTTTCATTTGCTCCTTCATCGCCGGAGAGAAAGTACTACTTCCGTAAGACCCCATGATTTCATCCGCGTGGTCGTTCTTGTGCAACTCCAAACCCCCTACGTAGTTCACCGGCACCGCTGCGGGCAGGGCGCTCGGGCTACCAGTATCCCCGCCGTTATTTATTGCAGCTTGAAACACACGACCGGTCAACACCTCTTTCCCGTGCTCGAGGAGAAAATGTTGCTCAAAAGGTTTTTCTACACTAGCCTGGTAGGTAGACGGGGAGGTGGTTTTTGTCACGATCACGGAGGGATTCGATGTTGTTCCATAATTGCTGTTGACGCTGTTCTTTCCGGTCGGCCTCCAGATCTTCTCATCGACGTCGGAATCCTTATCATCTTCTTGTTCAGGGTAGTACATGAAGGTATTCATCTGGATCTGTTTCTGTCCAGCGGCGCCTGCTGTTGTACTAGGATTTTCCTCTACAACTCTTTCCTCCGCGCTCGACGAGTGCAACTCGTCGGGGTGCATCCGGGGAATATCCGTCTCGTGTCCTTCGGACCTCCTTGGCGGGTGGTGCGCGTCTATCAAATTCACCGTCTTCGCGGGCGTCGTTGCCGCCGTAGAAGCGGTATTTTGCTCGTCCGAGGTGTCACCACCTTGGGCGTCAAGTCCTCCGATCCCACCGCCTTGCTGCTCCCCTTCTGGTTTAGAAGTCGATTTGAAGTCGTTAGTGTTTAATATTTCCTTCTCATGCAAGTCGATTCTTGCGGCCGCACTCAGATTCTTCTTCTGCGCACTCGTTGAAGATGCGCCTCCCGGCGCTTCGAAATTCGGGTGCGGCGTATCGAAATCGTCTTCAAAGACTTCGTGCTTGTTGTTCTTCAATTTCAAATGCAGCCGTGTGGTGTGAAAATGCTGGACCAACTCCCCGTGGTTTTCCTCCGGGATCTTCATGCTGCCCTGGTGCTGCAGCTTCGCTTTTTGCAGGATCACGTCGTCGCGGGTCTTTATCTTTGATGTTTGAGCTGCCGCTGCGGATGCAGAAGAAGAATCTTCCGGTCGTGTTTCTGCAGCTACCGAAAGAACATCGGGGCTGGTGGTGGTGTTTTGTGCTGTCTTCATCGCACTGCTGCTGGGGGCAGCAGACGGTCTTGGGGATGCTTTCGGACTTCTGTCGCCTACTTTACTTCCATCCGGCGCCCGCGGAGACGCTGGTGTTCCGGGAAGTGTTGTTCCGACCAATGACTTCCCCGTACCTCTTGGAGAGATAGCAGCACCTCCTGCTGCAGCTGCACTCCCGCCCGGTACAGAAAGCTGGCTCATCATTTTCTTGTCGTCTCTAGCTTTCGCTTCCGGGGAAATCAGGGTCGTTTTCTCCGCAAACTGGTAGCGGCTGTCCACATCTTCTTTTGTCGCACTTTGCGTTGGCGCGGCGGGTTTAGTTGTTTTCGACTTGTCTAGTACGACCCCTGCTGCATTCTTCTCGTAGGCTTTCTTCATGCTTTGGGCCTCTGCCATGATGGAATTTACGTCGAAGTCCTTTTCATCAAAAGTTGTACCACCATCAGAAACTTCTTGTTTTCCCAGTTCCAGCAGCGATCTCCCCCTTTCTGGTCCGACCGTACCAGCTGGGAGCGACATTCTGCGGTTACTTCGCTTATTTCCTGTTTCTGTTGTAGAGGGCGAAGAAGATGATGTGCCCAAATTGTCATTGTAGAAGTTCACGCTTGGCACACTCTGCCGGCCTTTATGTGCAAGAGAATCTTTATCTCTTGTCCCTCCAGTCAATGATTCGCCGGGCGCAAGAACGACGCTGGCGCGCTTGCTCGTGTGCAATTGCGTGATTTTCTTGCTACTTCTCGGCGCAGTTTCCTTAGCCAGCATTTCCGTATCAGGCTGATCATCGTCGACGCTCTCCCTTGGTAGGCCAACTTCCGTTTGCCTTACCCCTAGTTCCGCGCTGTCTCGGGGTAGCATAATTTCGGTTTGCCCACTTGTCCGCTCGGTATCCTGCGAAGCTGAGTCCCTTGGTAAAGTCACGACCGAAGACTGATTTCCCGCCCGTGGTTCATCACCAAGTGGCCTGTCGCTCCTTGCGGAGAGCTCTCCGACCGCAGATTCCATCTTCTGGATCTGCTCCGCCAAGTTTATCGCCAGCGCGAGATCGGTTTCCGAAGGACCCCGTTTCTCGGACTCCCGTTCGTTAATTGCCAAAACAATGTTCAGATCTTCCTCCGGAGCCCCCCGGTCATCGAGGGAGTATATGTCCCTCGCCGCCGCCACCGCTGCTTGGACGTTGGCGTCGCTGGGTCCGCGGGGATCGCGGGGCGACGGTTTTCGGCCCGGGGTGGTATTGTTGTCGGAAGTAGAGTTCGGGTACTCCTCCACGGCAAACTCATTTTCCTCGTCATCGTCCTGCTCCTTCGCCAAATCTTCCAACCGTTCCTCCAAAACCGGCGCGAGCGCGCTGGGCGAGCTGAACCCCCGGCCACTTTGCGAGGACCTGGAGCGAACGAGTAAATCTTCCGGCCAATCCTCGCCTTTCAGAGATCCGGAAGAAGTCGGGGACGTAAAATCGAAATCCTTGTGAAAATGCGTGGCCTGCTCGTTTTCCTCGAAAACGGGTTCGAGTTTCAGCGTTTGGGAAGAAGAACTGCTCGGAGTTGATGTCAGTTTCGCATTTTGATGAAGTGGATTCGTTTTCGATTTCGTCTGGTAAACTCCTAAACCATTATCCTCCGCTAGTACAGTTCTCTCTACTTCTACTTCATTCTCTTCCGCGACCGGCTCTAGAGCGGACGAATTGCCAAGCGACCCCGACCGGGACGAAATTGGGGTGTTCCCAGTGTGGAGGTGCAGCTGCTGTCCGGGCTGCAGATCTTCCGGCCAGCGGATGTTCACGTCCTTTTTCGGCGACGAGTTGGAGGCTGTGGAAGGCGTTCTGCTGCGGTTGTTGTTTGCAGCTTCTCCACCGCTAGCGGGCAATCCCGGCGCGGTACTCCCGCGGATTTCTTCCAGCGTCGGGCGCGTGAAGTTCTTGCCGGAGGCAGCTATGCTCCTCCGGTTCGTTGGTGCAGCTGGTGCAACTGGGTCAGTGAGGTTTAATACTTGCAGCTGCGGCTGGTGAGCTGCAACTTCAGGTTCTGGCGTATTCGCAGAAACAGCTTTTGCTTTGGTGTTCATCATGTCCGCTTGTTTCTCGGCTTCCATCTGGACCATCTGCGCTGCCATGTCCGCAATGGCGTCGTCCATGCTCTTCGGGCGTTGCAGCAGCAATCTCGTCGGCCGGGGCTGTCGCAGTGCTGCGAGCATGTCGTCCGCGGTGACGCCGGGTCGGGTGCAATCGAGATCTTGGATCTCCAAAAGCTTGTCACCGGGCTGATTTATTTGTATAGTGGGTTTGGATCATAAAGTTGTCGCAGTCAATTTTTAGAACCGAGCGAAGAGGATACTTAAGTACATTCGAGTTCTTCATCACTTGGTGGAGAGACCCATACAACTAGTACCAAGACTGACATAGCAGTACCAGTACCAGTAGCACAAGCACAAAAAAACTGAAAATTAACATCGCCCACCACGTAAAAAGCTACTCTACCAATATTCCCGCCACCGCTCCTGCCCAGCTGTCCGGTTTCACCTCAACCACCACGCCGTGGTAGTATGGATTGCAAAAGTGTCTGGGTCTGGAAGAATGCGAGACTTGTCATGCATATTTCTCATGAACCATGATGCCTGTAATGCATGACCTAGCATCGCAGACATTTAGAGGTCTTCCTGATGCACCTTCCGCATGAGAAATACCCTGTCCGTGTAGCACAATCGGCGCCCCTCTCGCTGGTCATGCAATACAAAATTTTTTAGAGTCCAAAAACAGCATGACAAGGTGCAATCTTCCAGACCCAGACATTTTTACAGTTGATAGGTAGTAGCGAAAGCCCAGTTTCCGTTCCGCACACACCACTTCGTACACTTCCCCCGCAAACTTTATGCGCTTCAGTTTCAAAGCCAAGGGTCTCTCCAGTTTCAGGCGCATCAGCATCTCTTGATACGTCTGCTTCTCCTCGAATAGTAGTTCATCGTGGATTTTTATCCCCATCTGCTCTGCCCAGGAATTGGGGCCGACCGCAGTGATTTGACCATCCTGCCGCACCGCCATTCCCAGCGATTTCTGCGCACCATCGCACGTGCAGAGAAGGGTGAAATGGGAGGGCGTCTCTTCGAGGACTTGCATGTTTACTGTGGAGAAGATGGATGAAGTTGTCGACTGAGCAAAGTATTCGCAAATGTTCTACTTCCAAAAGAAGGCTCTAGGGGGCGATCGTACCACGCAAGAAGTATGTAGTGGGGTAGAAGAGCAAGAGAGTGTTATTGTTCTGCAGGAACGACTCGTCAGCTACAAAACACGACTGAACATGAAATTAGGGGGTATCAAAGAGGTGTAATCGCCTGCAACGGGAGAAAGGAGCAAAAACTTGCTTCTTGATGCATATGAACATGGTCGACATGGCAAGAGATAAAGGACGAAGGAACGAAACGAGAGCACGTGACATCATCGGAACGAGTGGCGGCACGACATGACCGACAGCACGCGGTTTTTTGTTACTTTTGGTACGAAACACCGATCAGACGTCGAACTAAGAATGTTGGGCTTTTGTTTTGTTCCTCCAATAATTTCGTACGAAACCGACTAGAGGAGCGACGAAAAGATTGTTTGGCCGACTGACATGTAGCAACTGAGCGTAACAACCGATTTTTTTACAACCGGTGGTGCTGAAATCACCGAATCCTTTTGCTTTTGACAGTTGCAAGTAAGTACTTACTCGTGCATGCGAGGCTCTAGAAGAAAATCCGTTCGAAGCGAAACATATCTTCATAGTCCACGTTTTATCTGTTTCTGCACGTTGGAGCACGTCACTTTCATGTACAAGGTTTGTCCGAATTTTGATCGTCGTGCAAGAAGGGCAAGTCAAATCGTACAATTCGTTCTGGGGTTTACTCATCGTGAAATCATACAAAACAAGATACTTTCTTAGATAACAATGCGCACCATGAAGATCACCAATCACTCAATGAAAGTACTTCTCTACTCGGAGCAGTAGCAGTTACGTCTTCCTCTGGTGCCCTGCTGGTCGTAATTCATGTCACTCAAACTCAAACTTTAACTTCCTCTACATCTACATGTAGGTGGATTTTTTATCTTTATTTGTTCGTAGTATTTACAGCTTGATCATGTGCACGCGCCACTTGTCCGCGGATCCAGACGACCGCGACCCGCCTCATGCTGCCGTATTACAAATTTCGCTTCCGCCACGGTTAATCAAACACCTGCTCCACCTCCCCCCGTCGCCTGCTTCAACAGCGACCCCAGCGCGTTCCAGAGGTACGGCTCGACAACCGAGGAGTACAGCACCTCAAGCTCCTCCGAAGTAGATGTTGCGCTGGTCGTTTTGGCTGCACCGTGGTCCTTGTGGAGCAGGTTCTCGTCTTGCTGCAGCAACTCCTCAACTACAGGGCAACATCTCTCCACCCCTGCCGCCTCGCAAACGCTGCTTTGTCTTCGCCGCACGCTTAATTTTTTCCGTAAATCAGGCCCACCCATGGTACTTTATGCATTGCAAAACAAGCATCGCACTCGTATAAATGCATTACAAATTTCCTCAGCATGAGAAAGAAAATTTGTAATGCGGATTTACCTTAAGAGCAAGATTTGTAATGCATGTTTGCAATTACTACGAGTACGATACTTTTGCACAGGATATACTTGAGTGCTGTGCCACTTGATCAAAAGCGCGATCGATGTTTTGCAGGACTGAGGACTCTATCGGGTCGAATACTTGTTTTAACTCATCACCATCTTGATCTTCCTGTTGCGGTTGTTCATCTTCAGGGTGACAATGGAGGTCCTGCTGCTCAACATCTTCACCATCAGGCGGGTTTTCTTCACTAGAGCCGTAGCTCTTCGTGCTGTTGCGCTGCTCTTTGTAAAAATCACGACCAGTCGTTCTGTCCCCAAGCTCCTCTTTCGCAGCGGCGGATGCAGCGGGGGCACCCGTGGCTTTATTCCATGCGGTTGCCAGCTGTGCGGCCTGTTGTCTTCTCTCTGCAGCAAGCTGTTCCTTTGCGTCGTAAGAAGGAAGGGGTGGGTCGCTGTCTTCGACCACGTCGTCGGCCGCGTTTAATTCATTTTCGTGTGCTGTCGTCGTGTCGTGGTGTGCACTACTACTTGTAGCGGCCGCCGTCTTGTGCTTCACGGCGTCATCTACAACTGCTGCTGGACCCGAGTTCGGCGTCTTTTCAGCAGCCTCCAAACTTTTGTCCTTTTTGCTGTTTTTTCGCTCGTTTATTTCCTGCGCAGGAGGCCCGGTACTACTGCCTCCTTTCTCGGCGTGGTCCTGACGCAGCTGTTCAACTGGCAAAAGCTTTTGCTTGATTCCTTTCAGCTTTTGTTGCAGCACCGTCTTCTGGTCAAGAGGATTTCGATTTTTTGGATTCATCTCTCCCGCTCGTGATGCAGCTTTTGGTTTTGCTCCTCCCTCGTCCTTGCCGTTTTTTATCCCCAACTCTTTTTCCTTACTCGACGGAGCCGTCGACGCTGTGTCGCTGCGCCTGCCTCGTTGCGAAAGCTGCGCCAGAAACTCCAGTTGCTCCGCCCGGTTGCGCACTTTTTTCACTATGACAATGCACAACTCCCCCTCGCCCTCATTTGTGTAGCATGAACGGCAATACAAGCGCCAGCCAGAATGCAGGTTTTGCATGACAGATTTGCACAGGATTGTAGTGCTATTTCGGCGGCTTCCAGAACTTGTCATGCGAACAGTGCTAGGAGGCCTGGCCTGGATTGGGCATTTTGCATGACAAATGAGGGGGAGGGGGAGTTGTGCACATTCATATTCACCGGCTTCGACACGCAACGGTCGTACCACGATCCTTCGCCCTTATCCTGTCCAAAAGTATCGCACTCGTAGTAATTGCATTTATGCATTACAAATCTCTTTCTCAAAGTAAATCAGCATTGCAAATTCAATTTGTAATGCTGGGGGAATTTGTAATGCAATTTATACTAGTACAGATGCTTATTTTGCATTGCATAGCCCTGCTGCTCGAGCAACGTGCGCACTCGCCGTTGCCTCTCCTCCGTGAGAAACACCGGGGCCTGCGGAACTGTGCTGGAAGGCACAGCGGGTTGATGGAGATGGTCCTCTGGCTGAAGCGCGTGGTTGAAATTCATCATTTCCGAATTATCCGAATGATCATCCATCCGCATGCGCGGCGATCTGACCTGCCTCGGCTTCTCCCGCAAATGGCCATCCGCGTCGAGAAGTCCAAACTGCCCGAACGCCACCCGTCCTCGTGGACTACTGCAATTATTATTTGAAGAGCCCACGCCGGGTGATGCTGATCCTGGGGAATAGAACTGGTTGATCTCAGCATAGTTGATACCGTCTCGATGCAGCTCTGGCGCTGAGTCTACTCCTACGTTTTTCCTCGACGCCGGTCTTGATGATGACATTTGCTGCGGCGAGGAGGTTCTTGTTGCTGACGAGGGAGACAAAGCTAGACTCATCAACTTAATCTTGTTACAACCGCGACCACCAGCTGACCTGCTAGTAAGTTGCGGCGACGAGGACGCGAAGTGCTGGGACCGGGGAGATAGTAGCGGAGATGTTGAGCCGAACCTCGCGTTTCCTCCTTCTACTTTCCTACTCGTGTGGTCGCTGCCTTCAGCTATGCTGTGAAGCAATAGGAGATCACCAGACGAGGGGCCACCAGGATGATGATGTGCACTAGCATCACCCGACCCGATCTGCAAATCCAAAGCTAGCTTTCGAAAAGTGAAGCGTGGAGTGGTCGCAGCATTTGTCCTCGCTGTGGTGTCGCCCGCGGAACTGTGCTGGCTTGATGTGGTCCTCTCTAGTATTTCCGCAGTTCTTCGGGAAAATCTCGCAGCTGCTCTTGGTGATGATGGCGAACTACGGCCCTGACCTCCTGCTGTTCTACCACCTACTGCATTTCTTGCCGCCGACGACGCAGCTGTAGTGGAATCAAACAGCTCGTCCATCGAGCTGCAGACCCGAAACTCGTCGTCATTCACTCCATTATCGCAATGATCACCACTCTTGTCTTCTTGCCCTTTGCGCGCTTTGCGAATGACCGTGAAGCGCGGCGCTCCTTCAAAGGGGGTGGTCGTGGTTCGGCTTCGGTTGCGAGCCGCCTGATCATTTGTCGTCTGCGGGGGCGCACTTTTTGTACTTCTTGTCCCTGCGCCAGCGCCTTGTTGCTGCTGCTTGTCAACATCATGTGGCTCAACAACACGGAGCATGGTTTTCTTGGGATTCGTCCTCGACGATCTCGACCTCCCTTTTTTCTTCTCCTCTCCGAGTTGTGAAGAGGGCGCAAGAGTAGTAGAGCGAGGTCCACCCGCGGCTTCAGCGCAGCTCCCATGTAGTTGCACACGAGTTGCCTCGCCTCCGACAGACAGCTTCACGTTACTACTAGTACAACTTTTTTGCAAAAGCTCCGCGAACTTGACGCTCGTGTCCTGCGTCTTTCGCTTCTGCGGCGCGATTATCTGCACACCGATAGTGGTGCTAGTGGTCGACGAAGGTACTAGAGCTGGTGTTTTGGAAGCAGGAAGAGCTACGGCTGCATCCACCTCGGGCGGAGTGTCGTTTTCGCTTTCCTCGTCACCGACATCGCCGTCCTCCTTGTGAAAGTAAGACGCGCCGGTCTCGCGGCTATCCACTGGAAGCTGCTGTTCCTCGTCGTCGTCGTCGTCACGATCTGCTTTGTCTTTGCATCTTCTGGCACTATCTTCGACTTCAACATGCCCAGGAGGCTCCCGTACAGGTCCAGAATTAGGTCCAGTTCTCGACGCCATCTCGTTCCCACCGTAGTTTTTCTTCTTGGCTGGACTTGTGACGAGCTGCCCGGGAGATGACAAAGGCGAGGAACCTTCTCTGCCCGCAGTGTCGTCTTTCATCTTGTTATTTCCGGGCTTTTTTATCGCGCCGCCGCCAAAAGGAAAAGGCGGTTTACAGGAAGTTCCATTCACATTCTGTGTTGGCGGTTTTGTGCCTTGCACCGGGCCGGTTGCGGGTCCGAAAAGTCCGCGAACGGTCGCAGATTGGCCTGCAGATAGGAGCGGAAGGGGCGTGATTTTCTTTACAAAGGATATTGCTTCTGCTTGATATTCTAACTGCACTTCAAGGGAAAATTGTCTAAACAACAAAAAATTATCATACGTGAATGGGCAAAGCACCAAGACTGTAGGTGTCCATACCTGCAATATTTTCCGCAGTTTTTCCGCCGTTGCAAAAATACTGCCTCGTTCTGTGCTGCCGAGTCGCTTGCGTGCTCAATTTCTCCGCGATTCTTTTCTGCATGGTCTGGAATTTCTGTTGGTAGATGCTCAAATCTGACGTAACCGTGATCGTTTGGTCCCGCACCTGCCTCCCGTCCGCCGTGTACACGTTGGTCGGCTGGTATCCCAGCCCCTGCAAAACGTGGAAAAACGCCTTGGCCTTGTTTTTGGAGACCTGGATCACGTTTTGATCGTTTAGCAGTCGCGTTTCGTATCCAAGCTGGAGGAGCATCTTAAACTCATTCCGGACCACGTTCTTCCGCTCGAACTTGTTGGAAGGCAAGTGGGGATCAGGGTTTTTTCCGTACCGCGCTCCGCCTTTGGAAGATGACGAGGACATTGACGTAGTTGCAGCTGCCCCAGCTGCACCTCCCTGCTCTTTGCTACCTTTCCGTTCCCCCGCATTGGCATTTTTCGTGTTCTTTCCTGTCGAAGTAGTTGCTCGATCATCTATGACAGCTTTCTTTCTTGTAGTCGACCACCCGACCGAAAAATTATGGCGATCGCCGTCCGAGTCCTCTTGCAAGAGAGTCTTTATTCTACTTGCATCCACGTCGTCGGCGTCTTGATGGTCACCAAAGTCACTTTCGTCGTCCCCGACTTCTTCCACGAGTTTCTTCTGTGATTTACGGCCCTGGCGCTGGGTAAACCTGGCAATATTTTTGCTCGTTTTGCATCTACATCACTACATGTACATCTGCAATGATCGCCGAAAGAAATTACTCAGCGTCAGCACACTTTGACAAAAAAATTGCATGAAAAAAGTACTTACTCTTGCTGCTGTGCCGCTTTGTCGTTGAAATAGCTCGCTTGGCCAAGTCGCGACGCAAGTTTGTCCAGGGTTCCCACTTGCTTTGCCTGATGGAGGTGATGCGCTGCTGTAGTATGTTGATGGTGCGCTGCTGCTCCACCTGCCGAACTGGATGTAGACTGAGTTTTGCCTACGGGACCTACTTGGGCAGCAGCAGGTGCTTTCAAACGCTGCTCGGTCGTTTTGCTGGCACCAAACATGATTGCTGTATACTTTTGTTGCACTTGTTGCAACAGAGAGCAGCTTGCTACCAGACAAATGGAAGCAACAGCGACCTCGATTTTTCCGTCGCCCTTAATCGACATGAACCGCGGATGAACAGACGAAGAGTCCAAAGAACTTACTGGAAGGACCTCCTCACAGATGATCTGGTGGATCATGTCTATCTCGATTACACTCAACTCATCGTCAATATCACGGCTTTCCATGCCGACGACACGTGCTACACACGCCTCAACAATTTGGTGATGCGCTCGGAACATGTTCATTTGTCTTGCGCGCTGGGGAGGACGTGCAGCAAGAAAAGTTTCAACAGGAGGATATCGATACCCGCCTGCAGAAACGTAGTATCTGTTCATGCTTCTACTGCAGTGCGTCAATTTTCAGCCTAACAAAATGGACTGGGAGGACTGTAGAAATGAAGTCCTTTGTCTACAGCGGCGCGAGCGATGGCTGCACAGAACTCGGAACCTTTCAAAGGCAGACTGCTGGATGAGCAGTCAAGGACAGGATTTTTTGCTGAAAGTAGCACACTGCAGCAGGTTTACTTCTACAGTTGTAGCCGCAACTGTGGCAGCGGGCAGCTCCTTGAGACCACCGATGCTGGACCACGCCTGAAGAAGAAGCTCCGGGTCTAGCTTTGTAGCTGACCAGCATCATCTATTGCACAGGTGGACTTCTGTATGGCGCGCTTAAAGTCGCGTTTTTAAAAGTCATAGTTTTTTTTTTTGAAAGGTGGCACAAAAACTGGGCACGCGGGTAGTTCAGTTAAATGCCGGTAGGCGAAACGCCGCACGCCTTGCCTTGGGTGTGTCGCAAAGAAATCTTTGCCATGCGCCAGAATTGGCACCGTCGGGAGGCTGGACGCCGCGACGCTACTGCCGCCTTTAGCAAGCTTGCCAGCAAATGCTCGGAATCCATTTTCACATCTCGCCGCACCCCCGGAAGTGAAGCGACACTCGAAGCGCAAGGCCGCGGGCGCTGCGCCTGTTGCCTCAGCTTGCATCGCTGCGGCCCCACAACGGCGCCACCACGCTGGCCTCCCGGCAGCCGTAACTACAGACCTAGTGACCGCGCCACCCCTCGCGCCTTTACTATTTTGGACGCCTTCCAACCGCGGCAAGGCCCTTGCCGCGCCTCCCCGCCGAGACAGGCTGCTGCCGCGCGTGCGGTGTTTTCCCTGTTGTGGCGCGGCCCCTGTGGTCTAGCATCGGAGGCGCGGCCCCAAGGCTAGGCCGCCCCAGAATCCCTCCGAACCGCCCCGCCCGCCCGAACCAGCCAGGGCCGCTGGCCTAAAAAGCCCCCCTTCAAGCCCCGGCTCGCCAACGCCCCAAATTGGGCGCCCATTCGAAGTGCCATTCTGAAGCCTTCTCATTGGGGCCGCTTTCGGAGGCCTTTGAGGCAACCCTTGGTGGGCCACAATGGCGGCCCGAATGGCCTCCGGATCACCCCCCCTGGATTTCATGCAATCCCGAGCTAACTAGGCCCCCCAAGGAGGCCTCTGAAGAGGCCTCCGGAATGGGGCCGGCGGAGGTTGCCCCGGAAGGACACCAGCAAAGGTCGTCGGGGCCACATAATCTCGGGCCCCGGGTCGATTGGGGTGGCTTGCTGGCATATTGGTCCTTCGCCGGTTGCTTGGCGGCATTCGGAATATTCGCCGAACGGAAGGCGCAGCCGCTACTTGGCGCAGCCGGCGGCTGCGCGCTTCCTGTTGAAAGGGCGTCGCCGCCGTGGCCTTCTGCGGCCCGCCACGAAGGGGCCGGCCTCGCCTTGCCGGCGCGCCTGGCTCATGAGGCGGCCGCGAGGCGCATCTTGCCGGTGGGGCGCGTGGCGGCATTGGTATCCGCCCTCATGCAGGCCACAGCGCCCGGCTGACAAGCAGAACCAAGCTGAGCGGCGCATGTGGGGCGGCCGGGCCTTTCCGGGCCTCGGTGGGACTTCATGCAAGTGCGCCAGATTGTGGCGGGGCTCGGCTATTAAGCCGCGACGCGTCGCCTTTCCTTTGCTCAGAACTTTGGGCGGCGGGGGGAGGCGAAGCGGCCCCGGGGTTTTCGAAATTGCATCGCGGAATGCGCCGCGAAGGATCGCGGCGAGGCATTCTTTTGCGCGCCGTCCGAATTGCCTTCCTGGGGCTCAGTGCTATCGCATTTATGCGCGCCAGCTCGGGCGACCCTATTCTCATATCGGCAGGGCATTAAAATCGGCGCCAGTGCCTGAAGACTAGCAAAAAAAAAAAACTATGACTTTTGAAAACGCGACTTTAAGCGCGCCATATTCTGTGGTGTAGACGACGGACCAACGTCAGAGCCCAGTTCTACTTCCCGTAGCTGCAGCTCGCTCGACGCTACTGCAACGGAGAATCTTCTTCAGCACTTGTCCTGCTACTCCGCGTCAACAACCGTACTGTCACAGCTAGATCTTCAGCGACAGTTGCTCTGCTATTCCTATGTTCTTCACCGCTGCCTTGAATTCTTCGTAGGAGAGCTTGCCGTCGTAATCTTTATCGGCTTGGACCTGAACAGAAGAATTGAGTTACCAAATATAGCCGCCGAGGCGGGGGTAGTGAGGTCACGCGGGGTCTTTTTGACTGGACGACGCCGGGTCTTTTTGCTCTTTTCAGAGTAGAGACGCTCTCCCGCACGCTATGGCCCCACAAGGGCCTCCGCCAGGGTCGGCCCTGTGGGCCCCCCAAATCGGGCCCATAGCATGCGGGTTGGCATGCTGCTTTTGGCGGGATTTGCGTCCTTTGGTTTTTTTTGTTGAAAAGCCGCGCCGCTGCCGCCTCCTGAATCGAAACACTTTCCCGCATGCTATGGCCCCCCAAGGGCCTCCGCCAGGGCCGGCCCCTTGGGCGCCCCAAATCGGGCCCGTAGCATGCGGGTTAGCTCACAGACTTTGGCGGCCTTCGCATTTTTTCATTTTTTTTGTTGGAAAGTCGCACTTTTTGCCCTGCTCTCCGCATTACAAATGCCCGCTTTTGGTGGCCGGCTTTGCGACCTCCAAAAGTGGGCCAAAATACGGCCCATACCATGCGGATTCACGGTTTTTGTCTGCTTTGCATTTTCTTGGCGCCACTTTTTGGGCGCCCCAAATCGACGGAAATAGGTGCGCCGGGCGTCTCGGAAGGGCGCCCTTTTTGCCGGCTCCCCTGCGTCGTTTTATCAATCGGGAACCGATAGAATCCGCCCGGGCTTGTTTGCTATCAAAGCCCCGGCCGATTGATAAATGGAAACTTTTCATGTGCAAAAACACTTCCGGCCGATTGAAAACTGCCGGTCGTTTTTCAGGGTAGCTGTCAAAAAAACTCCCTGGTTAGAACCGTTCGGTGACCTCACTACATATAAATTTGTGCTGCTGTAGTTAGAACTAGAAGATGTAGATGATGACTCAGCGACAATACGTGATTGCTAGCCTCCCTGGTGTCACTAGTACTTTTTTGTGCGACGGAAAGAATCTACTTCACATCAGCTGCCTGCTCAACAAAAAACATGCAACCACGAGAGGTATCGGAGACACCACGGCCGCATATTTCATTTCATAGTACCATCTGCCGATCCACAAGCTGTTGGAGCTGTTCTTGTGTAAGGTTATCGCCGACCATCATTTTCATGACTTGGAACAGGTCCCCGTTTGATATGAAGCCATCCTTGTTTACCTGATAGAATGAGTGATTCGTGTTCCTCGCCACCTATGTTGATTGTTAATATTAAAACTGGCAGGAAAATGCAAATAGCTCCACCCGCGACCGCTCTTGCAGTCAAGCTATTTGTGGTCCAAAAGAAAGCAGACAGAGAACAAAGACGCGCTCGCAGGAGCAAATAGAAACATTTACAGAGTCGTTCTTGTGTAAACAAATCAACAATAGACAAAGAGATGAAGAAACTCTGTCATTTTGAAGATTTTATACGTCGTAGATGTTGAACGCAAAGTTCAATTTGTGTTCTTCGCTCGTCCCGGCTGCTAGTTTTGCCAATCCGACGAGAAACTCGATGAAGGAAACGCTACCGCTGTTATCCGCATATGACAGTGCACAACCCCCCCTGCACCCCCTCAGTTGTATAGCATGAACGGCAATCATCATCATCATGTAGTGGACACCCGCACCCAGCGCCACAGGTCAAGGATCCCCTCCCCGGGGGGTGGGCGAGGAAGCACTTTCGGCGACCTCAACATACAAAAGCCGAGCGCTACCACAGCAAGTCGCCCCAATAAGGCAATACAGGCATCAGCGAGAATGTCGGTTTTGCATGACAAATCTTCACTGGAGTGCAGTACTATTTGGGCTACCAGAACTCGTCATGCAAACAGTGCCAGGAGGCAGCGGGGGGATTGGGTATTTTGCATGACAAATGAGGAGGAGGGGGAGTTGTGCACTGTCATACCGCATCGAATACGTTTATTACTCGTTGCACCAGCGGATTTTCGTTCAGTTCGGCGACAGAAAAAATCTCCGCGGGATCGAGCTGCCTGTGGAGGTTTTTTGGTTTGCTAGATGAAGCAAATAGAAATAGTACCCAGTTTGTCAGAATAAAACAGCGTGGTCACCACAATCTGAATCTGTATAGAGACGACTTCGATCCTCCCACCTTGATTTTAGTCCCCATAAAGACGACCATCAAAAACCATACGCAGGCAGAACTTCTTTGAGCAGGATATTTCTACCCGCTGCCGTCACTGTCCAGTGCCCGAAAGCGGTTGTAGAGGCGTTTTATGTCCCTTTCGCCGAAGCTGGCGATGCCGTGGATGTCATCCCGTGACAAGGCCGACGCATTTGCCGAGTTGCCCATCTAGATCAGCGTTGCTCCTTTAGCCGCAGCGCGGGAAAAGCTGGTTTTTTCTGCCGCAGGCAGGACGGAATTCCTCCCCGCGCCAGTGCTAGGCTTGATTAGGCATTGTTCTTCGGTATTATACAAAAGGGTCTACTTCGTGCTCTGATTATGCTGCTCACTTGTAAAAAATCGCCGAATAGCACTACTAGGAGGTTCAAAATGGATAAAGCTAATCTAGCACGACGACTTCTCACTCCTTGCTGTTCTAAAAAAAAGTGTTGCGCCGCGCAGAATTACTATACAGCAGCACCAGTTTCCGCCCACGCCCTGATGTGCTTGCTCTTGCTCTTTCAATTGAAGCGCAGCACTTGCGTTCCGAAAATTAACTTGCAGAAAAGTCCACCTCCACAAGTTCAAAAAACCAAAACGCACTGACGCACTTCACCAATACCAAGTGCTGCATCTTCGCTGACACTCATGATACATTGTAAATGTAGTTCTACTCAGTTGTAAAATCTCAACACCCGATATTCGGCGCACGGCACTTTCGAAAAACAACAAGCAAGAGAGAAGGACCAACACGCCGCCAGATACGGACACAGAAGAAAAATGGAGTCGAAGCACCGGCTCGGCTCCTGCTAGAACACTATGCAAGACCTCCATCGCTCAGTTCATCTTCTGCGACTCGACGTATCAACATTGATTTTTGATACACGTGTAGTTGAAGCGTCGGGAATCACATAATTTTTCATTTTCGGCGAAATATACGTTTTTCTGGTTCTGTCACCGGTACGGGAATGAAATTAGTTGAACTTAGGAATTATGGACGAATTCGTTGCATTTTGGGGATCGCTCTAACGCAACGAAAAAAAGATGCTGGCGAATGAGAAACAATCTTCGCCGTACACATTGACAATAACATTGTCTGGATATATTGGAGAAAGTGTTCATGCTTTAATGTGAATCAGAATGAAAACTCGCGTCGAAAAATATTTGATACTGAAAAATTAAATAAGTAAGCTACATTTAGTACAACAAGAGCAAATGGTGCGAAAGCGAAACCCTACAAAACAGTCGTGGTCAGACGCTGTTCTCACTACAACTCCTGCTCGTTGCTGCTACTTTCCGTCTGTCCACCGGCCATGGTCGCGTGTCTGTCTGGTTTTCTCTTTTTCTTCCCTGCAGCTCCGGGCAACGCCTGGCTCGGCCGAACGATCTCACTTGGCCCGTCGCGCATGGTGGCGCGACTGCCCTGGCCCCAGGCCGCCGTAGCGTCGGTGTCTCGAGGACCTCTTTTTTCGGGATCATTCGATGGGCTCTCGCTATCTGACCTCTCGGACTTTAATGACGCCCCTACCGAGCGAAACCCGGTCGTCCTTTCGTTTGGTGCGGCCATGTCCTCCGATTTGAAAACGTTGACGGTATTATTGGCCCGGAGAGAAACATTCGACATTTCACTTTGTGCTTGTTGACCCCCGGCGCCGCGCACGTGCGAGTACCGATTGGGAATCCTCGGATCTGACGGCCCGGGGTATTGATCAGGTGATGAACCATCCTCGTTAGTGTTCTGTGAAGACTGATGTTCTCCTTCTCTAGTCAGTTCGGCAGCGGACGACCTCGTGTTATCAACGTTCTCCCCCGGTGCGCCGGGCTGTTCGTGCTCGTCAATGTCCAGCGCCTTTGCTGCGAACATCCCCGCCTTCTCACTCACGGAACCGTCAACGCCGGAGGAACGGCGCGATTTCTTCACGCTCTTCTTATCTTCGCTGGATATTCTCTGTTCTGGTGTTTGTTGGGGTTCTCCTGAGGGTGGATCATTTTTACTTAAGGTCTCAAACTGCGAGCTGTAGTGCATTGGCACCGCCGTTGGTTCCGCTTTGTCGCTACGCAGCTTCACTTGCGTCAAATCGTCCGAGCCTGACGGGACATTGTAGGAAAGATCTTTTGTCTTCAACTCACTTGACGACTGCTGAATGATTTCGCCGGAGGAAGGCAGTAGTCTTTCTTGACTGCTGCTCTTCAGGCCGCTAGTCGGTGGGATGACAGGTGCGTGGATCTTCACCGTGTTGTTTGCGGCGCTCTCTACTTGAGAAAAGGCACTTTCTTCTAATCCCGAGGGACCTCCTGCACCACGAGCAGACGGAGAAGCGACAGAGACAGAGAGGGACTCCTCCGCCAAGTTCGAGGAGCCGCCCCCGCTTTCAACTGTAGCCTCCACCAGTCCCTGCGTCGGTTGTTTTTCCAGTACAATATGGTCTTCCCGAAAACCGCTGGTTCCGTCGTGGTTGACGACGCCTATTGAGAGAATCTCATCCATCAAATGATCTTTCGCCTCTTCCTCCGTTACATTGTGTTTGGAAATCCTGCTTTTCATGTTCTCCGCAATCACACTCTGCTTCATAAGCTGATCGGCGTGGAGGTGCAGATCGGGGGCAGAGGAACTTTTATTCGCTTCGTCTTCCATGATGCCCGCAGTGATGTTGTCCAGATCTTGTGTGCCACTTGTGCCTTTCTGGGACGACGTCAACAGCATGCCTCTCGTGTCCATTCCTCTTTGCTGCGATACGGCATTTGTGGCATTGCTCGCCTGCGAAGGTCCGGATCCAGACGACCTCTTCCCAGAAGATCTGTCGTCGTTCAGCAGGCTCCCTCGGCTCGCGTCCTTCTCCAACGGCGTCAGATTCACCATGTCATGCGCTGGTTCTTCTGGTTCTTCTTTCGGTTGCGAGATTCCACCATCGAAGGTCACTGTCCCCATGGACATAATGGTCTTCATCAAGTGATCCTTCGCTTCCTCTTCCGACACGTCGTCCGGGTGCAAAATTTTCGTCGATTTGTGCAGTTCTTCGGCGTCCTTGGTACTACTCTCGTTCTCCTTCGACGTACCACTACCCCGTGAAGCGGTCGACTCTTGTTCTCGGCTGGATTTCTTCTCTACTTCATCCACCTCTTGGATCAACGAATTTTTCTGGGAAATTCTTACCGTCGTATCCTTGTCCTGCGTCGTGCCGTCGAGGTTGATTGTGTTCATGCTCATGATGGTTTTCATCAAATGCGACTTGGCTTCGTCCTCCGAAACATCATGGTGCAGGATATCCGTCGACTCGTGTAAATTGGCGTCTTCAGCGAGGTTTTGGTATTGGTCTTGTTGCGTGGAAATTTTGGAACTTTTCTTGGAGAAAGAACTCGATGGCATCCTTATGTTGCTGTTGGCACTCCCAGGTCTTTGACTCTCTTCGCCTTGATCAACAGCGGCAGCTTCGTCGTCGTGGCTCAAGGCTGTGAGAAACTCCGTCTGCCCACTTTGCGGAGAAGAACTGTCAGGAAGTAGTTGTCCATATTTATCTCGGTTGGTTTCGCTCTTCTTGTTATCGAGCGTGGTGCCGTCGAAGCCGATAACGCCGGTGCTCCTGATTTCATCCATGAGATGCTGCTGCGCCTCCGAATCAGACACGTCGTGATGGGAGATCCTTGACGATGAAGTAGCTGCAGCATTTGCTGAATTTTGATTTTCAGCCTTTTTGGAACTGGAACTGCCGGATCTAGAGGATTTTTCGATCCTCGAAGAAGATGAGATTTTCGAGGATTTTTTCTGTGAAGACTTCCCCCCGTCCTCTTGCTGCTCAACGGATGTTGACAGCATCGGATTGCTCAGACCCGTGAAAAACTTGTCTGACGAAGACCGCGGGTCGTCACTTTGCAGCGGCGTTGTGCCAGGAGCGTACTCCTGCTCTACTCCCGAGTTCTTGTCGTGGTCCACGTCCAAAGCGACACTATCGACGTCCCCGTACCGCACGTCAGAACCACCGCGGGTCCCCCTGGAAGAAGTCTTGCTCTTCTTATCCGCTGCTGGGACAAAGTCTTCAGAGTCTTGTTTTTTCTCCGAAGCTGTTGAACTACTCCCAGCACGACGACGAGGAACAGCAGTGTCGGATTGCCTCGTCTGTCGCTTACTGGGTTCGTCTGAACTACTTGCCACGTCGGCGAAGGGGACTTTCGAACCTCCTCGCGTTCTATCAAATGTAAAAGTGTCTGGGTCTGGAAGATTCTGAGACTTGTCATGCACGGCGTGCATGAGCCATGACGTCTGTGATGCATGCCCTAGCATCACAGGACTCCTGTGGGGTTCTTGAAGCCTATTCCGCATTACAAATGCCCTCTCCGCGTAGCAAAAAATAGATTCCTTTTGCTGCTCATGCAACACAAATTTTGTAAACATCCAAATGCAGCATCACAAGTTGCATTCTTCCAGACCCAGACACTTTTGCAATGCATACGTTCCTCGGGAGGAAGTTTTACTCTTCTTCTTTAGTGGGTTATCACAAGAAAAAAGTGTTACAGTTACACATTCGTTGAAGTTTCTGCATCACAAATTCTCTCTGTGTGGAAGAGAAAACTTGTATAGTAATGCAAAGATCATAAGGGGGAATATGTAGGAAACGAGGCTCGCAAGCATTTCCTGCATGACAAAGGTTGTCTGTCTTGCGGTTCCTGCAACACAATGTGTGACTGTACTACTTTTTTCTTGCGATATGGGTTGTAAAAACTCTCTTTCTCTTCTTCCCCCGGCTCCCCAGATTTCACCCTCGACGATTTTATTTCTCGCGTTTTTACTTGCTGCTCGTCCGAAGACTGCTCTGGTGCCTCCTCCGGGCTGGTCACTACGTCATTGTACTTCACTTCAGAGCCAGCGCCCCTGGTGCCTCTCGAGGAAGTCTTGCTCTTCCTGGTGGTGTAGTCAAGATCTTCGGGCATATCTTGCGTAGTGAAGCCGGAATTTTTACTGCGCTTGCTGGAGGGTCGAGAAGTAGTAGATGTCCGTCCCGCAAGAGCATTGTCCTCCTGCTGTTGCTCTTCAGCACCTATTCCTTTTGGTGCGCCGCTATTGATATTTTCAGCAGTGCTGCTTGCCCTCGCCACCCCCGCATACGCCCCGAGGTTCACGCCATCTAAAATTTCCATTGCGGCGCGCGCGGCCTCGCTCCCTAGACTGCGCTGACTCGGGCCCCGCGGGCCCTCGACGATCGCGGCAGTCAGACTGTCCGCGGAACTCCGGTCCGCCATGTCGGTGTTGTAATTATTCGGGTTTTGATTCAACATTTCGCTGCTGTCACGACGCCGAGAGGACTTCTTTCCATCAGACATCTCAGATCTTTTGGAAGATTTCTGCTCCTCTCGAAGTAGATCCGGAACATCATCTTCACCACCACGACCGACATCGGCCTCTCTTTTAGAAGAAGATCCTCTTTTCGAAATGCTCCGCTTTGCCGTGCTCCTTCTGGTGTCTTTGTCAACCTCGTCTCCGTTGTTCACGTTCACACCAGAGGCGGTGGAAGCCTTGATGTTCTTCGATTCGAAGCTCACAAACAGGTCGGACTGGCGACTGGTCGATTTCTTGCTCCCGTCCCGGTCCGTGTCTTTCAGTGAGCTGGTGGATTTTTTGCTAGATGAAACAGCCCGCTCGACAACTTCTTCCTGGTCTTGTTTCGTATTCACAACGGAAGCTGCGCCGCCGGAAGTTGTACTACTTCTGATATCGCGCTTGACACTCGTCGCAGCCTCCTCGTCGCGACGAACTACGGTGCTATCGCGCTGCTCGACAGCGCTTGTTTTCTCCATTGCGTTGCGAAGAACTGAACTCTCCCGCTTGACGCTCCCTGTCTTGCTTTCCGCGCGAGATGTTGGAGAAGAGCCAACGCTTCTTTTGGTGCTGCTTTCACGCTTCAAGCTGATTCTTTGCGACGTAGAAGAACTTTGTCGCGGAGAGAAATTTTCCGACTTTTGCTTCCTGTCATCTGTCTGCTCATCTTCCTCTTCTCGCCTGACAGTGCAAGCTCGACTTGCGGCTGTTTGTTCTCGACGTGTTTTCATCTGCTTTGAGTCAGACGATTCCGAACCGCTACGCTTGGATGAGGAATCGCGTCTAGAAGGAGCTGCGCCCTTGGTGTCAGAAGCGGCACTTCTCTCTGAAGGGCCCTTGTTCAACATCTCAGAAGATACTTTCCTGGTGGAGGACTGTCTCTGGGAGGTTTCCTCTTCCTGCTCCTGACTCGCCGTGCTCTTTTTCAAGTAACTCCGCAACTGATTTACCGCGTCGATTGGCAGCACAACATTCCCGTCACTGTTTACCTCCCCGAGCGAGTTCAAATGCTCTAAGAGCTTCTGCTTCGCTTCGGAATCGTCTTCGGGAGCATCGATTCGGCTGCTGGCTTTCTTATCGCTGCTCAAACTCACTTTGGATCCTGAGGTTCTAGCAGACATAGTGGAAGACTTCTTGCCCTCACTGATCTTTGAGCTTTTATTCCGCACGCTGGAAGCTGTGGATTGCTTTACCATATCTTGGCTTTGTTCTACTTCCTGGTTCGACTGGCGGCTAGACTTCCTCGAAGCCCCCGTCGAAAGCCGCAACGCAGCCTGCTCCATGTTGTCTCCTTCTTGAGTATCACTTTTCGCTGACGACTTTGATACTACCGACGACTTGGACGATCGTGCCGTCGTTTGTGGCCGATTGAAGGAGGGACGGGAAAGCTTGCTGGGGTTGGTGGATTCTGCTGGCTCTATATGTTCTGATCCATAATTTTGCTTGCTTAGAATTGCCGAGCCTTTATTGAAAACGGAAGAAGTTCTGGAGCTCCGGACAGAAGAAGATGACTGCTGGGTCGTGTTTTTTCGCTGCTGGTCCAGCATTTGTTCCGCCTGAGCACGTTCGGAGCGCCCCCTATCGGAATCCGCCACACCGCCGTCGCCGGACACCAGTCGGCTGCTGCTCCTTTCTAGCATCATTTCCGGTTCTTGTTCTACCGGCCCACCGACAAAAGATTCAAACATCCCCTGCTTGGCCATAAAGGCGCCTGTCATCGTCTCGGCGCCGATCTTTTTCAGTTCGCGGGCCTCATCGCTTGTGATCGCGGAATTCAAATCCAAGTTTATCTTATTCGCCGACTGTTTTGTTGAACTACCAGCATCTCTAACCGTCCCAGTAGCGCGGAATTCGTTTGTGCTGATCAACTCCCCCTGGCCTATCACAGGAAAAAGTGTTAACGTTAACGGCTTTCATAGATTGCAAAAATGGATGACAAATTTTGCCTAGCATGCATGCTATGCATGACAAATTTTGGCACGTTTTGTGATGCATTTCTGCATCACAAATTCCGTTAACGTTAACACTTTTTCCTGTGATATGGCCGGAGAGAAGCTTGTCACCCTCCTTGTCCGCAGAGGACTCTCGAATTGACACGACCTGCGCCGGAAACAGAACTGACATTTGCTGCGAAGATGAAGTGCCTTTGTTCCCTTTCGACGAAGATCTCCGCTCGGAAGTAGATTTCAGAATCGAGGCAATCGCACCTTCTTGTCCTGCTCGACTTGCCTGCGTATTCTGCTGCTGTGTGGATCGTCTGACGGAACTCTGACGCGGCGAAAAAGTACTGCTTTTTCGGGTTGTAGCCTTGTCAACACCTCCCAAATTCCCACTGCTCGCAACGTTCCCGGACCTCGTGCCGAACTTTTTCCGCGCATTATCCGCCGCCTGTTTCTTCGCAGCCTCGCGGTTCTTTTTCGCTTTCTCGTCTAAGCTCTGTGTCCTGTTGTGAACCACGTGCCTCGGTTTGGAACGCGCTTTCAACCGTTCTACCAAAGACAAGTTCACGTCGGGTAGTAAGTGTTTGATCGCAAACCCGGGGATTTTTTTCGTGTTTCCCCAGTGACTGTTCTGCATCTTCTTCAACACTTTCGAATCCCTGTGCAAATCTCTACTCGGATCGGTCCGCCAGGCGTGCAAATCCGAGACGAGCCTCCCAACCGCAGATTCGCCGACCAAGGCCGTGTCGTAGAGGTACTTTTCCAACAAAGCGATCTCCCGTTCCACATCGTCGCTCGATTTCAAGAAGGTGACGCATTCGTACAACGCGGTTTCCCCCAACTCTTCCGCCAAGTGGAGGTATTGGTGGGGTGGGTAATTCGTTATTTCCTCCGGGTCTTGATTATGCTGCAAATGGCGAAAGTACTCCTCCTCGTACTGGCGATCGTGTTCCGCCGCCTCCGCCGCGGCAACGGCGAGCGCCGTGTTGCGGTCCCGGAGAAGGCGGAGAATTTCCGAGATCGTTTGCCGCCTGTCCCGAAGAAGCTCCTGGTCGAGCTGAGATAGTGTTTGCCCTTGTTGCCCGGCCGAATTTGTGCTGCTAACGCTTGACCGCCCGTCTGTTCCTGCAGTTCCCGCAGGAGCTACCGCCCAGGGGTTTTTCTGTCCTTTCGCGAAAGAGACCACACCGGCGTGGATCTCATTCAAGGAATCGACCACTTGGTCCAAATGCTGTTCATCGGACCCTCGCTCAAGAACATCTCCCGGTGCGGCCTGGTTAGCGGCGCTGGCTCGGAGGCCCTTGTCAGAGGCGATGGAGGTTTTGGAAAGCGTGGAACTACCGGGAGCAATGGCGGCAGCGGGCAGCTGGCCAGTAGCTTGCTCCTCAGGTGGTCTTTCTGCTTTCTCCGCACCACCACCGTCCGCTACTTCCTCCTCATCTTCCTCCGCCAGAGCGGTCATCATAGCTATCGGCTGCTTCATGCTCATATTACCCATCATCTCCGAACTACCGGGGCCATCGAAGGCGGAGGATGGAAAGGGGTTGGCCGCCGACAGTGGAACTCCTGCCATCATGCCGTAATCGTCGTCCATATTACCGTCGTGGATTTCGAACTTCTGTTGCTGCAAGCGAAACGCGTCTAGCGTCAAAGGGGAAGAAATGTCTGAAAAATGGTATTTCGCGTCCAGCGCGTTCCGGAAACACCGCAGCGCCTGCTGCCCCTGCTGCATGGTTTTCATGCGCTTTTTCCACAGGTTCTTGTCCCGATCGGAGAAGAGGCCTTCGACTTTAGTATCTTTCGACCAGGGAGCATGCTCGTCGGCGCAAGATTTGTAGTTCAAAGGATAGCCATTTGTAAAAGCATTATTCCCGCCGTGTAGCTCATCGAGTTCCGCCTGTTTCAAATTCGCAACCTTTTCCGACCACGCTTTCCCCTCGACGGAATTCCGGTGTTTCAGGGCGTACCACTGCATGAGACTCTTCGGCACCTTCCGCTCAAACGGCACCCACTTCCGGCGCGGGCTGTCGGGCTTGATCCCGGAGAACACGTGTCCGCTCGGAAGCTGGTGGAAGTTGCTGTTCCACGTTGGCCGTCCCTCCTTTTCATCTCTGTGGTTGCTGTGCTGCAGCGGTAATTTTGCGAAATCTAGGTCCGTGTAGTTGACTTTGCTGGTGTTCGCGTGGAAGTTCGACGCCCTTTGCAGCACCTCCGGGGCTAGTTCCAACGCGTCCAGCATCTCCTCCAAGTGCGCCAAAGACTTTCGCCGCTTTTCCCACAACACGGAGAATTGGTTCACCCAGGTTGGCAACAGCATATCCCTGCGGAACGTGAACAGCCGGGAATTGATCCTTGGTGCCTTCTTCGGTAAGAAGCAGGCGCCCGGGATGGAAACCGTCCGTTTTTTCCCGTCAACAAACAACTCCTCGTTGCAATTGTTGTAGTTTGCGGTGATTTGGATACTGTAATCTTCTTCGAATTTGATCCATTTCCGCTCCCCATCCCTGTCCCGGATTTTCCGTTCGGGACTCGCCGGCCTCTTCAACTTCTCCCCGGTTTCCGGGTGAATGTAGGTCAACCGCATGCCGTCCTGAAAAATCATGTGCGGCTCGACAGCTTCGGATGGGATCGTGATGCGCGCTTTCACGTCGGAAATTACTTTTTCGTCGTTCACGATTTTCTTCTGTTGCAGTTCCCGCAACTGCTTGAAAACAGCGCTTCTCGTCAATTCCAGCTTCTGCTCTTCTAGGTTTCCGTTGATGACTGCATCGGCCGGCGTCCAGATGTCCTGCACCAACGCAACAGTGTTAGCCGACGCCTGTGCTGCCGCGGTTTCGTCCGCTTTGCTCTGGAAGGGTGTTTCCATGCTGATCAGCGTCAAACGGCGGAGGTCATTTGAAGTTCCTGCTGCTGCTGCTGAAACGCGACCGTTAGTGTAGTCATCTTGTTCTTGGAGGATGACAGTATCAGGAATTACCTTGGTTCTTGCAATAGTCGTGTTCGTTCTTCCTGCCGGTAAAACAGTGGCGACGGAGGATTTTATTTCAGTCGCACCGCTCTTCTGTAGTCCCCTAACGGATTCACTTCCAGCATCTCCTTCTCCAGCCACGGCGGTCGCCGCGCTGTTTCGCGGGGAATTCTGTCGCGAAGACATCAGATACTGCTGCTGCTCCCCCAGAAACGAAACCACCGGCGTGTTTGGGTCGACGACAGAACTCGCGGTAGTACCCTGCGACTGCGGCTCGAGTTCTTGTGGGGCGGTCCCTATCAAATGTAAAAGTGTCTGGGTCTGGAAGATTGCCAGGTTTGTCATGCACATTTTGCATGACTCCTGATGCCTGTGATGCATGCCCTAGCATCACACATTTTGTGAGGGCTTCCTGATGCCTATACCGCATGACAAATGCTCTTTCCGTGTAGCAAAACTTGGAGTCTCTTTGCTGCTCATGCAATACAGATTTTCTTAGAATCCAAAATCAGCATAACAAGTTGGATTCTTCCAGACCCAGACATTTTTGCATTTGATAGCGGAGGTCCCTTGGCTAACCTCAATTCGGCTGCTGGTCCGGTTTTCCTCCTGTTCGGAGGATAACCCCTCCATCTGGTGTATCCTGAGCAAAAACGTCCCCACACCAGAGTCAAAATGGGAAATCTGCTAGACAAATCAACCACCTTTAGTTGTTTCGCATGACAAGTTTGGCCCCGTAGTGTAGTGCTGTGCGAGGTAGTTCAGCAGCATGACAGATCTAGTATATCATGCTGATTCCAGCATGACAAACTCCAATACACGACTGAAAAATGCTTCTCATGGGGCTCCGCATGATAAACATTTTCAGCATGCAGATTCGCATGACAACTCTGGGGTGGGGACGTTTTTAAATACGATATGGTGCTCCGCCTCAAACGCCGGAGTGCCCGTGCTGTACGGCGTGTCAACCCGGTCGGGGTCATCGAGTTCTTCGCTGTGGAGGTCCCTGGCCGTGTTTTGTGGTGATGGGGTTTCGACACTACCGTTGTCCCCCCTGTGCTGACGCTGGGCCTGGGAGTGGGACGCATGTTTTGCATTGTTCGAAGACGAATTTCTATCCGGTGCACCAGCACCAGCAGCAGCCAGAGATTCATCCGCTTCATCCTCCCCCGCATTTTTGTGTTCTCCCTCGTCTCCGGCCATTTGAGCGGTTCTTTCAGCATCTTCGCCCTCTTCCGGTGTCTCTTCGGCACCAGAGGTGTTGGACAACTCCGCCTCATCTTCCTCCATGTCTTCCTCGCTATCAACATCCTCCTCCACAACAGATTCATCATCCTCCAGCTCCTCGCCGGCCGCAGCCGCGCCCTCGAATCCCATTTTCCGCGGGTTCAACCGCACCTTCTTCCCGTCCGCTCTCACAAACACCTTCGCCAGGGCGCGGGTCTTCTTGGCCCGGGTTCCCGCGGCGGAGGGGGGGATTTGCCCAAAGCCCTGCAGCGCCTCGTTCTGCGCTTTCTTGTTCAGGGTGTTGCGGCCGGGGGCAGCTACTGTTGGCGCAGCGACGTTTTTCACTTTTTTCCCACTTTCCCTACTCAACACCGCGGAGGTACTATCATCTTCACTTGCATGCGACTTCACGCTGGTCTTTTTGACAACCATGGCACGCGTTGGGGGACGAGGCTGACTAGCGGTCTTTCGCGGATCTACGTTCGTCTTTGCCGTGGAAGTAGTTCTTCTGCTTGCTGGAGCTGGACTACTACTCCCTGCAGTTGACCTTTTCATCTGGCTTTCTCGTTGAGACGCCGAGCGCGACAACACCTTGCTAGAAGCCCCAGCTCCACCACTGCTCATCATCCTCGACGAGGACATCATCGCCGCCGCCGTGCTCGCGCTACGGCGGATCAGCTTGGAGTCTTTGCTCTGGTTGGCCGAGACGAGGATTTGGTCAAAGTAACCCTGCATCCGAACGGATTTGTTCGGCGATTTCTTCTCGCCTAGAGCTTGCACCACGACCCCCTCGTCTGCGTCCACGGCGGTGGAGGACGGGCGTAGAAGTGATTCGTTACTTGTCACAGCAGAGGTGACATTTTTCCCACTGACAGGGGGGGAAAATTCCCGCACAGATGTATCCGCGACATTGAACATCACGTTTTTGGAACTTGCGTTGTCACGATCGACAACAACATCTCCTTCATCTCCCATAAACACCACCCCGTTGTCCTCCGCACGCGCCAGTTTCTGCACCACCCGAAAAACACTGTGGTCCGGATACTTGTAGTGCCGTGCCCGAAACCAATCACTCACCTTCGCAACTCTCCGCGCGTAACTGCTGTCTTTGGGAATCCAGGCAGGGACCGGCGCGTGCGGTAGGGTTTGTTGGTAGAATTCGAAATCGAAATCCGTGGAGAATAACGGCCCACGAATGAAGCCAACAGTCGATTTTGTCTTCTCGTGGATCTTGATCGGCCGGTTAATGTTTCTCCTCTCTAGCGGGTTCTGCGTGGAAACATGGTCGTCGGAATTGGTTTGCATTGGCACTCGGGTGTCAATGGAAGCAGTGGATAAAAACAACCGCTCTTTTTGCTCACCTCGTACTGCTGGCTGTCCTTTCACCACTCCCCGGTGCGGCACGGTCACCGGATTTGTGTACCCAATACTCGGCTTCGGCCGGTCTATGAAGCGCGGACACGCAAACAAATTTTCCCTCGCCGTCTCGTGCGGCTGCTGGGGGGCGGGGCTGTAGGGGAAGCTGTGGCCGTGGCGGTTGTTCGAGGCGAGCACGTAAGTCGCCGGCTTGTTCCCGTGTTTTTCGACGACCCTCGCGGGGTTAGAAGCCTTGTTTTTCTGGCGTAATTGGTACAATTTGCCGCTCATGCGCTTGTGGTGCACTTCGCCGGCAGGGTCAAGTTCGATTTGTTCATCCTGGTCCTCCGCGTCGACATCGGCATCGTTGTCCTCTTGCTGTGGTTCCTCACGTGAAAGACCTTGTTCGCCTTTGTTGGAAGATCTTCTACTTCTCGCAGAAGGACGAGGGCTGCCGCGACTGATGCCACCAGCTGTACCGCGCACATACGTAGCTCGCTTCGTCTCTTCCTCTTCATTACCCTCTTGGTCGAGTAGACCCTGGTTGAGCAATCTCTCCTTCCGCTCCGCCAGAGTTGCGACGCGTTGCGAGCTGGATCTGTCTGGGGCCATCGACTTCATAAGCTTGTCGAGACTCGACCGCTTCTCGGCGGTCGATGCGTTGCTGGCCTTCGCGTCTACTGCTGTATTTTTTCCAGCACCTGGAAGGTCATCGTAACTCTGCACGGACTGACCGACGACTCTGCTGTTATTTGCTTGAAGATCATCCGCGCCTGTGTTCTGAGCGGCACTGGTACGCACGGAAGCTGATGCTCCGTTGATGACATTTGCTCCTGCCTCTCCCGCACCTCCTCCTTCCGGTGCAGCTCCCGGGATTCGCTGCGTGGTCGCTCGAATCATGTCGACATCAGATATCAACTTCTTCTCTTGACTATTGTACTTCTCTCTCCCTGCGTCCTTCCTGTACACGGAAATCGTGTTCCTTTCCGCAGCGACAGTCCCTCGGAAATGCGCCTTGCTTTGCTTCGGAATGGTATCGGTTAATTTAGTATTGCCGTCGTTTCCACCGTTTGCGTTTTGTGTAGTTGCATCCCCGCCAAGAGTCGTGTCTTGGTTTGTTCTTTCTCCGCGCGGACGCTCCTCTGCCTGCTGGCTTTCTGCGAGGTAAGCCGCATCTTCCACCGTTGCAGCGGTGCGGTCTGTTGCAGGGGTATTTGGATCTACCTCACCTGCAGTAGCGGCCACGTCTACTTCGTTGGTCATCGATGCGCCGCCTTCTCTTGTGGGCCCCTGCTCCATCTCTGAAGGGGCTGCGCTTCCCTCACGTTGTACTTCTTCAGGCGTTGGACCGTCCTGCTCCGCTGGCGCTCGATCAGCTTTGCGATCGTTCTTCTTCCATAGCGGAATACGACCGCGCATAATCTATGCAATTCTGGTGCCACGACTTACACTTACACAATAACGCTGCAAGATAAATGTAAACCTAACTTTTGATGGGTGGTCGATATGAAAAGAAGTTGGGTGTAATGATCGCTATGGTGGGGTACGCAAACGACCTGTAGGGTTGATAAACGCCTTCTATTTTTTCCCGTGTTGATATTGTTCTTTTCATTCGATTGAGTACTTCCATGGTGTTAGACTTCGAAGTCAACACGTGACCGAAAATAACGGTAACGCCGGTCGTAACCGTAACGAGTACGCAACTATAAACCGAAAGCAGGAGCGAGTACGACGGCATGATTGTTGGACGAAGAAACACACATTTCTGTACGAGGACATCAACGATGAGTGAGCACGCAAGAACGAACCGAAAACGCATGAGGTAAGAAAACAAACGAAGATGGACGTACGAAATGACGAAGACAAATATCATAGGTTGTTATACAGGAATCTCAGCGAGTGAATCTCAATACTATGCACGGCCTTATGTTAAAACACGAGCGAAAACTTGCGAAATCACTCTTGTAAAAGCGAGTGAATCTCAACGGTTGCGCCCCAACGCTTTGAGACGCCTCAACGGATTCGCGAAGAGCTCAACGACTGGTCTCAACGGTCTGCGCACAGAAGAACTCCGTGGCGTGAAGGTGCGCATCAAGCCCGGGCAACAAACCTCTCAGAGGTCCTGCCAACACGAATGCCGGCGAGCGGGCTCATAGATAGTTAGAAAAACGCGCAGAGGCTGCGCGCATAGTGAGACACAGGGCACACAAACCAACGGGGCGCGCACAACGGGCCGGGCAGCAATAGCGCAGGAGAGCGACAAGAGAGTCGTCGGGCAGGGCAGCGGCCGCCGGCCGGCCGGCCGGCGGCGGCTGCCCTGCCCGACGACCCTAAACCCCAAATCCTAAACCCGAAACCCTAAACCACTGCTGGTCGTTGAGATATATTTCTCAACGTTGAGCTGTGAGGTCTCAACGTTGAGATCCACAAGCACAGTTGAGATAACTGTAGTACAACCAATATCATACTTTTGAACAAACGGACGAAACATCGCCAGGAAATGCTGTTCACGTGACGGCAGCGGCTTCTACATTTTCTGAGAAAATCTCTTATCTCGCTTGCATACGATGACGATCATGTACTTCTAGGGTGTGATAGAGTACTCAAGTTCGTGGGTGTGGTGCCGCGACCCTGTGTGTGGGGTTTACAGTTTGGGGTTCTGTAGTTTAGGGGGGAAAGCTTTAGGGTTTAGGTTTCGGGTTCTGTAGTTCAGGGGGCAAAGCTGCGGGGTTTAAGCTTTGGGTTTAGGGTTAAGGCTTTAGGGTTCAGGGGGAAAGCTGCACTGCAGACCATTCTTTGACCTTGGGCCACTTCATTCGCCACCACCGTCGTCTCCGCCGGCGTCGCCATGCATGACAAATAGAATTTGTCATGCTGTTTTGACTTGGGATAAAGATTTGTAATGCATGACTGCGATAATTACTACGAGTACGATACTTTTGCACAGGATACGTCGTAGCATTCCTGTGTCGGTTCCACCTCTCGCATGCGTTTGGAGTTATGACAGTGCACAACTACTCCCACTCCTCCTCATTTGCCATGCAAAATACCAAATCCACTCTTTGCCCCCTTTGAATGTTAGCATCACAGATTCTGACAGCCCACACACCACTACAATCCAGTGAAAATTTGTCATGCAAGAGCTGCACTCTTGCAGGCCCTTCTATTGCTGTTCATGCAACACAAATGAGGGGGAGGCGGAGGGGGAGTTGTGCAGTTTCCTAGGAGACGTACTCGTCCCACAAAGACTTGCGCGTGTCGCCTGGCGTCTCCTCCGGGTACGCAGGGACGGCCTTGCGGTAGTCGATCTGAAGATATTGAGAGTAGAGGTGAGAAAAGATAATGAAATGATTGGTGGAGCTGCTCGGACTCTTCTTCATTTGAGTAAATCAATTAGCCTACGTACTATACATCACCGTCGTCGTCCACGCATGCGTCGAAACAGTTTCACTCGCCACCACCGTCGTCCCCGCCGGCGTCGCCATGCATGACAAATAGAATTTGTCATGCATTCTACCCCGTCCCGGAAGTATCGCAATCGGAGCTCGCCCGACAGCGCACTTTGGTGGACAAGTTGGAAAAGTGGGTGCTGTACCAGATGGCCAAGATGCACAGCCGGCCGCTGGAAGGCATGTTTCACGAAAAGCACGTGCAGAGGTTTTTCATCGAGAGGGAAATCTCCGTACCGAAGTTCCGCATCCTGGACACTTGGCGCCCGCACTACGAGGCGTTCGGGCGCTTTCGGTTTGACCGACGGCCACCGCCCAGCTGGACCTGGACGGCGATCCTGTCTCCGGTAGAAAGATGACAAGAATGAGCTAGTTTCATGTGCTTTTTGTTGTGTAGACAGCAGCGAAAGTGAAACTGAAAGTGCAAGGAGAAACCCGGCATTGTATTTGTAGATTCAAAAAATAGCATGGATAAAAGATTTATCACGACTCGACACCTCTACAGGAAAACGCCTCCGTCCCGAACCTCCCCACTCAAGCCACGGGTCAGATATCAAATGTAAAAATGTCTGGGTCTGGAAGAATGCAAGTTTGTCATGCGTGTCTGGCATGACTCTTAAATCTGTCATGCACATTACCAAAGAGCCCCACTTTTCTGTCATGCAGAAACGTAGTTTGTCATGCAGAATAGGCAACACCTACAAGCTCAGAAACAAACTTGTCATGCTGAGCAAGCAATTGTCGCCTCCTCATGATTCGCCTCCTCATGATACGAAACCGTAAACCGAAGGCAGGAGCGAGCAGTTGTACGACGGCGTACTTAATTCTAATTCTAATTGTTGAACGAAGAGGCACAAATTTGAATTTCGTTTAGCACACATGCACGACATCAATGACGAGTGCTGAGACAGGAGCAAGCAAGAACGAACCGAAAACGAATGAGAAACGAAGGTGGACGTACGAGACGACGAAGACAAATTCATACTTTTGAACAAACGGACCAAACATCGACAGGATGCTGTTCACGTAACGGCAACGGCTAATTGTAATTTTCTCTCATCTGTTTGAATGCGATCATGTAGAAAAAATGCGTGGGTGAGGTGCCGCGACTGTGGGGGGGGTGAAAGAATTGGGGTTTAGGGTTCTACTGCAGTTTAGGGTTTAGGATTGCAGGGGGAAAGCTGCACTGCTTGACAACTACTGTTTGACCTTGCACCACCTCACTCGCCACCACCGTCGTCCCCGCCGGCGTCGCCATGCATGACAAATAGAATTTGTCATGCTGTTTTGACTTGGGATAAAGATTTGTAATGCATGACTGCGATAATTACTACGAGTACGATACTTTTGCACAGGATACGTCGTAGCAT